TGCATATGCACATGTTGCAGACTGCTTCACATTGTGTCACTGGTGTTGTGGGTATGTCATGGGTGGTGGTTTCCAAACATGTATGCAGGGTGGCATCATGTCCTGGGTGGCCAAGCCAATGGTGCCAGAGGTTGGCTTTGGCTTCATCTTTGCTTGAATGTGTCTGCCACTGTCATGTTCCTGTGAAGGCTAGTGACACTTTGGGTTTAGGCATTGTGTTGTCCCAAAGGATCATTCCAGCAGCCAGGTACCCATTGCTGCTTATCAGTACTCCTATGGTGCAGCCATGGCAATCTTGGACAGTGACCTACTTGTCTTCGAAGGTCACTTTTCCCTTTGCCTGCATGACCATTTTGGTGCCAATGAGGTTTGTCACCAATCCAGGGACTAAGAGACAGTTGTTGTAAGTCATCTGTTCCCATTGTTTTGTCATTGGGCTGAGACTGAGTAGGCTGATGGTACCTCCTATTTTCAGGACTGGAAGCTTCCCTCCATCAGCAGTGGTGATGGTGATGGAATCATTGGCATCACACCAGCCTTTTCCATACTGTTCCAAGTTGACCATGACACATGATGTGCCAGAGTTGAATACAAATGGTATCAGGCCAGGTGGTACATATGGGGGTGCTGGCTTGAGGTCAGTAATGAATGCAAGTTCTGGCACCCTATCCTATTCATCTCGAGGTTGATCAAGTGGCAATACAATACAAGTGTTTGCCCAGTTCTTCAGAGGTACCTTAACCCTGTCTTTCTTCCATTTCTCATATGCAATTTCATTGGGGCATTGGTTTGCTGGATGTCTGTCATCACCACATACCCAGCAGTTTATGAGTGTGGTGGCTCGTAAAGCACTCAGATCAACATTGGCAGTGGTATTTGAGATGTGGGCAGGGGCACTGTCAGCTGCTAACTTGTAGCACTTGCACAGGACATTGGTGACACTTGAGGTTGTATGCTCATCAATTAATGTTTCATAAAGTACAAAAATCAAGTTGAAGAGTGCATTCCTATCACCAGGGAGCACACACTTCAGGGTCTTGTATTGATGAGCCAGTGTCCAGGGCTCAGTCATGTAGGCATGTAGCTCAGAGATGTGTGCCTCCCACCTTGTGAGGAAGTCATATGCTTGACTTCCTACTTGGTCCCATGTGAGGTCATATGTTGCCTTGAGGAGTTTGTATTCCTTGGAGTCTGAGTGCATTGTGCACTGGTCAATGGCCCAGTCGAAAAGGTCAACTGCAATCTCAATGGGTTGATTGCCTCATTTAGAGAAGTATTCTGACTGTAGTCATGGGGAGAAGCTACCCATGATGATGGAGTGCAGCAAGGAGTCCACATCAGTGAATGTTGTTACCTTGTGGTCAAGTACATCACATGCAAATGGGACAATGGATAGCTTCTCATGTAATTGTCATTGCCATGCATGAACCAAAACTCTTTTAGGGTCAAGTAGATCTTTTTCATCCCACCTCAATTTGTTGCTAAGGTGGGTCAACACCTTGAGGTGGTGGTTCATTAGCTGTGTCAGCTCCAGTGTTGCAGTGGGTGTTGCTTCTCTACCATGGAGAGGTATGTCAGATGTTGCTTCTCAGCTGCACAGAGGTTTCTTGGACATCTCAGTGTGTTGTGCCTTGCTGCCTGGTGACATGGCATCATGAGTGTCATGTTGACTGATATCTGTTGCATGATAGTAGGGCTCATTGCCTGTACCAGTCATGGTACTGGGCTTGTTGCTCTTGATCTTGAGGTCTAAGATTTGTGAGGTGTTGCTCTCTTGGTTTGCAATGATGAAGTTGATGTGTGCTCTCATTTGCTTCCCAAGGTTGAAGTGATCATGAAATGGGCCTAGTTCATGAGTCACAAAGTAGAGGTGACTAGCACACTCAATTAGGATAGTGAGCAGTGTCACTACCTGCTTTCTGTTTGTCCCACTGGTGTAAGTGAAGATTTGTCTGTCCTTTGGCTCCTCCATTGTGCTGTACACATTATTTTTGATCATCCTGCAGAATTGGCTCTGAAGCTTAATTGGGAGGCAATGGATGATTTCCTTGGCATCCTGGACAAAGTCTTCATATGCTGAGTAGTTGTGGTTTGACATGTTGATAATATATCTTCTTAATGATAGCATATTGGCTATTTGGGCTCATAACCTGATAAAAACTGAAGACATTTTGGTCCCAATACTGGCAATTGGGTGGAGTCCAAGTATGATGTCACTGCTAGTTTGTAGACAGAAACAAATATACTCAATTGACTGAGAGAAGAACATGGCAAGAGCCTCAAGCACTCTGCTTGACATATATACAAAGTGCTGGTTCATCCCATACATGGGAGTATCACCCTCAATGTCAGAGTGCAACAACGGGTGGGACCCAATAGCATCCATCCTTTCTCTCTGATTGGCTGTGTCTGATTCCTGATTAAATCAGATCTATTCTCTCTCCGATTAGCTTGGGTCCATCTGCTCCCCAATTGGATCTTCTGGATCGCCATCTTCAACAATATATATCAAGCGGAGAGCCCAAAGCTGCTACCACATTCCTTTAGGTCAATATAGTATAATGTTTCTGCTCAATAGCTTGAATACTGTGCTCTAACTGATATCTGCTGAAGGTAACGATCCAGCACGACCCTGAAGATCGGGCAGAGCCGATCTAAGTGAGGAATCGGATACTGGGTCCCGCTCGTTGTCATACTTCATCATCAAGGATGATGCTCCCACATGTGGATGCACTGACACTTTGCATATATATCAAAGGGAGAGCTCGAGGCTCTCACCACTGATACAATGTGAAGATGTTTGGTCCCGATAACTGGCGATCGGAAGAGTCTGAGTATGATGTCACTGCTGCTAGAAGACAGAATTGTCAGATTGAGAATGGTTGCGTCAAGGCTCGCGCCTGTCTCCGAGCTGAAGCGCTTTGAGTCATGGCATTGTAGTCCACAGTAGTCTTCTCATGATGTTGAGACAATGCAGTAGTGTCTTCCTCATTGTGGCCAGTGGATCTGAATAGTGCCTGGAACATTTCCTCTCAAAGATCATGTGCAGCAGAACTTCAATGTCTTGACAGTGCATACTGTGACATTCCTTGTGTTGCAGTGGCAAGATTGAGTTTGTATTCCTGCTGATTTGAGCATCTTGTTCTCCTGAGATCTTGGGCATCTGTGACATCAAGTTGGAGGCCTTGTGCAACTTCATGCACCTCATCCTCAGAGAAAGAGGGCAACAGCAGGTCAGCAATATTGGCAGGACAGTCATATTGACTCATAAAGGTGTGTGCAACAATGCAGGCATGGATCATCTGTGCAGCAGTGATGCAGTCCTTGACACAGTAGATGTTACCACAATAGCCTGTAAGACACTGGAAGTGGTTCTTCAGGTATGCAATGGCATTTTCAACTTGTACTTGGACTTGAGAGAGCATGTAGTTGAAGTATCAAAGGTCTTGACTCTTGTTGGTGGCAATGTGAGAGAATGGTCCAACTGTGATGGCAGAATGGCCATATCTGCCATCAACCCAGATGAACTCACCTTTGTCAAGGTACAGGCAAGGCTTCTTGATGATGTTGCTTCCTGAGGCCCAAGCTTTCAAATCCTGAACACTGCCAGGCTGGCCAACAACCAATTTGACAATCTGGAGTGAGTGTGGCAGGATCACCAATGCTACATTCATGTTATGGAAGCCTTTGTAGCAGAAGTGCTCTTGACTGCACACTCCAGGCTTCCAGGCAAGAGGGACATGTGTGCCATCAACCACAAGCCAGCCTTTACCCCACTCTTCAACCCCAGTTGTATTGCACACCCAGGCAGCAGCATGCTTTCTCTCTTCCTCCAATGCAAACTGCATGACCTCATTATTCATCTCAAGGAGGCCAGCAACTGTGTGATTGGTGTATGCAACAATGCTCCCAACACTGCAGCCACATTGCAATGCAGCATCATGTTCACCACCTCCATTTCCAGAATGGCCTCTATACAGAGCCACCAAAAGGATCTCTTGCACTCTGTTGAGAGACATCCTATCTGAGTTGCTGTAGTTCCACTGGAAAGCTTGTGTTTGCTGGAGTCAAATGGCAAGATTCTCGAACACTTCAGGGGACATGCAAACAAGTCCACAATACATCCTATGATTGATTGATGCATACCTGTCAAGAAAGTTGATAAGCTTGTCAGAGCGGCCAAGAAGATTGTAACGTGAGATCAAGTGCTTACTAAGCATGGAGGTCCGCTCAAGTATTAGTCGGCTCCGAAACTCACTGCAATCGAAAGCTCTTCTTTTGAGCTTGCTCACTGTGTGTTTTGCTCAGTCTGACACTTATGAGAGATCACTCCTCCAAGCAGATGGAAGGTATGCTATTGGACGGTTGATTTATTGTCTATTGGACCCTGTCCCCAAACTTTGGGCAGGGACTGTACCGTTCGTTGTCAACACACGTAATAATAACCGCATCCTACCAATCAAGTCTGTGTCGCAAGTGACAAGCGACCACGCTATTTGCTCCAACACTCAGAAGGTAGGTCTCTCAAACCACTATGCTAGCCTCACACAGATCTGGCAGGAGTCAGGCGTTACTCTAGTTGACTGAGGAAACAGGTGAGTTGCAGATGTGAAAAATGTGCAAGCCTGCGATGCGTGTCGACAGAGAGTTCTAGAGCATCGTGATGGGATCTCTCTTTCAAAACGAGTCTAAAACAGGACCGCTGTGTGCGCGAGACTCGGAATGTGGCTGGACATCTTGGCTGAGCTCAACGCTGTATGTAGCTTAGCCCCTGCTTAGACATGGAAAACAGGCTCGAGGCTCTTGAGCCATTTCTGCTCCACCGTCCCATCTGGAAGTAGGCGGATGCCGATTTCGGCACGATTGTTTACGGACTTGAACTTGAGAAGACGATTCTCATTAAGAAGCTCTCGAGCCTTTTGGACCGTGATGCCGTCTTCTGCTGGAGACGATTTCCACACCTCTTCCCAGTCAGGAGGCATCTTGGTTGACCCACCAGCTTAATCTTTAGTGTCGCTAAGCTTGTGACCGTAGGCGACAATCGCTGCCGGTTCGCCAAAAGTCTTTAGAGCGGCCATGACATCGCGGGTATATTCGTGGACATCTGGACTCGCTTTGACAATCTCTGAGGCATCCAAGTAGTGTTTACGAATAGTCAGCGAGTCTTGACCTATATCGTGACGCCCAGACAAATGCACCGTCGGGAAGGCAGCGAAGGCTTCCTGGAGACTTTTAAGCCTGTAGCCTTCTGGACTGGAAAAGATGATGGGCATGCCTTTGTATGAAGGCCTGTCATTGTAAATTTGTTCTATTTGTTTTATTTGTTCCTCGTTGAAGGGTTTAAGAATGGAAGCCTTTTTGAATTGTCCACGTTCTAGATCTTCGTAATGGGCATATTGGGATGGATGATCGTCGAATTGTTCGAAGGGAAAAGTGGTGGCCTTAGTAGTACTTGTCAAGAAGACGATGAGGCCGAGCAAGGCGATCGTGATGCTGAGTGTACCAAGAGACCTCATGTCTGACGAACTTTGTACGTGTTACAGAAAGTTGCAAGGGACGGGTGGTTTGTGTAGAGGCACTCTCGTTATAAGGCTATCGGGCAGTTGTTTCGTGGGCAGAGTTGGTCAAATTTGTTGTCAGCAAAGCTTGAAGCTTGCCACGTACAACTTCATTCGTGTTCTGCTCGATCGACGTCGTTGATAAGCAACTCTTCCACTCAAGTTGACACAAGAGCCCACCGTTGCGCTCTTTCCAAGCTGCATGCATGCTTTGTGATCCTCTTATTCTTAGGCCTGTGAGTATATCGGCACGTATTAGGCCGGTTGTCGGGATGTCCATATTATGCCGAATACTTGGCACTATCCTACATGCCGAGTAGGAAAACATAGGGGTCTCATCACTACCGCTGCATCACCCCTTTCATTGCCCCGTCATGTTTCTGTATCGTCCACAGGGTAGACGCATAGTTGAAGATACGTCGGTATTTCTAAAGAAGGACATGTTAGATCTTAGTATTCCGCACCGTTAGGCCAGAATAATGCCAAGTGCCAACGGAGATGAGATAGACGCAAAGCTCGTGGGAGCATATGCAGTCTATCGAGGATTGACATCAAGGCATGTAGGAAGTATGTTGGCATGATAATGGTTATGAAGCATTGACAAGGCAACGGTTATGAGATGTGGCCTGGATACACGGTCTATGGACGCGAGTCGAGGAGCGAGCATAGTCAGCCGTGTGCCACTCGATCCAACAAAAAGAAGGGGAAGAAGGAACTGACCAAGACTTTGTGCAGACCAAAAGGGCCAAAGCAGGCTATCTTGGTCGTAGCAACACCACACCTAGGCTCGTAACTAAGCAGGGCAAAGGATGCATTATACAATCACAGGTAGGCCAGATGTTGGTAACTAGAATCTGATTTTCGACATTACAACGTTGCACGAGAGATCACAGGGTAAGAGGGAATAGTATCATGAGATGAGAGAGGCAATCAGATTGATCGATCTAGGAGCGGGACGTAAAAGAGAGAGAGAAGAGATTGCACTGCATTTAGTACTTAAGAAGCTGAGCCTCGAGTTCAACAGGGCTGACGAGCTTCTGGCCCTGGAAGACCTTAACAACGTGCTCGGCCTTGGCAGCAACATCGTCGCCAGTCATCTTGAACTTCTTAAAGAGCTCCTTGGCAGGGGCGGAAGCACCGAAGGTGTTGATACCGTGCTGGGCGTGCGAGTACTTGGACCAGCCGAGAGTCGAGTAAGCCTCGACCGAAAGGATGGGCTTGCCCGAGGGAAGGACCGAGAGACGGTAGTCGATGGGTTGAGCATCAAAGACCGAGAAGCATGGAATGGAAACAACACGGACCTTGATGCCCTTCTCGCCGAGCTTGGCAGCGGCCTCGTTACAGAGAGCAACCTCGGAACCGGAAGCGACGAGGGTGATGTCGGCGGACTCGTTCTCGACAACAACGTAACCACCCTTGCTAGCCTTCTCAATGGAAGAGCCCTCGAGCTGGGGCAAGTTCTGACGGGTGAGGGCAAGAACGGAGGGGGTCGACTTGCTCTCAATGGCAACAAGGTAAGCACCAGAGACCTCGTTACCGTCGGCAGGGCGCCAGAACATGAGGTTAGGGATGGCACGGAGAGCGATGGCAGTCTCGATAGGCTGGTGGGTGGGGCCGTCCTCACCAAGACCGATCGAGTCGTGGGTAGCGACCCAGATGACACGGTGGTGCGAGAGGGCGGAAAGACGGACTGCACCGATGGCGTACGAGACAAAGTTGAGGAAAGTACCGGCGGTGGGGATGTGCATGCCGTAGGCGGCGAGACCGTTCAAGATGGCACCCATAGCGTGCTCACGGACACCGTATCGGATGTACTTGCCCGAGTAGTCACCAAGCTGGGTGCTGGGATGCTGGAAGTCGACAGCGTTGCCCCATCGAGTCAAGTTGGAACCGGTCAGATCGGCGGAACCACCAAGGAGCTCGGGAACGACGTCAGCGACCTTGCCGAGAACGGTCTCAGAGAGCTTTCGCGAGGCGACAGCAGCATCGCTGGGCTTGTAGGTTGGGAGAGACTTTTCCCAGCCCTGGGGAAGCTTGCCGGCAATACGGCGGGCGATCTCGGCGTGCTCCTCGGGGTACTTGTCGCCGTAAGCCTTGAACATGTCGGTCCATTCCTTGTCGGCCTTGGCACCACGGTCAGCAATGTCCTTGTAGGCGGCGTAGACGTCCTCGGGAACGACAAAGTTCTGCTTGGGGTCCATGCCGAACTTGGTCTTGACAGCCTCGATGTCGTCGGCCTTGAGGGGGGCACCGTGGGTAGCGGCGAGACCCTGCTGCTTGGAGCCGAAACCGATGGTGGTCTTGACACGAATGATTGAGGGCTTGTCAGTGACTTTCCTGGCCTCAGAGATGGCCTTGTGGAGACCCTCGAGGTCCTTGTCGCCGTCAAGGACGTGGGAGACGTGCCAGCCGTAGGAGAGGAAACGCTGCTCAACGTCCTCGGTGAAGGAGCAAGCAGTGTCACCGTCGATGGAGATGTGGTTGTCATCGTAGAGGGCAATCAAGTTTCCAAGCTTAAGGTGACCAGCGAGGGAGGCGGCCTCGGAGGAGATACCCTCCTGCAAGCAGCCGTCACCAGTGAACATGTAAGTGTGGTTGGTGAAAAGGGGGAAGCCGTCCTTGTTGAAGGTGGCGGCAAGGTTAGCCTGGGCGATAGCGAGACCGACCGAGTTGGCGAAACCCTGACCAAGAGGACCAGTGGTGACTTCGATACCATCGGTGTGACCGGCCTCGGGGTGACCGGGGGTCTTGGAGTCGATCTGACGGAACTGCTTGAGCTGCTCCATGGGCATGTCCTTGTAGCCGAGGAGATGGTTGAGGATGTAGATAAGAGCACAAGCGTGGCCTGCAAACAAGTGACAACCGAGATGAAGAGAAGGTGCACAGTGTCAGTTGAGCTGCTCGGGATTCAGACTACCATCCTCATGCAGCTTCTCAGAGCAAGATACTTACCGTTGGAGAGAACAAATCGGTCACGGTTGATCCACTTGGAGTGAGCGGGGTTGACGTTGATGAATCTGTGCAATACAAGGCATTTAGCAAAAGGAGGCGAGATCTCAAGTTCAGTGGACTGTTGGTTTCAGCGCAGATCTCGAGCAGAGAGACTGGAAGAGAGCAGGAACTTACCGAGAGAAGAGGGTGTGAGCCATAGGGGCCATGCCCATGGGAGCACCAGGGTGACCCGAGTTGGACTTGGCGACCACATCGGCGGCCAAGACACCTATCCAATTGAAAATGAACCGAAGCGGGAGTAGGAGAGTATGTCAGTCGATTTAGCACACTATCGAGGAGCTTTGCTGCCAAGCTACTGCGCACCGACCGAAAGCAGGCAGAGCTGTTCAGGACCAAGAAGAAAAAGATAAACCTACGGATGGTGGCAATGGCCTTCTCGTCGCTAGCAGCCTTGGTGAAGGACATGTTGAATAATCTGTGTGAGGATGAAGGGGAAGGGGAAGGGGAAAGATGGGAAAGATGGGAAAGATGGGAAAGATGGGAAAAGGATGATGGTGAAGAAAGAAGAAGAGGAGAGCAGACGAGACACAAGCAAGAGTGTTGGCCAATCCAACCGCCACTTGTTTTGCGGCTATGGCTTGCGAACGGGCCACTTTTTCGAACCAGATCATTGGGGCAGGAAGGAATTCAACCAAATTCGCAGCGTCTCTTGACTGGTGCTCTGCCTGGGCTGGCGCTTTGCCTGGGCTGTACCGCACCGTCATACGTCTGACTCTGATTTCAAACTGGAATTCAAGGTGCAAGATTCGAAATTGTCCACATTTGTATTGCCAATAATGCTGTTTTGCTTACGTAACCCTGACCAGTCTCAGCTCTCGATGAGCAAGGACACTTTGGGCTTCGGTGCCTCATTGATGCCTGATTAATCTAACATGCTCCGTCGAGGCAACAAAAATATATAAAGAGAGCAACGCCATCTCGGATCGAGACGATGTCGAGCATAGTCAGACCTGCAGCAACCAAAGCCATTCGCTTCCAGTAAGGCAACGGCTGTCGACCCTACATCTCAGACAGATTCCGGGTTGCAGGTTGAGGTACAAACTGTCTTGGCATGCTCTAGCCAACCAATCTCGGAGGATCTTTTCTTTCGGTTTCGCAACACGTCACTGTGCTTTCCGCTGCCGTCAGTTTGCAGTGATTCTCAGCCCAGATGCAGACAGTGAGCTGCACTTGCAATCGCACAGCAAAGCGTTCGCATCGAATGTCATACCCTGTTCTTCGCATGTTGCAGTTCAGCTCGCTTGCAATTGCATGACAAAACTATCCGTTGCACTAAGACGACAAACAGTATCAAATGTGAAAAAAAAAAAAGAAAAAAGAAAAAAGAAAAAAGAAAAAAGAAAAAAAAGATCAAGCACCGCAAACTTCGGTGATCGCATTGAACGAGCCAGACTCACCATGGGTTCTCAGCCCACGGATCTGCTTCACCACCCAGACCGCTGTCTCCAGCTCGTCGCTGGCTTCGCTCGTCTGATGGCGACGGCTTGGCACCGGCAGTGAGATCAGACAGGTTGCGGTCCGAAAGAGAAGTACCTGGCGCCGTGCCAAGCGCACTCGAAAAGTCCAAGCGTCTTCCTACTGCCAGACTTGGAGGCAGTGAATGCATCACCCTCTTGGTCCCCATCGAAACATCGTACGACGAGTCTGGTCGAGCTATGCCCCATCCTTCCTCGGCAGGTCTCCAACCTTCGTCCCGCAGTGCAGACGCGCCGCTTCCCAGAGCTACAGTCGCCCTGGTGCCTGTCTTGAATCCCTCCGCTAGGTTCTTGGCTGCTGTTGATGGCAAACTGCACTCTGCCAGCTCAGGTTCGTTCTGCTGTCCTCCGTTGAGCGTTGGCGCCGTCGCCACGGTGCTGGCAGCAGGCTGGATGTCATCCTCGTCATACGACGCAAATGTGAGAGAAACGCCACCGTTCTGCAACACCGGTGTGCCTAAATCATCTTGCGCTGCGAATGTGGACGGCGTGTGCGCGTAGTCCTCTTTCTTGTCCTCCTCAGTTGGCAGTGCTGGTGTAGAAGCCTTTGCAATCTCATCCTGGTTATGATTCAAAGTGGCAGTACTTGCGGATCCTTTCGTGTTGGCAGCAAGCGGCAAGGGAGGTAGCGAACTCTCTAGCTCCTTCACTTCAATCCCAGACTCTCGCAGTTCCCGTAGAATCGCCTCGGTGTCAAAATGCGCACTCATCCAGCTCGGACGATCCACCTCTGGTGTTGCAGCACGACCAGAACCCTCATGCGACGCTCGCACCGCCTCAACACGAGACGCAGCCTGTTGCACGATCTCATCTTGGTTCTGCTTAGCTTCGACGACCTCTGCTGCAGGTGCAGCACTGTGTTCGACCCTAGGTGGCAGCTCATCGTCCTCGTACTCATCGTATTCAGCACGGCCTGTTGCTGCCGCTACGGCTGACGATGATCCAGCAGCCGAATTGGAGCCGACTCCTGTCGCGCTCTGACTGCTCGTGCCTTTGCGTCGGAAGATCTTGCCGAATCCTCCTGTCTTGGTCGCGATCGTCTTGAGTTCCAGATCATCTGCCTTTTCGGCGTGAACCACTTGCCTTTCAGGGATGCTATTAAGATCCTCGGGTTCGTCAAAGTAGTCTGCTGTCGTGCGGAAGCCAAGCTCGCCAAGGACAAGCGGCATCAGAGGTCGATAGCCAAGGTGTCCCGGCACAACGTGTGTGACATCAACATTCTCAATATCTTGCACCCTCTCAACAGGATGAAGACCTGCAATACTGCGCAGACCACCAGAGGCAGCTCGATGCAGGTAGCCCAGAATCCAGTCCGTTCGCGAAAAAGCACTGACGAATCGTCCCGAGACGACACTTCTCGCCTCCTTCCACGTTTCGTCTTTGGCGGTCACCGGTGTTCCCATGATGTAGACATTCTGGACGATACCATAGGCCTTGATGCGGCTCAGCTCGACCAAGGCGTAGAAGATGACCCTGGCACCGAGACTGAAACCTACAAGTGTTATCGGACGAACACCGAGCTGTCGCTTCGACAGGGTATCCGCAAGAATCAGACCAGCCGCTTGAGCTCGATCCAAAGCATTCGACCAAGGGTTGTCGATCAGATAGCCGAGCTTTGTGAGCCAGAGTGGCCAGGCTAACGCGCTAAGCATAGCACCGGCACCGGCGACGGTCAAAGCTAAAGCCTGCTGGACACCCTGGACAATAGTCTCGTTCCAGAGAAGGCCCAGCGCATTACCCATCTCCTGCATCATGTCAGGCTCCCAAAGGACACTGAAGGCATCGCCCATGACGCTGTCGATGATACTGAATGGCAGTCGCACATCATCCTGTGCGCCGCTCATGAAGCCGGACACGGTAACGATGGCGTTGACACGCTTGTTGTTGTGGATCGGCTTGAACTCGAATGTCTTGACGCTACGAGTTCGACGACTCATACCACGTCCAGCAAGACTCATCCCACCAACAGTTCCCGTCGAGGTTATAAGAGCGGCTCCTCCCACACCGCCCAAGAAGCCGCTCGTGCCGCTGATACCGACGGCTCCTAGTGCAGCGCCCATTCCGGCACCAATCACGGGTGCCAGGAGACCAGCCGAAAGACCAATGACCAGGCCACCGCCGACAGTAGCCAAACCCATCATGACCATGCGCTTCTTGCGAGCCATGAGCATGCGTCGCTTGACGGCCGACTCGTCGCTAAGGGTCTCGACGCCTTCTTCGATTTCGAGCGCATCGGTGATACGCTTCTCGAACTGAGTGACATCCATCCAGGTGAGCTCGAGATAGGATGCAACGCGCTCGAGAAGAACACGCGAACGGGCATCATAGACACTATCAGCGGTGAGGACGAGGAAGAGATCGCAGAGGACGGTCCATCGCAGATCAAGCGTGATGGTAGCATCGGCGCTGCTGATACTGGTCGTGACACCATCAAGTGCGCCCGGTGGTGGCTCCATGGTCTGAGGCTCCTTTGTGAGGCCTAGAGTCGTCGTAACCGAGCCTGGACCTATTTCCGCGTCTGGAAGCACCGCACAGCCGTCAACAGCATCGACAGCATTCTCAAGCTGAGCGGCGGTGTTGGGATCAGCAATCACGGTGGCCGTGGATGTTATCGAAGATGGCCGTGAGGGTTTGGACGCAGCAGTGCATCCTCCGCGGCTGGCACGGGCCAGACCGGAACCTATGTCGCCTTGCTCGTCAGTTTGCGCCGGCTTCTTGGCATCGTCTGACTCTTCCAGCTGCATCCCAATGTCGAACCCTTCGTCGTCCATGAAAGAAACTCTGCTACTCGATACTGCTGGCTTTAGTCGCTTTTCGGGATCTGTCCGGGGTTGCGAGGAGGGCTTCGGAGGCTTGCGGACCGTGGCGCCTAAGTCACCATCGGCATCTTGGTCTTGGTAATCTTCTTGGTCATCTTGATCTGCTTCCTTCTCCTGGTCTTGGTTGCGAGCTGAGGGAGCAGCCGATACTTTTGATATTGAATATGCAGTGTCTGGCGTGTCGGAATCGTCGGGATTCGTGGATTTGGAGGAAACTGATCGGTTCGCCTTGGCTTGAGCCTCTTGTTCTCTCTGTTGTTGTTGCTTCTCCTGTTCCTCTTGTTGCTTTTCCCTGAGCGCTTCAGGGTCAAAGTCGGGGTTGTCGATGGTCTGAGTGGTTATGAGAGATGGGGCGAGGTCGGTTGCGAGGACGCCGTGTTCAGCCAAAGATTCAATCATATTTTGCTCCGAGCTTTCGATGTCCATGTGCTGGTAGAGACGAGCGATGACCTTGAGCTTCCAGCTCTCGATGCTTTGCTTTGCTTCTTCGAGGTTCTTGCCGGGTACTCTGCGCATCTGACGGACCATCTCGGTTGCTATCAAGCTGCAGAGACCTACATAGGCAATCTTCTGGCCTTCGGAGAGGAGCTGCTTGGTCGTTTTCATCTGATTGAGGGGCGTAGCAGCAGTATTGTCGCCATATGGGTCGTGGCGGTTGCCGTCCTGAAAGAGATACTCAGTGGCAGCATGAAGCTCTTCGGCCTCTTGATCCTCATCGAGTCTGAGCTGAGTGTATCCCTTCTCCTCGTCGCTATCATCGTCTTGGTTTGCTTTTGAACGCCAGTCGTAGCCTCTTGCGTCGTCAATATCGAGAAGCTTGCCGGTTGCGTTGGTGGCGGTGTTGTGGGAGCGGGAATTGGCTGCTTTGGACGAGGAAGAGCTTCTGTCAGTAAGGTATTGAGATTTGGCCTGATTGTTTTTGTAGAGTATGGCGCTGCCAGTACGCTTGGACTGATTGCGGGCAGATGAGCGAGAAGGCAGTGAGCAGAATCTGCGCGGGTCGTCCGGATCTGAGTCATCCTCTTGCTCGTCACCGTAGGGAAGGTCGTAAGGGTTGGAGTAGGCGCTGAGGGGTATAGATGCTGAGGAGGATGGTTTGGACTCTTCAACGGGCATAGACTGCCACTCGTCGTCGTCGCCGTCATCATCCTCGTTGGCGGCTGGGCCCTGAGGGAAGGGCTTGTGCGACGAGCTCATGGTCGCCAAGAGGAGATTCTCAAGACATCAAGCTAGATCGGCGAGAGAAGGATAGGAGCGACCAGACTGTAATGCTGATGCTGAATGTGGAGGTTGTTGGGAGAGGGGTCAAGGAGGCCTGCCCGGTTTCGCCGTTGTTGCCAGAGGCTATGGAGAAACAAGACCGAGCTGAGGCTTTGGCTGTGAGGATGTCGATGGCGAGCAGGCGGGGATGATGGTGTGCAGAGGGAGAAAGTGAGCTTGCGATAAGAACCGAGCTTTGTAAACGAACTGAGACGTGAGGGTTCATTTGAGTGTCAGCCTTTGTAATCACGCCGATGCTGAAGGAAAGTATCCCAAATGATGATGCGAGTTGACGTAAGCGGATACGAAAGAGATCGGGCAGAGCCCCGATCTCACTAAAGATCGGGTACAACCTAGTTCCCGTCGCTTTGTTGCAGTTCAGCTCTCTCGTTTTCGCAATTATTATCTTGGAAATGTTAGGAAACTGCGTCTTGACAATCATAAGTTGGGTGGACGCGCAAGATGGCTCATGGATCATACCTTAGCTATCTCAACGATCAGATGGCTGGTGAGCATTCCAGCTATAGCATCAAAACTAGCTCTAGCCTGATTCGAGCACTTGTCTGCATTACAATTTGTGGCAACAATCAGGAAAGGCCCGACTGAGCAAGTATTGCATAAAGACAGAGACGGACACGGCTGGTGCCTTTTCGCAAGTCACAAGGCTTTGGAGTAAGGTCTCTTGCACTTAACCCGTCTGTGATTACCTGGGCGGCGTGAAGTCGTATGAATGCTGCGATGCTGTGGCACATTGGCGTGCTCCTGGGGCCCGTGTTCTACAGAGATGAATGACAGAAGCTGACTGTGCTCGATCATGCTGCTTTGGCCGATTGAAGCTTTCGCTTCGCCTCTTTCGCCTTCTCTTTGCGTAGTGCAAGGCCCTTCTTGAGTGCACGTTGTCTTTTACGTCGACCTGCCCCTCGCTTACTGCCAATCTTGTTGGTGATGACCTTCTCCTTGCCATCCACCACTTGCACGAGCTTCTTTCGGCTCTGCTCCCTTGCCTTGTCCATCTTCCTCTCCTTAGCCTTGTCACGCTTCTTGAGTCCAGCTGAAAGTTGCGTTCTTAACAATGGCAGGTATGCGCTCTGGAAAGATGCAAGTTTGCTAGCGGCGACTAAGGTGCTGATCTTGACCTTGCCGCTCCCCGAGACACCGTTGGTAGCCCTGAAAAGAATAGCATCCGAGAGGCCAGACGAAGATGAGGGTGTCATGTCAACGTCGTCATCTCTTGCTGCTGATGCTGGTGCCTTTTTCGAGGTAATGTAGACCGAGTGATTCGAGGTGCTCTGCTCGAAGAGCTTTCTCAGCTCCGCAAGGAACTGCAAGAGCGAAAGCAAGGGCCGACATGATAAGGCAATGGGTTGATCAGTTCTGTCATGCCTCTCGACTTGCGATAAGCATATCGATGCTGTGGAACTGCTTACCTGCTCGTTAGTTACTGCCATCTCAATCGATCTCGCCAAGGCTTGCTGCCTTGTGCACTTTGTCAGATGATGATGGTGAATACTGCAGACGAGGTCCCGAAAGCCAAAGTGTTGCTGGAAGCCTTGTTGAGACGTGCTTGTTGCCGGGAATGGCCGGAGGTGCAGGTAAACAAACCGTTCTTGATGAAGCCAAGGAGCCGACAAGGGGGGGGGGGGGGGATTATGTCAGCTTTGGTCATCTCGCATCGCTTTTCGCTCGGGAATCGGATCTTGACATCGATCGGGCTCTTGTTTGGGTTGCTAAAACTCAGATTTGTGCTTCGCCTCCACGCAGCGACGTCAGTCACGTCAATTTGCGGACATTTCAAGAAGAATTGACAGGACCAAACGAGTTGAAGATGCGTCGGCATCCTAAACCGAATCACGTGGTTCGCGGAGCACAAGCGAGACACCGGTGAGTCAGAACTGCATGTCAACATGCATTGATATGCATGTGGGATATATAAGTACTTCAACAATAACACTCATGAGATGGCAATGCTCAGGAGGTGACAACACAGGGGTGATATGAAGAATAGTTCATTATGATCTAGTATGGGCTGAAGATAGCAGTCAAGTATATATATGTTCACATTGTAGCACCTATCAATTAAAACATAACAACCATTATATGCCTGAAAGGTTGAGCTTGCTAGTAGCTCCTAAACAGTCACATTTTACCTGTAATCTTCAACTGATTAAGAGTCTGAAGCTCTACCGACTGAGCTAGCTGGGACCATCAATAACATGGTACAAGAAACCGGAGCTCAAGCTGTAGCAAGCAAGGTCAAAGGAGGAAGAAAGGGCAAGACAACACAACCACGTGTCACTGATAATGAGGCCACCAATGAGTCAGACACCAAGGTGATCGATGACAATGCTGATGAAGAAACTGACTCTGACTCAGACCACGACAATGATGGCAAGCAATACAACTTTCATACCCTAGTGAAGCTACTTGAGCCAGTTCCAAAACTCACATCACACAACTACTATAGTTGGAGCACCCATATCAAGTCTTTCCTACAATGTGTCCCCCATGCTATGAAGCATCTTGATGGAGCATATGACAAGAAACATCCCAAGTGGAATTGCACATTCAATGATGCCTTAACGAATGCACTATGCAGTACCATCGATACCACTGGAGAGTTTAACATAAATTACCTGATTCTTGACATCATCAGGGAACAACATACATTCAATAATGTATGGAAGAAGATTGAAAATGGACTCACCAATGAGGCCACCACCATATCTCGTCATATTGCATTGATCACTCAGCTAGGAGAACTCAGGATGTACAACTCAGACATACAAAAGCTCATCCAAGAAATAAGAACCATCCAAACAGAGAGCAGCTTACTGGGAAAGCCATTTGCTGATGACACCCTGTTTTCAAATCTACAAAAGTGCACCATCTGACACCCAATGTACAAAGAAACTGTTGCTACCATAAGCCAGCTTAGTTTCAGTGCCCTCACCACCACCCTATCCATCTGGCAATCGGCGATCGAGAACAACCCCACTTTGAGGGTTGATCCCTGCCAAGCTAGTGCCAGAGTTGCTGGCAGCGATGACCAGAATGAGACACCCAGAGATGATGAGAAGGATGAGAAGGATGCCAACAGCACCAGTGCCAAGGTCGCCACCAGACCCCGAAGGTGTCATGGGCCTGGATGCTCAAGAAGCAGGAGGGTCATGGGTTCATATGGAAGGAGCACAGGTATCGAAGACCTAGTTGATACCAGTAGAGAGCATGGTCGTAGTGCAGTCTCCATGGAGACCATGGACTCCTATGGACTCACATGCAAAGGAGAACCGAGCCACATGCGAGGAGGACCAGGCACAGCCACAAGGAGGACCAAGCTCAAGGAGCAGGCACAGCCACGAAGAGGACCAAGCTCAGATGGTTACCACTCAGGGGCTCGAGAGACAAGAGTCCTAGGACACTGGCAAGCAGGTCCTGAGGAAGAGGAGCAGTGTCGAAGGAGTCGACACCAGGTCATGAGGAGGAGGAGCAGTGTCGAAGGAGTCGACACCACTCAAGAGGCACAGGGGTGCCAAGCAGGAGAGGCCCCTGAGCAGTACTCGATGAAGAGGGTACTCTCTGGAGAGAGAGCAGGAGCAGCATCGCTGGCGATGTTGTGAAGAGGTATATAACCATGCTTTCTCATCATCATAGGTCGAGTGGATCCTCATCCACTCTACTCACCATAACTAGTTATCACTTCAGCATAAGTATATATTAGTTTCAGTCAGCATAGCAGCAATCCATCAAAGGTTGCTCCTCATCGTAGTGTGTGTGTTGTATCACCACTACCTGACATCCGAAGGCGCCCATAGCAGGTTAGCGGTCCGGATCAAGATAGAACCGAAGGCAGTAGTCCACTGCGGTCCGGGGATCACTTCAAGCATCAAGTCAACACACTGGACACTCGTGTTGACGCCACCAACCTTATCACCAACACCATCAACCTCATTATCATCGACATCACCAATCTCATCACCAACACCATCAACCTCATTATCATCGACATCACCAATCTCATCACCAACACCATCAACCTCATCATCATCAACACTCACACCAGACCTTGGTGTCATCATAACATTGATATTGATCGTGCCGAGCTACCCCTGAACGGAGTGTCCACAGAGGTCAGCCGAAACCTACGATAGTATATACAACGAACACCACCTGTTGTCACTGCACAACTTGATAGTCACTGATACCGAGACAATAGCTGTCGCACAGTTTGATAGTCACCGAGTATCTCGACAGACCGACCTGGGTTTCAGGCGCGAGACCCCTGACAGAAGGCTTCGATGTTGGGTCTGCAAAAGACCTGGACATGGGATCAGTCAATGCGATGCATCAGTGACTATACCAGAAAATTCTCCCCTTGCCAGGCTCAAATAGGAGATCTGGTGCTCCCTCACACATAGTTGGCCAAGCACTTTAGATTCAAAAGAGACTTCTCATTGGATCTTAGACTCAGGTGCCAGCTATCACATGGTAAATGACTATAGCATGCTCATTGGTCTGAGGACCTGCCGAAAGTGCATACTCACTGCTGGAAGCGAGGTTCTGGAAGTGACTGCTATAGGAGATGCTAGCATATCAACAAACACCAGAGATGTTCTTCTCCAAAATGTATTGTATGTTCAGCATCTCAATGTTAACCTATTGTCAACAAATTCTCTGACAGATGAAGGAGCACGAGTGATACTAGATTCAACCAGAGGGCAAATATACCTAGCAAATGGCATGTTACTCAAGATGACCAAGAATCACGAGCAAGGACTTTTGGAGTTCCGAGGCAACACATGGCAGGAAAATGCAATGATCACATCAGCATCATTATTTGAAGGTGTTGATGAAGATTTTGAGCATATTGAGAACAAAGTCAAGATATCTGAACAACAATTATGGCATGAGTGTCTAGGCCATCTGGGCCAAGACAAAATGAGAGCCATCATCAACCATCTAAAAGGTGACCACCCAGCAAACCTAAATCCAAATGCTGCTTTGACATGTGAGCATTGCATCTGAGCTAAAAGCACAGCAGCTCGAATGGGTCAGGGTGGCAGAGAAAGGTCCATCTCTCTGCTTGACCTCATTCATATCAACTTGATAGTCAATTCATCGCATGCAACAGAGTACATGTGCACTTTGGTCTTGATTGATGACCACAGCAAGTACATGTACATATGACCTCTATTATGAAAGAGCCATGCTTTTAAGGAGCTAAAATCAATAATTGCATACCTAGAAACACAGGCAGGAAAGAGTTTAAAAGCAATATGGTCTGAACAAGGTACTGAATGGAGGAGCAACGATGCCCATGAATGGGCACATGATAAAGGCATAGAGTGGCAAATGACAGTAGGATATGATAGCAGACAGAACAGACGTGTAGAAAGGATGAACAGGAGCATAAGTGAGAAGATGCAGGCCCTACTCATGCAGAGATGATTGCCGAAGAGGTTCTGGCTGTATGCAATATGGGCTGCGGCATTCAAGATGAATCTCACCCCAAGTATAGATGGTGAGGTCCCATATCAGGCTATGTTTGGGAGATCGCCGGAACGGCTTATGAAGCTTCTATGTGTGTTCAGATGTTTATCATGGGTAAATATTCCTAAAGCTAAAAGAGACAATAAGAAGCTTGACCAACGGGCTGTAGCATCCATATTCCTAGGATATAGTTTGGAGAGAAGAGGCTGGCTTTTCTACAGCCCAGATTATAGACCAAATATATTCTGGAGCAATTTGGCAAAGTTCATGGAGACCAAATGCTGGTCTGATAGGATGGAGTGGCAACCAGTGACTACACAGCTGCCACCAGCGTTAACAAATGAGGAAGACTTTGGCGATCTGAGGTACACAGATGAGAACCTTTTTGACGAGAGGGAAGAGGAAGCATTGCAGGAATACATGGACATGGATAATGTCGATGAAACAGATGGAGGACAGACCTCAGACGAAGTTGCCAAGGAAGCAATTGAACACAATACCATTGCTGATAGATGGAATGATAATAAACTTTATGGATTTATGGTGACCAATAACAATGAAAGAAAGAACCTGGACCCAACCGTTAGTGAGGTGCTATCCAGAGAAGATAAGAAACATTGGGAAGAAGTGATGCATAAGGAGCTGGATGGGCTTAAGGCCATGGGCACATGGGAAGTCACTGATCTCCCGAAGGGTATGAACACCGTTGACACATGTTGGGTACTAAAGATAAAGATGGATGCCAACCTAATCCCGACCAAGTTCAAAGCAAGGTGTCAGGGGTCTCGCGCCTGAAACCCAGGTCGGTCTGTCGAGATACTCGGTGACTATCAAACTGTGTGACAGCTATTGTCTTGGTATCGGTGACTATCAAGTTGCACAGTGACAGCAGGTGGCATTCATTGTATATACTATCATAGGTTTCGGCTGACCTCTGTGGACACTCCATTCAGGGGTAGCTCGGCACAATCAATATCAATGCTTCGGTTATGATGACACCAAGGTCTGGTGTGAGGGTTGATGATGATGAGGTTGATGGCGTTGGTGATAAGGTTGGTGAGTGTTGATGATAATGAGGTTGATGGTGTTGGTGATAAGGTTGGTGGCATCAACACGAGTGTCCAGTGTGTTGACTTTGACGCTTGAAGTGATCCCCAGATCGCAGTGGACTACTGCCTTTGGTTCTATCTATATCCGGACCGCTAACCTGCTATGGGCGCCTTTGGATGTCAGGTAGTGGTGATACAACACACACACTATGATGAGGAGCAACCTTGATAGATTGCTGCTATGCTGACTGAAACTAATATATACTTATGCTGAAGTGATAACTAGTTATGGTGAGTAGAGTGGATGAGGATCCACTCGACCTATGATGATGAGAAAGCATGGTTATATACCTCTTCACAGCTTCGCCAGTGATGCTGCTCCTGCTCTCTCTCCAGAGAGTACCTTCTTCATCGAGTACTGCTCAGGGGCCTCTCCTGCTTGGCACCCCTGTGCCTCTTGAGCTGTGTCAACTCCTTCGACACTGCTCCTCCTCCTTGCTATCCTGCTGCTTGTTTGGCACCCCTGTGCCTCCTGAATGGTGTCGATTCCTTTGACACTGCTCCTCCTCCTCATGACCTGGTGTCGACTCCTTCGACACTGCTCCTTCTCCTTTGATCAGTGACAGTTCCTTTGGCTCTTGTCTCTCAAGCCCCTGAGTGGTAACCATCTGCATGCTCCTTGAGCTTGGTCCTCTTTGTGGCTGTGCCTGCTCCTTGAGCTTGGTCCTCCTCGTGGCTGTGCTTGGCCCTCCTTTGCATGTGAGTCCATAGGAGTCCATGGTCTCCATGGAGACTGCACTACGACCATGCTCTCTACTGGTATCGACTAGATCTTCGATACCTGTGCTCCTTCCATATGAACCAGTGACCCTCCTGCTTATTGAGCATCCAGGCCCATGACACAAGGTTAGTGGCACGGGGCTTCACTCAAAGAGAGGGTATTGATTACACAGAAGTTTTCACCCCTGTAGCACCTATCCAGTCAATTTGAGGAGTTCTAGCCATGGCAACTGTATGAGACTGGGAAGTAGATTGTGTCGATGTTAAACAGGCATACCTGAACTTGACATTACATCATAGTATCTTCTTAAAGCCACTGCTTGGAATGAAGGTACCCCCTGGAAAGGCCCTGAAGCTAATGAAAGGCCTATATGGATTAAAGCAATTGGGTAGAGAATGGAATATGGAGCTAGACTCACACCTACGAAAGATAGGTTTCTATTGCATGCCAAGCGCTCCATGCCTATACTCAAGAGGAACAGGTGATAGCATGACAATCATCACAGCCTATGTAGATGACATGCTTATAACATCACCCAGTCATATGGAGGTAAGCTGCACTAAGGATGAGATAATGGCAAAATGGGGAATGGAAGATAAAGGACCTGTGAAGGAGTTCTTAGGCATAAGGATAGATCAAGACAGAATATGGAGAAGGATGACACTCGATCTAATGGCTTACATTAAGGCTATGGTGAGAAAGTGGCTACAAACAACTGATCTGAAGTCATGGGTACTGATGCAGAGCCTGACGGGTGTTACGGGTGGTGACAAGTGCAACTCATTGGCAGCAAAACAGTACCAAGAATTAGTTGGACAGCTTTTATGGGTATCTAACACAGCACAGCCCAACATATCATTCACCATAGGAACACTAGCAAGATACATGTCGAGCCCAACGAGCAATGCATGGAAGGCAGCATTACATTTGGTGAAGTACCTCAATCAAACCAGCGAATATAAGCTACTCTTCGGAGATGAAGCGAACAAACACTCGGGACAGCAAATCATTATGTATACTGATGCAAATTGGGCATCGGACCCAATGAATGGATGAAGAAGCACATCAGGGGGAGTAACATACATGTATGGGTGCCTGGTTAGCTGGAGATCACATGTTCAAAAGTGCATGGCATTGTCAGCAGTCGAGGCCGAATTCGTAGCTGCTTTGGAGGCAATGAGAGAGGCTCTTTTCTTCTCATACCTTCTCAGGGACCTGGGAGTTGAGGCCCATCCACCAACATTGTGGACAGACAGTCAAGGATGTATCCAGGTAAGCAAAGACCCCACCAAGCACTGGAAGTTGAAGCACATTGACACAAGGTACCACTTCGTCAGAGACCATGTTCAGGAAGGAGAAGTCAAAATCGATTTCGCCGGGACAACAGACAATGTCACGGACATCCTCACGAAGCCATTAAAGGGCTTGGCCACATCTCGGATCACATGCCTAATAGGATTGACGATGCCGTCAAGGGGGGGAGTTGAAGATGTGTCGGCATCCTAAACCAAATCATGTGGTTTGCAGAGCACAAGCGAGACACTGGTGAGTCAGAACTGCATGTCAACATGCATCGATATGCATGTGGGATATATAAGTACTTCAACAATAACACTCATGAGATGGCAACGCTCAGGAGGTGACAACACAGGGGTGATATGAAGAATAGTTCATTATGATCTAGTATGGGCTGAAGATAGCAGTCAAGTATATATATGTTCACATTGTAGCACCTATCAATTAAAACATAACAACCGTTATATGCCTGAAAGGTTGAGCTTGCTAGTAGCTCCTAAACAGTCGCGTTTTACCTGTAATCTTCAACTAAACGTCATTCAAAATGTCGTCTGTGCACAAGTATGGCTGAGTCGACGTCTGTCTTGAATCCTCTCCATCAACAATCCTCTCTATCAACAATCATCTCCATCAACAATCCTCTCTATCAACAATCATCTCTATCAACAATCCTCTCTCTATCTTCCCAGACATTCCTCTACAGAGCGCAGGTGGAAGGGACAGACTTCGTTGCAGCTACAACCATACTCTCCCGACGCAGCTCGACGTGCCTTCGTGGCCTAGCAAAGTCGATCCTGTCTCTACGACCCTCACAACCTGGCTACGGGAGATACATCATGTCGCAAGCGGAGGTCAACCCGGCCAAGAAGGACGAGAATGCTCGTCTGGCAAAGCACCCTTCCCTCGTCAGGCCCCTTTATGCTTTCGACCTACCTCCAGCTTTGCACAACACACTCAAGCTTCGATCACGCATAGAGGAAGCGGAAGCCTCTCAGTTACTCGCACCCAGCAATGCTCCTTCACAGTCTTTAGTATCGCAGGACCAAACGCAGTCGGACGACCAGAGCCAAGTGCGCAACCCTTCGCATCTTCGTGTGCCTCCTTGCTCGCTCTGTCCAGGCTGTCCACCTTTCCCATCTGTCACAGCGCAACGAGCACATTTCCGATCTGATTGGCACAGATACAATGTTCAACTCAATGTTCAGAACGGCTCCGTGCTCGTTTCGGAGCAATCGTTTGAACGTCTTTCGGAAGAGGTTGAGTCAGCTAGCGAAGTCGAATCAGACGAAGACGCACAGCAGTCTCGCTCTACCGCCGTCAAGACAGACCTCGTCACCAAGATTCTGGCTCGAACATCGCTTCAAGCTGGCAGCTCTGCGTCTACTGCTGCTTCGGAGGATGCGGAAGCTGATGCGCTAGATGCTTTTCAGCTGCGTGCGCCTCTGTTGTGGTTCGTCTCCAAGGACAGCGCGCCCGACACGGACAAGCTGCCTCAGACTCAACTCGGATTCCATCGAAATGTCTTCCCCGATCCAGGAACATCCTCAGCCCCAACCCTGTCGCCTTCATCCTCCATCAACGACTGGTATGCAGCCTGTATCGCCTCCATGCAAGCCGGTCGCATCACACGCAAAGGCTCAAAGCAATCAGCATGGAAGGGGAAGCGCATAAAGTCAAAGGAAGTACAAGAGGCAGCAAAGTCCGTCATGATGACCGTTCTGGACGGTCAAGGCTTCATTCCAGGACTTTCTACAGCAGTCAAGTCGGAAGGCGCTGGCAGCAGCGACGAGTACGATGAAGCTACTTCAGGCTCTGAAGACGGTGAATCTTCCGATGAGACCATGTCTGCATCCACCATCAGCCGCAATCCCAACCCTGATCCTCCACTCCGCATGTGGACGGTACTTCTGCTCGGCGGAGGACATTTTGCAACCTCAGTCATTGCACTCAACCCGCATGTGATCACCTTGCAAGGTCGAAAACAAACTGGTGCTAGAGAAGACCGGTCCTTGATTCTTTTGGCGCACAAAGCATTCCACCGATATACCACTCGACGAAAGCAGGGAGGTGGACAAGCGGCTCAAGACGCTACCGGACGTTTCGCAAAGTCTGCTGGTGCTCAATTGCGACGATACAATGAAGCTGCACTTGGTGATGATGTGCGTGGCCTGCTCGACACGCCTGGTTGGCGAGAACTCATCTCGCGCAGTGAAAAAATCTGGATTCGAGCTGGAGCTCGAGCAGCGCGTGGATTGCTTTGGTCCTGGGAAGGCGCCAAAGCTAATCGGGGCAGCCCACTCGAAGTGGCACGCAACGATGGACGGCTCGCATCTCTGCCATTCCCTACACGACGTCCAACGATCGGCGAGACAGTGCGATGCTTCCTTGAACTCACCAAGGTCAAGGTCGAGCACAAATCGCAAGAGCAATTGGCAGCTGAGCAAGAAGAAGCGCTCCAGCAGATCAATCACAAGTCTCGCAAGGAAGCTGAAGCCAAGCGTCGAGAGGAGAAAGCGAGAGAACGAGCTGCAGCTCTGGACAAGAGCCGAGCAGAGAAGGCTGCCAAGCCGGCTCGGCTGACGGAAGAGGAGCAGGCGGAACGCAACAAGTGGTCGCGACTCGTCGAGATGGTACGCAAGAACCGAACAGAAGCACTCATGACATTCTTGAGCAAGAACGAGGAGGATATACTGGATGGGAAAATGGATACAAGACTGCCAGACTGGCTGCTGGAACAGGAGATGAATGAAGCAGGTCCTTCAGCTCCAGCTTCGAGGTTGATGCCAACAACGATCCTACAGCTGGCAGCAGAAGCTGGAAGTGAAGATGTAACTCACTACCTGCTCAAAGAGAAGGATGCAAATCCTACACTCCCCACGGAGCGTCTAGGCGAGCTTCGAAAGCGTTTCTCTGCCGCTGATAAGAGGCAAGACGAGGCCTCTGCAGAAATGCCTCACCGGACAGCCTACGATTTTTGCAACACCAAAGAAGTGCGCAACGTCTTCCGACGGATGATGGCCGAGCACCCTGACCGATACGACTGGGGAGGAATGACATCCGGAGGAGCCCGCGTGCCAAGCGCCTTGACAGACGAGATGCAAGACCACCAGAATGCTAAGCAGAAAGATCGACGTGCAGCGATGCGTGAGAAAGCTCGAGAACGTGCCAACAAGGCTGCTGAAAAAGCGACTTTCACGCCTGTTCAATCGGAGGACCAAGTGGGCAAGGCGGAGACGATTGAGTCGAAGAGCTCGCACCAAACGACAAACCGTCTTGGTGGCACCAATGTTGCTCCTAGAACATTGCTGCAGCAGAGGGATGAACAGCAAGGTCTGACACCCGAAATGCGCCTTCGAATCGAGCGAGAGAAGCGTGCAAGAGCGGCAGAAGAGCGCATCAAGTCTCTGATGAACAACTGATCTTGGTCTTCACAAAGTGGCACATCTCATTCCAAACGACAAGATCATCAAACGTCGTATGCTTGATGCAGTGTGTAAAGATGAATCACTCGTACAAATACAAGATGCCCCGAGCAAGAGCAGATCAAGGAGAAGAATGAAGGGCTGAAGGTTAAGGAGCGAAGTTGATTGAATATCCGCCACCAGGCTGTTGGGTAAAATTGAAGTTGTTCGTACTCCAACCAAAGTTACCCAGGATGCTATCGCCTAAGCCCTTCAACTTGGAGATCATTTCGTCCTTCTCCTTTTCTGCAGCCTCCTGAGTTTTGGCTTCTAACCTCTCTATCGCTGCCACAACTTGTGGTTTGGTAGGTGCTGGAAGATCAGGGAGAGTGAGAAGAAGTTTGTTGTCTTGCACAGCAGAAGAGTAGGCAGACCAACCACCGATTTGCTCGTTTGCTTGTGCTCGCCGGTAGAGCGCTTTGACGTAGTTTGGCTGGTCGAGCAAAGATTGGTTGCATGCTTTGACTGCATCGCGGTACTGCTCGAGACGAAGATGTGTCGCTGCGATGTTTGCGTAGATGACCGAACGGAAGAGACGAATCTGCTCCTGTTCTTCTGTCTCAGCTACTGGACTTGATCGAGTTGGTGATGCTGCATCGGTCTCTTCTGAGCTCTTGTCATTCGACGTGGTTCCTTCTGTTGCGTGTACTTCTGACGCTGAAGTGCAAGGTTCGGGATCCGATGTACCTTCTCGTGGTGGAAGCTTGGCCAAGAGGTCAAGGTAAGTGGATAGTGCGGCATCGTAGTGCTTGGCAGTAAACTTTCCATTCGCCTCTACCTTGAGTTGATGAATCTCCTCGGAGACGTATGCGTCTTGTATGATGGCCATGGCGAGTCGAATGTGCGGTGCGCTGATATGGACTCGAAGAGGAGCTTGCGTTGTGGCTGTAGAAGTGCAAGAACTGATTGCGTTGCCGATTTCCGAGTGCCGGTTTCCGAGTGCCGGTTTCCGAGTGCCGGTTTCCGAGTGCCGATACGCAAGACCCTGAAATCTGCAAAGTGGAGGATGGAAAGGAAACCAAGGGCCCAACACTTGAAAGAAGAAGTGCACCTTGGCTTGAAACATGCTCACCACCACCGCTTTTCCAATTAGAGGCTGGAGCAGAAGATGGAGGACGCAAGGACGAGCGCAAAGGGTGCCGAACTGGCTCCACTAACAAATCAGGTTGCCGGACATGCTGGTGGTGTACAGAGCCTGGAAGGAGGGCGATTGGTGATCAAGGACTGCTTACCACGCGAACTGCAATTCTATGAGCAAGTCAAGCAGGCGGTGGCAGGGAAAGCAGCACTTGACTCTCGACAGGCGAGGCTGCTGGAGAGGCTGCTCAAGGTGATGCCAGAATGCCTAGGTAGCTGGCAAGATTATATCGGTCGCCAGTCTGGTTCAACTCTGTCCACGAACGGGAGGGATGAGCGGCCCAGGATCGTGATGGAAAACCTGACCTTTGGATACGAGAAGCCGAATGTGTGCGACATCAAGCTGGGCACGCAGCTCTGGGACGAAGAGGCAAGCGAAGAAAAGCGGCAGAGGATGGAGAAGGCGGCGGCAAGCACAACTAGCGGCTCGCATGGCATTCGATTGACAGGATGGCAGGTAAGCATGACCCTATGAAATCCAGCTGCGAGAAGATAGGAGCTTCGGCTGCTTACCTCCTCTTCTACCCTTGCCCACTGCCTTTAGACATTTGATGCCGAATCGCAAAGCTATCACAGCATACCCAAGACGTTTGGCAAGACAATCAAGCCCGAGCATCTGGAACTGGGAATGCGGATGGTCCTTGCCTGTCCAGAAGATGGGGATGCGCAGCAAGCCGAGAAGGCTCTGAAAGGAAGCAGTATGGATGGTCGACGTCTTCCGAGCCTGCCGACCGAGCTGGTGGCAAGAATGCTGCGAGACCACATCCTAAACGACCTGGACGAGATCCATGCCATCTTTTCAGAAGTGCAAGTGCGGATGCGAGGCGCCTCGCTGCTCATTGTCTACGAAGGAGAGGCAGGACATCTTAGACAGAGCCTCTCAGCAGACAAGAGCGAGATATCAAAAGGCAGACGACCTCAAGTGCGACTGATCGATTTCGCACACGCCACCCTGGTTGACGATCAAGGCCCCGATCAAGGCCCCGATCAAGGCGTTTTGCTTGGACTCAGCACCATGCTCGACTTGGCCCGTAGACAGCTAGAGAGGCTCGAGCAGATCAAGGCGCCATAGCTGGTATGTTTTGTATCATAGCTTCCAAGTTCAACTTGCGCCCTTGCCCGCTGTGTGCAAGCCTTACTCGGCCGAGATAGAGTGAGAGATGATTGAGCATTGTCGGATGAGCCGTTGTATTACGTATGCCGAGGAGGAAGGATATGTATAACCATCAATACTAACTCAAAACAATGCCAACAGAGCTCAGACGCTTATCTCTCTTTGATACGGTCGTCGGACAGCCGAGGTCTTCGGCCTGATACGCTCATCGGATGGACCGAAGCGTTGGGCCCAATAGGAAAACGTCGGCCATCCCGACGACTAGCCTGATAGCAGTCTGATAGCAGTCGATACATGCACAGCCTTTCTTCATCAGTCATGTGCTCATGCAACAGTTAGGCTTAGGAGTTGGCGTTGGCGTGGGAAAGCATCGGAAGAGCCGAATGCATACAATTTTGGCAGATTTCGAGGATTTTCGCCTAAAAACACCTTGCTAACACTTGTTCGGCTGAGCCGTTCTCATCACTCACCATCACCATCCCAGCATGACCGTTTATCCGTATCGTCGATAAGCTAGGAAAGAGGCCTAACGTTGTGGCAACAGCGGCTCGAAAGGTTTCTACGCAGCTAGCTCTGGCTCCCTCACCATGGTCGTCGTCGTCGCCAGCCCACAGCAACACCATCTCGACCATGCCTTGGAGCCTTTACAGCCACCATTACAGTTTGCTGAGCAGTCCACCCCAACAAGGCAGGCCTCATCCTCTCGAGCAGCACAGCAGTCCAACAACACTACCTTTACGGCCACTACCTTTACGACCACTACCTTTACGAACAATACCACCTCTTCTTCAGTCCGGATGCCACCCTCTAGACCATGCTGTCTCAAATGCCAGCCCATCCTCCAGCATTCCAATTCCACCGCCAGTGTGCCCACCAATCATCCTGCCCACTCGACCAGATTCGTCACTCGGTCCAATCATGCCACCGTACGTTACTATCTCGGCCCTACTATCGTCCCTGCATCCACTGCCAAAGCACTGGCACTGGCCATCATCCACGACGGCCTGACCGATCTACCCACATCTTCAGCCCACGACAAATCTGCGTTCAGTCCGCATCCTCCTGAGCAAGCCCACGATATAGCGGCAGCAGACTATGCCTCCTTGCCGCCAGTGCAGTCACAACCTGCAAGGCCAGCTCCTCCCTTGCATACATCTACGCACCCCTTCAGCACTTGCAGCCCAACACAACCTCCAGCACATGAACAGCGCCAAGCCTTGTCGCCACCTTCTTCACCATCCACACTGAGGAAGCCTCGTCTCGTCGACAGCGATCCATCGTCCGCTTCAGTGCTTTCTAATGCCTCCTTTGCTAGCGCACAGTCTATACCCCCTTCCGCCCTTAGCGACTCCGAGCCCGCCCAGCGGGGACGGACCATCTTTGATCTTGACCCTTCCACAGCAACCCACTCCTCTTCCTCGCCTTCACGCTCCGTCAGCCCTTCCAAGAAGAGGTTTGCCCTGCTCAATCGATCCTTTCCCATTACCGCTGCAGCCAGCTCCAACCTCCATCCTCCTCCTTCCATCCTCAAATCAAATGTGCAAAGCGAGAGGACAACTCTCAGAGACGCACGGAGCGCAGAAAACCTACGTCTTGCAGCTTTGCCTCAACAGCGCAGGACAGGCTCCGAAGGCTCCAAATTCTCTGCCACAGCCGCTGCTACGAACGGCACTTTGTCACAAGCCTTGCCCATCCTTGAGCTTCCACTCGATCAGATCGAAGAGGCATTCAACGATTCAGACACTCCCCACCACGTGCAGTCATCCAGTGAGCCAAATTCTCGGCCCAACTACGCCTCGGAAGCACAAGCAATGTCCCCGCAGCCAAACACCTCCCATCCGGATCACCAAGCTCCAGCTTTGCAAAACGAGCGCAGAGATCTAAACAGCAGCAATGACACTACCATCATCATTCGTAACGGTCAGCAAGTTGGCCGGGATGGTGGTGCCCCTCATTTGCGACATCAATCCTCTTTCACTAGCCGCTCCGAGTCGTATCCAGCTGGACCCAATCATGGCGCCTCTGCACATCTTCAACGTCAGGATCTCCTACATCCCGCCTGGGAGCAGTCCACAAACGGAGTGAACGGCACGCATGCAGCCAACGAGAGTCTGGCCAACGGATCAGCCACCTTGGCCGACCCACTCACGGCCATGGAGACGGAGGACAACCAGCACAGTCTCACAGCGCCTTGGCGCAACATTGTCCCAAGGGGCCTGCCAACCAAGCGCTCTCTGACTTTCAGTGGGGAGCCGAGCGCAGCACGTCGCTCCACCAATCCGGCAACCACTCACTTGCCGCGAGCTGTTGACAGTCACCATCGTGACTTTTCACGTCAGAGCCGAATGAGTAGAGCATCTACCGCTGGCACTTTCAACACCGTCGGCACTGAGGGCAGCTTCGGCCTTTCGGCTGGTGCCCCTTCGACCTTTGCACGAAAGTTCCTGGCCGGCGGTAGCTTCCGAAGCGTCCCGAAGCGCACCGACTCGATACAGAATCGAAACTTGCATACTCAGTTTGGTCCTACACGCACCAATTCCATTCGCCATCCATTCAGTCCAAGCTCTCCGACTTCCATCCGCGCACGAAAGACTGCGTCTCCTTTTGTCGTCCGACGTCGCCGTCCGACTCGATCGGCAAGCCATGCGTCCATGCATCGAGATCCTTCGCCTCGTATCTCTGCCAGCGGTACCGAAATTTCTCTTGCGGATACAATCTCGTCAGTACATGCTCGAGGCGTGCCGCCAGGCGCTGTCGGCACGAGTACCGGCGGTTCAAAGTGGGTCGGTGAGAGCTTCCAAGTCGGCAAGCGATTCTGGGATGTCGTCAACGTACGCCGCGCTGAGCTGCAACAATCACAACCTTGCTCGTGTGGTAACCATCAGAGCTCAACTGACAGTGCACACTCACCAGACGCTGACGCCCAGCACTCCGATCAAAAGTGGGCCGAAGAGCATGCTGCCAAAGTCCAGCATCTGAAGCAAAGCCCAGATGGCGTCATTACATTGCTTGCGCAGGAGGCTCAAGACATTTCGGACCACAAGGCCTCGGAGGCACAGGCGCAGGCCCAAGCAGGGACAGATCATCAGCATGCATCTGCCATGGACAAGGCTACTCGCTCACGCGAGCATTCTTCGACAGAGCCATCATCGCAGATGCGGAAGGACAAGTCCGGCAGCGAGACGCCCACGCGCCGAAAGCTCAGCATCGATGAGTCGCTCGCCTCAATTCAGGCGGTCCATCCGGATGAGGCGACGCCTCTCGCCATCGAAGCCCGTCAAGGCTGGAGCGAGATCGTGTCCAAGATGGCCTCCTTGACAGGGGAGCTCAGCACCGGCTTGAAGACGCGCACTTTCGATCGCAAGAGCAGTCCCTCCTCGAAGCTCGAAAGCAAGGCTGCAGACAAGTCCTCTTCTCGCTTAGCTGACGATCTGCCGAACAAAACACCAGAGCAGAACGGATCGTTGAAGGCACCCGCTGACTCGGACTTCAAGATTCGTGCAAGATCAACAAGCCTAGTCGAGTCTGACAAGTCTTCGACTGCATCTCAGTCCGTCTACGCCTCTCTACACCCATCGTCACACATCAACGGCTTTGCGCCTCGAGCTTCGAGCCTGGCTTCCCGTATGGCGCCTACCATGACGAGGAGCGATGCGCTCTCGCACCCAGCTCCTCCAGCCTCGGTCGAGGCCAACAATCCAGAGCTGGTTCATCAGCTGCTACGACGCAAGAGCGATTTAGGAGAAAGACCCGATGTCATGTCGGACGCTGCAAGCGACCATGCTGTTGCAGTCCGACCTGTGGCATCGCCTCTCCGTATGACACCGACACGAGAGCTTGTCTCGCCAAACGCGATGCCCTTGTTGGAGCAAGGCCCCTTTCCCATTGACTCGAGCCCGCCCAATGAGAGGCTCGACCCCGCTCCCAAGGCCTCGGGCTTCTTCAAATCTGTTGGCCTCGCCAGCAGCCCCGCTCGAAAAAAGACAGTCAAGTTCGAGACTGGCTCGACACGGACTCCGCTTCAGGGGCGATTTACAGCCTCGCTCTTCGCCGGCAAAGCCAAAGACAACGCCACACCTTTTGCAGAAGTGCTTCCTACCGCTCCGGGCAACGCAGAGCCAAAGCCTCCCGAGGAAGTCCTCACCAGACCACAGCCCAACGTAATCCAAGCTCCACTCTCCACTGGCAACTCCACCCCCATCAGTGAAGGGCAGTCGAGCGAGGCCAGCATCATCGCCAGCCGAAGTGTGATCAAGAAAGATCGCATGCTCGTCAAGGTCGCCTGGACGCCGCATCAAGATCTTCCAACTGATTTCGACGAACTGCAAGCGCGCAAGTACTCGATCCGCGAAGAAGAATGGCGAGAGTTCATTGTAGTCTTCAGAATGGGCAAGCTCGAGCTCTACGCAGACTCGTCGCTAACAAGTAAGCTGCGCGGTCACGGCGACCGTCTCAAGCTCCGCTTGACCATCCCCCTTTCGCGCGGCTCCACCTTTGTCTCGCTGTACTCGCCCATCGACCGCATCTTCTGCCTTACCTTCCAGCCTTGGAAACTCTATTCGGCGCAGCATAATGAAAGAAGGATTCATCTCCGCAGGCAGGGAACCGACATCGTGCTCTTTGACTGTCGAGCTCGTTCGGCTGCAGCTGATTGGATGTGGGAGCTGTGGAGGGAGCTGGGCGGCCTGATCCCTGAGTCGCTCGAGATCCACGTGCCATCTTTCGGTCTGAAGGTCAAGATCCCAATTCCTGAAAGCATGCCAGTGGAACGAGCTCAGTCGACGATGAATACACCTGGCAGTCAGCTGAGCGCCGAGAAAGGTGGCCTGTTTGCACTCAGCTCGATCGGACAATCCCAGGAAGGTGGTGAGGGCTTCAAGCTCATCAACCGCGACAACGTCATCGCCATGACCTGGAAGCTATTCTGCGGCATCCCGCAGTGGCATGATCTCATGGAGCTTTCTCGACAAAGTGGTCTCAGGCTCGAGCTTGCTTGGCGTCGAGGAACAGAGCTGGACTGGGTCATTAACGAGCGGACCGTCGAGAACGAGCCTTGCCACTGGGCTGTTCTTTGCGGTGCACTGCTGAGGGACTACAAGCATCCTTCCATCTTGGAGCTAAGAGCAGCAGCGCATTATCCGACTTCGGTCCTAGTTTCGCCTGGTCAGTACATGCAGGAACCACCTGCTGTGGAAGGATACCTGTGGCGTCTCAGACAAGTGTCGGGCAAACCCACCCGTCTATACTTGACGACCTACGATGGTCACCTCTACGTCTGCCGCGCCTCTCGAGCCTTCACACCAGACCGTGTTCTGGCGGACAAGATGAAAGAGACCTTGTGTCTGCGAGTGCCTAAGCCAAGCAGCTCAACTCAGGACAAAAACAACAAGGGCAAAGCTGCTGCGCTTGACTCAAGAAGCGGCTTTGCACGCGCTCTCGCCAAGGTTGTCGGCAACAACACGGCCGCGCGTCGTGACGAAGATGTGGAAACTCTCCGCCAGAATGTTATGGAGCTCATCAGCTACGCAGCCGAGACTGAGGAAGATTTGCAAGCTCAGATCGACGCCTACCAGTCTTTCGAGAGACGTAGGCAGTTTGAGCAGATCCGAGGCTCGGATGGATTTATCGACCTGAAAACGATCCACACTATCAAGACGGTCGGCAAAGGCCCCGAACGCTGCCCAGGCGAGGATGATGTCCGCCGTCCTGTGTCTAAAGGTATGACATCCTTGATCTCAAAGGGCCAAGGGGATTCGGCTGCAGCTCAAGGCGATGACAAACAGTCGGGCTTCAAGGACGAGCAAGACACAATTGTCGACATTGGTGGACAAGAAGGGCTTGAACGTGCCAAAAATGAGGCAAAGGAAGGCGCCAAGGACGGCGCAAAGGAGAGCATTGATCTGCAACGAGCGCGTCAGATCGAGATCACGCTCACGAACGGCAAAAGCGTTCGACTGGAAGCGTTTAGCGCAACTGTTGCCCGAGAGTGGGTGGAGTGCATCTCGGATCTCGTCAAGTACTGGCGACGTAGGGAGAGAGCCGATGCGATCGAGCTCATGCAAGCCTCGGGTATCGATATGACCGAACTCAACAAGCAGCTTTCAGGGCGCAAGACCATGGCTCACAGCTTCGACGGCGTTGAGGAGCAGAAGCTATCGCCCATCCTTGGCAATGTTTGGAACTGGTGTCAGATCGAAGGTTGTCGCAACATCATTCGATCTGGACGGCTCTTCCATAAGAAGAGCAGCTACAGCGCTTTCAAGGCGCGTGACTATGTTCTGATCGCTGGTCGGCTACTCTGCTTCAAGTTGGTCCGTTCCGTCAGAACATCGCGAGCGAGACAGAACAACGGTATCTTCCATCGTCGACAGGAGACAGTGATCCATTTGCGCGATGCATACGTCTACAGCGGCAAGTTGAGCGAAGACATGCTCAAGAATGGACGATCGGAGCCAGCGCAAGCGGTATCTGGGCTCTTTGGCGGCGGGTCTAACAGCGGCAAGCGTCATCGCGTGCCGAGAGTCTATGCTGATGGACTCTTTTCGGTGGACGATGACGAGGATTGTACCTTTGTGATTCGTTATCGTCCCGAGAGGGTCAATACGCCAGCGGACCCTAGCGTGGGCAGTCTTACGACCAAGAAAGGGAAGGCTGCTGCGCAGAGAAGTTCATCAGCAGCAGGAAGGACAGAGACGGCAGGCTCGAGTGCTAGTGTGCCAGCGCTGGAGGACAAGAGGCACAAATACATCGCAATGCGGGCACGTTGCAAGACGGAGAGGGATTTGTGGGTGCGCTGCATCACGTACGAGATCGAGAAGATTGTGCGAGAGGACGTGGAGCGCGAGAAGAAGCTCAAGAACATTGGCAGGGTCGATTATAAGGACCGTAAGTAGAGTCACACTTGAAAACCTAACTGTAGGTGTGTGGCTGCAAGGTGATGGAGTTGGAAGGATTGTTGCGAATGCGGCGACATGAGAGGGCTGATGACCATGTTTGTATACCCAAGCCCTCTCGACCAAACTTTTCAGCGGCAATAGACAGTTTTGTTTTCCACAAGTGACGTCCTCTGTGTGAATGTGTGAATGTGTGATGGCTGGGACTGAATGTGAATGAATGTGAATGAATGTAATGCTTTTGAAAGCCAAGTGGATGACTGGACTGAGCTGAGAGCATTAGGCTGGATTGATGGTGAGGAAGCTAAAAGTAGGAAGCTGCTGATCCAAGCAATATCGACAAGGCGGAAGCGAGTGAGAGGCTGGATCAAGGAGCAGCCTTGGGCTTCTTGGAGCCGTACTTTGACCTGGAGGTTTGACGACCTGCAACACCGGCCAAATCCTGAGCACCTCTGACCAAATGATATCTTATACCTGGACAATCCTGTACACGACCACCACGGACCAAGACGACCGAGTGTTCCTGCAAGTTGTGACCTTCACCCGGAATGTAAGCGGCTACCGAACGACCGTTGGAGAGTTTGACACGGGCGACTTTGCGAATAGCCGAATTGGGTTTCTTGGGTTTTGTGGTGAAGATTTTGCTGCAAACTCCCTTGACGAAAGGTTTCGATTCCAGAGCAGGCACTTTGTTGACCGCTGGTCGATGGGCTTTGCGTGCACCACGAAGGTTTTGTTGCAGAGTCACCAAGCAAGGTTGGCATGTGGAAAAGGCGCGCATCGAGGGGGAGATGCAAGTGACGGCGTTGATGGGTAGGCGGGATGGTCCAGCAATGGCGCTGCGAATGAGGGAGGAGACCATCGTCCAAGACATTGTGCCGGAGATGTATGAGTGAGGAGAGGATAGATAAGGTGGTGGCAGAAGGTACGGTAGTACGGTGGCATGGTGACAAGGCCAAGAAGACGTCAGCCAACGCAAAAACAAAAAAACAAAAAAAGGTAAAAAAAAAAAGGTGTTAAGTCTTGGGGAGATCACATGATTACAGACACGGTCTAACATTCCACCGCATAATAAAATAGAAAAAGAAAAAGAAAAAGAAAAAGAAAAAGAAAAAGAAAAAGAAAAAGAAAAAGAAAAAGAAAAAGAAAAAGAAAAAGAAAAAGAAAAAGAAAAAGAAAATGGAAATGGAAATGGACGAGGTTGCTGTCTCACGTGGACACGCTTGGAATTTCGGCTGCGGTCGAGCCAAGAAACCTGTCAGTCTTTCACTCGCACACACACACACACACGCCCAGAGGATATCCTTGCTTCCATTCCTCATCATCCCAACCATCAGACACTTGCCTAGAATAACAGCAGAGTCGACACAGATCTCAAAACCACATCGTCCTGGCTCAATCGCAGCCTGACACCGCAACCCGCGCGCTTGGCCATCTCCCCTCTTGGACAAGAACGTTGAACGCTGAAAGAGTCTGCATAGCCGCCCCTGGTTGCGAGTCCCAATAGAGCGTCGACACATAGGCAGCATCTCTATACTCTAGACGGCCCGACATCATGGGTGACACTTTCCTCTCGCAGCCCGAGTTCTTCGAGGTGGAGCTCGGCGAATCTCTGCTATCGAGAACAGAGACGCTCGCCTCTTTCCGCGAGCTCGGCCCACCGGATCTTGTGCATGTGATCAAGTCTACAGGCACCAGCGCCAGAACACGCGACATGGGTTCCTACCACTACGTCTCGGGTGTCGATGCTTCCTCTTCTGCCGCCCTTGCCGCCTACATCAACAGCCTCACCTACGAGCTCGACCAGAATCCAGGCTTCTTCTCCAGCAAAGCGGCTTACAAGCTCAAGAGCGGCGCCTATTGCTGCTTCAACGCCTTCTCTCGCGTCGATGTACGTGTAGAGGTGCGCATTCCAGGCAGTGTCGATGCTTACCTCGTTGATCTTCGTGGCGAGCGTCACGAAACGACACCGGAAATCTGGCAAGAGGTCTACCTGTCAGCTCTTCTGCGTGCTATACTATATGCAGATGATGCCAACTATCGACTCGCTGGCTATCGCAAACTCGACCCAATCTCGAGTCCAGATGCAGAGCACCGTTTCCTTCAGGCAGCGGAGAACCTCTTCTTCAAAGGATGGCAGCTTGGTTCCGATCCCGAGATTCAAGTGGCCACCGTCGTTTCCAACCATCTCACTGCCGCTATCTTGAAGTACTTTGGCGAAGCATCTCGATACGAGCAGGCTGTTAACCTGTTCGAGAAGCTATGGGCGAGAGAAGCGGAAGTTGGCGCTCTGGTAGCCCAGTCGTACATCGGCATGAACCAAGAGATCAAGGCAGTTCAAGTGATGCACACTGCTATCAAGGAGACGCCTCAGTCGTACGCGCTCTTGCATGCTCAAGTCGACTTGTTGCGTTGCAAAGGCAAGTTCGAATGGGCGCTCAAGGTGGCTAAGCAAGCTGTCAACTGTGCACCCTCAGAGTTTGTTACATGGGCTAAACTCACGGAATGCTACATCGACTTGGAGCAGTGGCAGTCGGCCTTGTACACACTCAACTCCTGTCCTATGTTTACCTACAACGAGAGGGATTTGCACAGGATGCCCACCCCAGCACGAAGCCATTTGCCCGTCAAGGCTTTTATCACGGAGAGTGGACTGGTGGATGAAGAGAGTGCACGTGATAACGAGGCGGATGTTGCGCTCTTGCGATTGCCAGCACCTGCATTGCGAGGAACTTTCGCAAAAGCGTATGCGCTGCTCGGACGATTGGTCAGCTCGATTGGTTGGGATGAGCTGCTCAAGTATCGATCCAAGGTGTTTGTCATGGAGGAAGAGTATAGGGCGCAGAAGGCTGCTGCCACTGATGTCGCTCAAGATGATGACGCTTCGATTCGTGCTGTAGCTCCCCATGACTCGCCTCCGCTGGCTTCCTCGACACCGCCGCCGCCAGTTGCTGCTTCAGCTGGCGCCAAGGAACTCGACAGTGAAGCGCAAGATTCGGAAGAACAAAGCCAAGATGAGATGGACAGCAGCGAGATTCAGGAGCCTTGCAATGGTGCTGGTGCTGGTGCTGGTGCTGCTGCTGTTTCACAAAAGTCGCAGCTAGGCATCAACTCGGCCGCCAAGGCCTCTTCCCAATCCATTCCCACCATCAAAATCTCGACGGAATCTGATCACGAACGAGAAAAGCAAGAACTGGAAGACTACATGAAAGCAATGCACCAACCCTGCTTGCCCACTACCGATGAATCGCAAAGCCAAGATTGCACTTCAACTTCAATCCAAGTCGAAGCACCACCTCTGGAAAAACCGGCGCTGGCATCATCCAGTCACGAGGGCACGGAAACCTCGACGAGGACCACGGGCCTGCTCCCCTCTGATCTGCACAGCTGCAATGCAAACGGCAACAAAACGCCTCCGCCTGGGGCCATTGTGAACGGCGAACACGATGCATCGATCGCAATCGCCGAAGCTCGCCAAAACCAAAAGAACACTGGCGAATTCTCGTCATTCCGCGACAAACGTCTCTGCGAACGATGGCTGGACAATCTCTTCATGGTTCTCTACGAAGATCTACGTGTCTATACAATCTGGCGTGCTGAAATCGCGCATTTCCGCACGCAAAACCTCGCCTACCGCAAGACAGGAACGGAATGGGAAATCCTCGGAGAACTCGCTCTTCGGCTTCTGCACAAAGATGAAGCTAGAGATGCATTCCAACACTGTGTCGATCTCAAGTTTTCCGCAAAAGCCTACCTGAGGCTACTCGAGATTTACACCGAGGCCGGGGATGTTCGCAGGAGTCTGTGGACTGCGATTCGATTGACTGCTTACCATCATCGGTGGTATATGGAGGCAAGTTTTCCGGGCGCCGTCGCAAAGTGTCTTTTCAAATTGATCAAGTCTGAGGGGTTGGCAAAGGTTTCCTATACCCTCGTATCCATCGGTGCGCCCGAGACGATTGCGAGGTTGATGCAGAACTACTTTGCATATGCTAGTGCGTTTAAGGTTCCTGGATATGATTTCTAGCCGCTTGGTCCTGGCGTGTTTACAAGTATGCGATCTATTTCATCAACATTCCTCGATGCGTGTGCAAGTGGTATTGGTGCTGTGTGTTGATGATCTATTGTTGGGGCAAAGTTCGGACGGCGATGATGCCAACCGGCTCTCCATGCAATGCACCGCGGTGTTCTTCTATTCAACCCGAACAGGCCAATAGAAGATCCGACAGACTTGATCACTTTCCCTCGTACAGGTGGCGGAAAGAAAAGCCTCTTTGATTGGATAATTTCCGCAGTGAACGCGGGTATTTTTCTCTTTTTTTTTTTTTTTTTTTTTTTTTTTTTTTTCTTTTTTCTTTTTTTTCTTTTTTCTTTTTTCTTTTTTCTTTTCTCTTTTTTCTTTTCTCTTTTTTCTTTTTTCTGTTTTCTTTTTCCTTTTTTTTTGTTTTTTCCTTCTCCGTGCTGTGCTGTGCTGTAGCTGTGGTGATGCGACTATTGCCAAGCCTCAAAAAAAACAAAAGAAATCTTGGCATCGAATTAGAATCTGCACTGCTGACATGGAAAACTGAGTTGCAACTCACTTGGCATCCATATCCACCACACACTCTACTTTGCTCCAAGCTCTTGCTATCTCGCACAAGTCAGCTTTAGTGCTAGAGTTAACTTTGTCCGTGCCTGTCGCTGTCGCTCTTCCGTGCAAGAAGGCTTTCGCCAATCTCAACAGTGTCTTCTGTGTAGAAGAATGTGTTGTGAGAAAACTTCGAGGCGGGTGTCACTGCTTCTCGATGTTCCTGAGGATGAGACGAAAGCTTCTGTGTTCAAACTGTATATCAGCATCTGCTTGATGGGCCTAACCCTTGGTTCCCCTGCAACGCTTTCTCAGGCATATACATGAGCTTCGTATTCAACGTCTCTCGTCAGGTCGGCTCTATCTTGTTCCCCCTCTCTTCTCCCTCACACACAACCCGTGGACGACGACATCGAGCAGAAACTGGCACGATGAAATCGCCATCAGCAGCAACCACACTCGCCCTACTCGCTGCCTCAACCGCCCTATCCGCCACAATCCCCGCTCCCCCATCTATCGACTACACACTCTTCAAGCGCACCCTACTCGCCTCGCCCGCCCGCCTCGTCAATGGGAGCTACGACTACATCATTGTCGGCGGTGGGCTTTCAGGCTTAGTGCTTGCCAACCGACTTTCCTCAAACGCATCAATCTCAGTTGCTGTTATCGAAGCTGGCTCCTCCGGCTACTCTACAAATCACAAATTGGTTGTACCTTCTGCAAACCTGTACGATTCCTCAGTCGGCACGGAATACGACTGGCAATTTATAACCAGTCCTCAAGCCGGCTTGTCTGGTCGCAGTACTCCCTGGCCTCGCGGCAAAGTTCTCGGTGGCAGCAGTGCGATTAATGGGCTTTATTATGTTCGGCACAGTGAGGTAGAGCAGGATGTTTGGGCTGCCTTGATAGGGGATACCCAGGGAGAGAGGTGGCGGTGGGCAAGTATGTTGGAGGCTATGAAGAAAAGTGAGGTTTTTACACCCCCCAATCAAGCGACTATTAGGGCTACAGGTGTTGAATGGGTTCAAGATAGTCATGGTATTCATGGACCTGTGCATGTGTCTTTTCCTCAGCGAACCTATCCGCAAGTTTCTGCGTTTTTGCATAGTGCAGAGAACGTTGGCATTGAAAGCAATGCTAACCCTTATGCTGGTCAAAGCTGGGGATCTTTTCTGGCTACCAGTAATATCAATCCGATCAACTCTACCCGAAGCTTTTCCAGAACTGCCTACTTAGATCCAGTGGTGGAAAGGAGTAATCTCGATGTATTGACAGGCCATCTCGTTACCAAACTTATTTTCAACAGTACAAGCCAGGGTGATGCTGTTGCATCCGGTGTTCAGTTTGCTGCCAACCCTGAAGCAGCTCAACAAACCGTCTATGCGAGGAAGGAGGTCATTCTTGCCGGTGGAGCAGTAAACGATCCTCAAATCCTCCAACTCTCTGGTATCGCAGATGCCTCTCTTCTCTCCAACCTCGGTATCCCACTAGTCGTCGATCTTCCCGGAGTAGGCTACCACTTACAGGACCACCTCTCTACCGGAGTTGTATTTTCTCCTTCTGCCGGATCAGAAATGCCGCCTACCAAACTCACTGGAGATGCAATTACCGATTCATACGTCAACAGTGCTATAGCTTACGTTCCACCATCCACTCTCTTTAATCAATCCGAATGGAAGAGCATCATCGACCAAATCAGATCTCTTAGAGAGGAGAGCATCCAAGCTTACCATGCACCATCGGTTGTCAAAGCAGGCTACAAGGCTACCTACACTGCCCAAGTTGAACAATTCTTCCCCAAGCACATAGGTCCGATTGAGCTTCTCTTCGCACTCTCCTTCGGCACAATGCAAGTACAAGCTGCTCTTCAACATCCTCTCTCTCGCGGTTCTATTATTATCAATTCCACCAACCCCTTCGCACCGCCTATAATCGATCCTGCATATCTTAGCAACCCTGCTGATATGACAATTCTTCGACAAGGTTTCAAACTCGCTCGTCGTCTAGCTACAACACCTCCGCTTTCCAATTTCACCTCCTCCGAAACCACACCGGGAACAGATGTCAGTTCAGACGAACAGTGGGAAAAATGGATCAGAAGTGCTGTCAGTACCGAGTTCCACCCATCTTCGACATGTTCCATGTTACCAAGGGATCAAGGAGGAGTTGTTGATAGCAATCTTCGTGTATATGGAACGAGGAATGTTAGGGTTATAGATGCAAGTGTTCCTCCGCTTAGTTTTAGTGCACACTTGATGAGTGTTACTTATGGATTGGCTGAATTGGGAGCAGAGTTAGTCTTGCACGATTATATGAAAGGTATGCAAGGGTTCGAGCGGAATACTAGTGCTATTCATGGTGGTGGTGATGGTGGTGGTGATGGTGGTAGCAGTGTCCGTGGTGGAGAGGTAGGTGCGGGTACTACGTTGAATGGTAGGGCGGTATGCATAGCGACAATGGCGAGTGTTGTCTTGTCGCTGCTTTTGGGTTCGGCTAGCTTGATGTTATGAAAAACGACCAACTCCTTCTTGCTTCTTTGCATCCATCTTGAACACCAAACATGGACACAAAACATGGACACAAAACATGGACAATTGCATCTTTTCCTTGCTCTCTTTGGCTCCGCTTGAACAGACTCACACATATACACACGAGCAGCAAGGTCTGCGTCGAGAAGAAAGTCTTTGAAACTGCATGCATCTAACACAACCCACGTTGCTCTTTGCTCGTCCCCCGTTCCCCATTCCTTGCTCTTGCTTCTCCTCCCTAGAGACTAGTCTCATTACTCTCATAGCGTCTATAGGTATAACCCAAAAAGGCCAAGTCCTTACTTCCGACTCCCACATCTGCACCCTGCGGAGTTTCAGGAACATCCTGATAATCCTCTGTAGGGAAATAACTCGTATCAGTAACACTTTTCAACTGTGGAATAAATGGTGCATCGATCTGCCTGATACTAGACCAATCAACACCGGCAAAGAAAGGATGCTCTTTGATCTCGCTGGCCGAGTTGGTGCCCAATCTATCCTCTGGAGCTGTAATCAACCTTCTAATCATATCTTCTGCTTCGGGACTAAGATGGATGTCATCTGGGAATTGAAGTGTTTCCCTCCAAGCTAAGATCTTGCGATATGTATCGTGTGCGTTTTCCGAACAGAAAGGTGGATAGCCACATAAACATTCGAACATGATAGCTCCCAGAGACCACCAATCACATTCATTGCCATATCCCTGCTGCAGGAAGATCTCCGGTGCGATGTAGTCCGGCGTTCCAACGGTGGAGTAAGCCAGTTTACGACGGTTAGCTTTCCAGGTAGCGATTGTGTCTTTGGAAGAGAGTGTGAGGTTGATCGAGTTGACCGCCACCGAGTTCCTTCCGGTTTGAGCTGGGTTTTGAGCTGAAGTGCCTTCGAACAGACGCTGATAGTAGGCCGAATCATGCTGCTTATAGAATCCAGTGGAAAGACCGAAATCAGAAAGCTTGATGTGTCCTTTGGCATCAATGAGGATGTTGTCGGGTTTGATATCTCGATGAATAAAGCCCAACTTGTGAATGCCTTCCAAAGCCAAGACACATTCGGCCATATAAAACCTCGTAACATCCTCGGAAAAGGTATCGTACTTGATCAACATTGTCATCAAATCTCCACCGGGTAAAAACTCCATCAAGAGATACAAGTAAGCCGTGTCTTGGAAAGAGTAGAACAGCTGCACTACCCAAGGCGAGTTACTCTCGGCAAGAACATCCCTTTCGGCACGAACATGTGCCAGTTGATCCTTCTTAAACATTTCGCTCTTTCGTAAGGTTTTCATGGCGTAGATTTTGCCAGTATCGGTTTTCTGCACCAATCGAACTTCACCAAATGCGCCTTTACCAATCACTTTGACAGTACGGAAGTCGTCCAAACCCAATCGAGTTCTTCTGAGCCGTAGGAAATTCGACTCTCTCCGACCAAGTTGTGCAAGCTGACGTGCTTTACGCTCGTCCGAGAGATGAACTCCGTCAGCAGGGTTGCTCAGACGATCTTCGAGCTCAGCAGCACGCTTGATACGTTCTACAGCCTGTTCTACGTAGACCTTGTAGAAGTTTTCCAGTTTGAGCTTGGCACCCGTGGCTGCTTCGATGGTGGATTTTTGCATCCCGTTGGTGCAACGTTCAAAGTAGACATAGTCGGCTGGTTTTTCGTTGGTGGGGTTTGGGGAGGTGGAGCCGCCGGCTTGAGAGTATTGCTGCTGCTGTTGGTAATATTGCTGCGGTTGTTGTTGCTGTTGTTGCTGTTGTTGCTGTTGCTGTTGTTGTTGCTGTTGTTGTTGTTGTTGCTGTTGCTGTTGCTGGGAGTAGGTTTGCGCTTGAGCGTATTGCGGAGATCTCGGAGCAGCGTTGATTGGACGAGCAGAGGGAGAGGGGGATCTGTTGATGGGGGAAGCACTTTGAGCGCGTGATTGGTAAGGAGCTTGAAGAGCTTGCTGCTGTTGTTGAGAAGCAACGATCTGCTGCTGTTGTTGAGAAGCGGCGATCTGCTGCTGTTGAAGCTGAGCAGCTTGAGACATGGCGGGATGCTGTAGTTGGGAGGGGGGAGCCTGTGCCTGTGCGGCAATGGCAGCTTGGTAGATCTGTGCCTGAAGATGAGGAGGCGCTTGGTAGTGGTGAGCAGCGGAAGCTTGCTGTGCGTAGGCTGGGTGGGCAGGAGCAAGGCAACGAGAGAGTCAGCCACTATTGTGCACACAAAGAAAGAAAGAGAGAGAGAGAGAGAGCGAGAGAGAGCGAGCAAGATGATGACAACGAACCTTGACTTTGAGCGAATCCACCTTGACCAGCAGCACTGAAGCCGTATCCTACAGGGCCTTGGTTGGAGGCGAGGTTCATGCCGTAGCCCATGGGAGCAGCGTATTGTGCACCGTAAGCCATCTGGTTGGTGGGTTGTTGCACTTGTGGCAGCGCACGGGCCTGTGGAAGAGGCGAGCGGCGCGACTGGGGCACGCCGTTCTGGTATGCCATCGCTGTTAAGGGGAAAGGCAAGAGATTGACGTGCAAAAGGCTTCGAGATGAAGGACGAGGTGGGTGCGAGGTGCGAGGTGCGAGGTGGGAGGGAAAGGAAGCGGATCAAATGGATTGCAAAGGTCGAAAAGGTGGCGCTATCGTGGTAACAATGGCTGAGTCGAGGAAGAAAAGGCGAAGAAGCATCACTGAGCCACCGTGTTACATGCGCAGGCTACATGCATGTCGTAAGGAAGTAACCAAGTAGATTGCGGCAAGGATCTAGAGGCAAAGCTGGTTCGAGTAAGTCGTACAAAGTGACCAAGCGACCCTAGCAATCCGAGCTTCTCTCGTGCGGCATCTATTCGCACGAGAAAGTGTCCATTCGAGGCCAAGGAGCGGGGGGCCCGATTTGGTGCCCGATCGGGACTCCCTTTATAGCCCGATTTGAGCTCCCTTTGTTTTCGTTATTTGACAGCTCTCGATTGTGCTTGGAATGCTTCTGTAGCCACACGTTGCCGCCCACATTCTCTGGCATTGTGGTCGACTGTCGCCCACGCAAAGGTCTGGATTGCCACCCTTTCCAATCTCGGTCTGCACTAGGCGTGGTAACCTCTGGTTGTGCTGGAGGCGAGATGAAGGCCGAATTAGGTGCCCCTTGAAGCTTTGTTGCTCACAATAGTCTCTGCCTGCAACAAAGGGGTTGCATTCTCCGCCTTTTCGGGCTTGGCTCGCCATGGTGTGAGGACTGTCTCTCATCTCAGCCTATCTGATCGCAGGGCGCAGTTGGGATTGCTATTCTTGAATCAAGACAAACGGCTTCTTACTGCATCCGCTTCCACATTCCTTTTGTCGAGTGCTGCTTACTCCTGCAGAAGATGGCATTTCATATGTGCAAAGCAAGCAAGCCAGCCAAAGTGCCGCTGTGACCTGCCATCCCGAATGCTCCTCCCTCCTTCACTTCCGCCACTTGCTTTAAAAGCTCTCCTCGGCCCCTCTCTGCTCACCTTGAATCTCTGCACAGATCCTTTGTCGCCAATCTTGATCGCACGCTCATCGTCCCTGGCAAACATGTCGTCTTCCTTCTCATCCCGTCTCTCTGCCCTCTCCTCATCCAGCACAAGCACCGCAAAATCCTTCAATCCTCCCAGGCCGACCTACAATTCGCCCAAGCTCGTGCGTGATTCTCGTCTTGTGGCACACCCTTTTGCTTCCAGTAGCTACACAGCATCCAGCCACGCCAGTGTCGAGTCAGACCCCTCCTATCACCAAGCCAGCCAGCGATCACGCAGCGCAAGCACCAGCAGCCATTCATCTTGCAACGCCCACGCCTCGCAGCTTGGCGCCACCTTCGTCAACCTCGACGTTACCTGCCAGTCGCCATACCAAGCTGCTGCCGACTCGTTGGTCTCTCCGGCGACTGACGACTGCTCCTTCCAAGACGCAATGGTTCGTAGCAGGAGCAGCACTTTGGCTTCTCGGAACAATGTACCATCCCAATCCGCTCCCTTTCCTCCACCACTTGCCTCTCCCAACCCTTTCAAGAGTCAGTTCGACGATGACTCGGAGGACGAAGAGAAGATTGATCTGGCTCCCAAAGCTCTGGCCGGAGTTCCTCACCGAGCGCGTCTGGCAGCCATTGGTACGGCAAGTCGTTTGTTCAAGGGCAGGCGTCACAGTCGCAACTCTTTTGCCAGTCTCACCGCCGACAGTATCAACAACCAAGGTCTGCCGCCCCCTCTTCAGCAGCTTGATAAACCGTCTAGCAGGCAGCGTGACAAGCAAGTCCATCGTCCTTCCACTAGTGATGGCACGAGTCCACACCCTCGTCAAGCCGTTTTTGGTCATCGTCCCTCACCCTCGGAGCTCTCATTTGGCTCCCACCAGATGTTGAACAACAAGTCGCGAGGCCCCATTCCAGCCGACAAAGATCTCATTCTCGGTCTCAAGGGTGCCGCAGTCAAGCCTCGTTTCAAGTTAGCAGAGAAGAACAAGAGTCTGCCCAAGACTCCTGAGGAGCACGCCATCTCTCATCATCGGCAAGCTTCGAGCAGTGTCGCGCTTCAGTCGGCGAATGGCACGGTAAGCTGCATCGATCCCCCACCCTACTACTCTCTCTCTGAACAAGTCGAGCTGAAAAATGGCAAAGACAGCCTGAGAAAGTCGCAATCTTTATCTACCCTCCGATTTGATGCTTCTCGTAGACCAAAGCTGCCCTCGCCTCCCTCTCAAGTCCAAGCAGCAGTAAGCGTCAAGTCGGCTGCATACACTCAACGCTGCGCATGGGAAGTCATGTTGAGCACCCCGCCAAGTACAGTCGATGATCACAGCAGCCTTGAGAGCTGCGGTCGTATCGCTCGGGTTGAAAACAGTCTTCCTGACTCACCACCGAGAGGTAGCCTGCACAAACCACAACGTCTTCCACCGCAGAAACCTCCTCCGCAGACCTTGCCTCCGCCTCCTCCACCCCTTGCTTCCAAGCAGCACATCTTTGCCGACAGCTCAGCAAAGTCTTCCGTCGAGGTCGGTAGGCCGTCTTTGACCTCATCGGCCGGAAGTTCAGCCAGCAGCGAAAAGCAAAGCCTGTCGCCTAAGCAGTCCATCGAGTCTGTCCGCTCGCAGAACAAGCAGGCTTCGCTGGATAAGGCAGAACAACTTGTTCCCCAACGTATGCAGTGCACTTCTTCCCGTGCAAAGATCGAGCTGAATGTCGGTGGCACAAAGTTTGTCACACTCTTCACTACTCTACTCGGAGCACCTGGTGATGATCCGCGCTTCATCGACCACCTCTCTCCCCACAGAGAGATGACTGACAAGAACACTTCCGAGGCAGCCCTGTGTGCAGGTACTCACCTTACCCGCCGCAAAAGAGTAGACCGAGGCACAAGACATCAATGTATAGGCTCCCAAGAAAGCAGCTTCGACTCCCCCACTTGTGTCTCTGTTACCACCGTTGACCAAGAGGCCAGTCCGACGCACGCTTCCAACCTCACCTCGAGCGTGGGATCACTTGCATTACCCGACCCTCTATCCACCAACAGCAGCAGTAGCTCCCTCGTCACCTCCTCCTCAACGTCTCAGATTGACTCTGGTACTTCGACTCGCCGAACGAGCGATCTGTCGGATGCTTCCTCTTGGTCCAAGGCAAATGCTCCCACTGCAACAACACATGAGGAATCGTCAGGCGTCATTACGCCCTCTCGAATCTTCCTAGACCGCAATGCCGAGCTCTATTCTGACATCTTGGACATTCTTCGCACTCGTAAACTGCCCTATCGCTTGCAAGTGGCAAGCATCGCTCATACTACCGAATCCAGTTCAGCCTGTAGAAACGAGCCAGGTTGCGCACTGACAGCACTCAAATTGCAGTTGACGTGTCGCCTTCATCAAGTAAAACAAGAAGCTGAATGGCTAGGATATCGTTCAGTCGTCGAGTTGTGCGCTAAACAGATCCACCTCCTGTAACAATCCTCTTCCACGCAATACCAAAACCATGTTTGATGAATACAATAGAATTATAAGCCATCGCCATCAAGGGGAAGCATTTCGTATTGTATGTACAACCCTTTCCAACCGAGAACAACTGAATCCATCCCCTCTCCCCTCACCCTGCTCCTCAACCTACTCTGCATCTTTACTCCTCCTCCCCCTCCTCCCCCTCCTCCCCCTCCTCCCCCTCCTCCCCCTCCTCCCCCTCCTCCCCCTCCTCCCCCTCCTCCCCCTCCTCCCCCTCGCCGTCGAACTTGACCCCCCTAACCGCCATCGTACATCCCTCATAGAGCTCCAAGTTGAGTGCTGCCAAAAAGCACGGAACGCTCTGCCTAATCCCGTTGGGATGCAACCAATATTCTTTCAACCCCTTCAAATTGACCAATCCCGGTGACTTGACCGCCTCCCCCATCAATTTCATCTTGCCCACATCTCCTCCTTCGCTTTCAAAGATGAGACTAGTCGAATTCTTGGATCGGTTGAAAGTAGAGGTCACTTTCACCTTTCCGTTTTCTAAAAACTTAACTTTGTAGCCGAATAGAGATTCGATTGCTTCCCGGAATTCCTTTGCTTTCGCCGAGAAGACTTGTTTGAGGCGAAGCATTGCTTTTTCTTTGGCTGCCATCGAAACTTGTAGTGCTGTCAGGTCCGAGCGGAGGTTGTGAACGACTGATTGCGGGATGAGGGCTTGATCGCAGTTGGTTGAGGTGGTGGTAGGGTTGGTGGTAGTAGCCTTGGTCGTAGGGTTGGTTGCTAGTTGCGTCGAGAGTTGCGAGACTCGGGCAAGCAGAGCCGTGTTTTCAAGTTTGAGAGCATCCAATGTCTTTCTCCTCAAATCCAGATCGAGACTCACTGGATTCTGAGAGAGGACGAGACAGCGTTGACGTTGTTGATCGAATTCTCCTCGACCAACTCTGAGCCATAAGCTCTCATTCTCCTTACTCAGCCCTTCGAGTTCTTTAGCCATTTGCGCCGTGCCTGCTGTCAGCTGAGCCACTTTGCCTTCTAGCACTGCTTTCTCGCTCAACAATGCATCCATTTTCGACTGGAGATGCTCACCACCATCAACGTTGCCTTCTTTCTCACAAAGTGCTTTACTAACAGTCTCGAATTCCTCCACCAGCTTTGCATGTTCCGATCGCACCTGCTCAAGTTCCCCCTCAAGCAAGGCAATCCTTTGGGTATGTGCAGCAGAGTAGCAAGTGGAATCGGTATGATTCTTCTCTTCCTCCTCATAAGAGGCGAGGATCGTCTTGAGGCGAGTCGTTTCATCCTGCATTCTCGACTCGGCTTTTTGCGCTCGAGCGAGCAAAGTTTGAAGCGAGATGAGTTCCGTTTGAGATTGGCGCGAGTGACTGTCGACGTCTTTTGCTTCTTCTTGCAATTCACCGTTGCGCTTTCGCAGTTTCTCGACGGTGGTAGTGAGCGCTCGACACCTAGCTTCCAACCCCGTCACCGTGCCTCGTAATGCGGAGAGATAGTTCGGAAGCGTATTCCGATCCACAACTTCAGGAGGAGAAATCGTGGGAAGAGCAGAATCGACATGAGCAGCAGCAGCACTAAAAGCTGCCTCGACATCCCCCTCTTTACCAGTCCTAAGCAACGCATCCCATTCCTTCTCTCTTTGCCGTGATTCCTCGATCTTTGACTCGGCAGCAGCGAGTTGGTCTCGTAGCGAATCAAGCGTCCGCAGTTTCGCTTCCAGCGATCTTTTCTCCTCTTTTAAAAGTTCGACGTTGGCTGCCTGGTGGCATAATCGACCGTTTTCAGCCACCAAATGCGCATTTTCAGCCTCTAGCTTCCGCAGATGCCAAGTTTGCCTCGCCAACTCCTCTGCAATCTTGCTCCCCTCTTCTCCTCCAAATCTGGATTGATCTCTCTCTGCTAGCCTCATTCGTTGCTCATCTTCGAGTGCTTGCCTCAAATCATCCAACTCTGCCTTACTTGCTCCCAAATCATCCTCCAACACCTTGGCCCTAACCTCGGCTGATTGCGCTTCAGCTTTGGTCTTGCCCAAATCGGATTCCAAGATTGTAACTTTTTCTCTTAACTGCGAAAGCTCCAAAGCAGAGTTGCATGTCGCTTCATCAAGTTTGTGCGTGAGTTCGGAATTGAGGCTTCCAAGTCGAGCCACTTGATCCTCGAGAAGTTGACGTTTGGTGTTGAACTCTGCTTCTTTGGTGCAAGTGGATTGCTGATGTTTATCCCATTCGTCGAGAAGTTCGATGCGTTGGCGGTTGAAGCGATCCAGTTCTTTGCATTTGGATTCAAAGTCTTTTTCTAGCTTCTTGTATTTCAGGGATTCAGAGAGGAGTTGTTGGTCGTAGTGGGTGCGGAGAAGGGCGACTTCGTATGCGGGCGATTCCGGGCGAGGCGTTGAGGCGGGGTGAAGTTCCGCTTGGAGGAGAAGAGGCGACCTTCCATCCATGGAAAGTTTGCGCAGATGGCGACGTTTGATGGCGGAAGCGGAGAAAGAAACGTTGCTATCATCGGCGGTGAAGCCGGCGGCTGAGAGGGTTCGCTTGTGACCCAGACCCATGCCGAGGGATGTATCGAGGAGGATAGATTGGCTGGAAGCGTCGTCAGCGCCACAATTAGAGTAGAGGAGGTGGTTGGATGGATTTGGATCGAGTGGACGTCGAGGTTGGAGGGTGCTGATTCGACCAGCTAGACCGCCGTAGGTGTGGGTGGAGGGTGCGGCGGAGGAGGGCGGAGGAGCGCCGGAGTTGCTACCGGTGGAGCTTCGGCCTGCAGTGGTGGTGGAACGGTATGCCCCCATAGGACCGGATGCCTGACGGGGAGGATTAGAGGCAGCACCGGACATGCGAGATGAAGGGCGAGGGATGGCAGATTCAGCATTGCCAGAGATGGACGCCGCCGACGTTGAGGTGCCAGGTCTCGGTATACCTGATCGCATAGGAATACCTGAACCACCAGCAGTCATTTTGGCAAAGTATCTTTGTTGATGGTGTTGAGGTGAGAGCAAGTGCCAAGTGTGAGTCTCTTGTGTTGTTCTTCTGTACGATGTTTTGATCCAATCACGTGCGAGGCTTTTGGATCGGGGAGGGGAGGGGGATCGGGGGGAGAGGGATCGGGGAAATCGGGTCATTTAGCATCGGGGCAATCGGGCATAAAAGATCGGAGATCGAAATTTCGTCCGACTTCGCCACCGCTATCTCATCGTCAGCTTTCACCCCTTTTTTCCCTTTGCTCCACCATCTCATCCTCGCCTCTCCCTTCTCCTCATCACTTGACTCGTCGCCGCCATCATCATCAAGATGGCGTTTCTCAGGCCGCCAATTCTGCGCCCTTGCCGCCTCACCACCAGCGCTTTCGCATCCACATCTCGCCTCACCCTCCACTCCCCCTCTCCCAACCCCTCTCCCATCCCCTCTCCCAACCCCTCCACCACCTCCACCTCCGCAACCTTCAGCACCACACCCCTCGCCTCCGTCGGTCAACGACTCCCCGCCACCTTTGTCGATTTAAAGAAAGCCGAAAAGTATCGCAACTACGTTCGTCGCCTCAAATGCGCCAAATACGTCCTGGTCTCCAACCTTCCCACCACCGCCACCCCCACCGACCTCCGTTCCCTCGCCTTCGGTCAAAAAACATTTAACGACGTCTCCCGTATCGAATACATCTATACCAGGTCCCTTAGTCCTTCCTCCAAAGCCATTGTTTCCTTCTCTTCCCCCATTCACTCTCATGATTACGAGTCTCATGTACATGGTCGTATATTGGGAGGCAAACAGCTATCTGCTTCTCTATACACACCTGATGACCGCGTTAGACTCCTTCAAAGGACCTACGCCAGCTGGCCGCAAGAATATCAACTCCCACTGGACTTGATAGAGTATGAAGGTGGCAAGCTCGTCTTGTTGAACAATATCCCGCAAGAGACAACCGAAGCGAGACTAGAGGAGAGGTTAGCGGTCAGGTATGATTTAAAACCGCAAGATCGATGGAGAGGGAAGAGGGAAAGTTATGCCGGCTGGGAAATAGATAAGAAGGGTTATGGCGGAAGTCATGATGCAGTGTTGGGCGGCGTGTTCAAGTTGCCCAAATGGCATCCGGATGCTACTACGACCGCGTTTTTGGTTAGGTGTCAAACAGCGGTTGAGGCGATGAGGTTGGTTAGGAGATGGCATAATACTTTCTTCGCTCCAGCGACGTTTGATATTCAGGTTACTGGCGGACGCTTTAAGCTTTCTGCTAGTGTCTTGTACTAGCCAACCACAACCTCGAACCGATCTATCGCAATGGATACTGAACGTCAGCCAACTCCCTCCCACGGCACCGCACCTTGCGCTCACCATCGCTGGTCTCAATCGCTCTTGCCCTCTTAGCAACACCACCAACTGACCCTGGCACTTATCGACCAATCAAAACCGACTCCCAGCGCTCAGCATTCTGGATCCGCATCAACATGCCTTACCACACAACAAAAGGTGAGTCGTCTCTTTTCCACTACCACATCCACCTAGCACAGCAGTTTCCGCACATTCTCCCTTCCAGACCGGCATTCGGTTGGGTTGCGACGAAGCTCGTCACTCTCCGTCTTGGCAGTGACTTTGCACAGAGACAGCAGCACGTTTTCTCTTGAGAGTTGCAAGCGTCGTTGATGACTTGAAAAACGCACTATACGAGCACCGTACCAAGAGTTTCCTTGGCGCACCTTGTCCTTATCCGCTCTTTCGCAAATCCTTGTATCGCTGCATCCTGTCGAACCGATGGGCTGGGCAGGATCTGATATCGAGGCGGTAGCGGGAGTCTAAGTTGCGGATTGCCCTTGTCGCAGCAGCAGCAGCAGCAGAGATTCGAGGACCGAAAAAAGAAAAACAAAGCTAGAGACCAAGCCCCCCCCCCGCATTCTTCCCTCCCCCCAAACTACATTTGTCTAGATCAAGATCAACACACAAATGGGGGGAAGCATGGGGAGACGGTCACCTCACAGCGAGGCGAGATCCCGTCGTCGATTGGGCAGCTTCGCCGTAATGGTAGCCCCGATTGGTGGCGTGGACCGCAACCCTAGTGAGATTTACAATGGGTGCCTGCTTAACCAGCAGGCTAAGTATGCTGCGGGGTTGGCCTTTGATCCGGATCTCCTTCGTCGAGATCCTTGGGGAAGGGTTGACCGCTCGTCGAGTCAGAGCCGTGTGCGTGTTTGGTGTTCCTCAAAATCCTCCTTTCCGTCTTTTTAAGTTTCTTGAAGCTTTTATTGATTCAGCGCCGGGAGCACCTTCTTGATGATGAGAGAGGGTTTCACGGTTTGGTTGGATTGATGGGTGATGAAAAAACTAGGATAGGAAAGCTTGCTTTTGTGTCACACTGAACCACGACTATCGACTCGCCGACCGATGTATGACCACCACGACGACCATGTTACAGAGAGAGAAGATCAAGATAGATCGACATAGATTGGAGAGTATGATGATGATGATGATGATGATGATGATGATGATGATGATGATGATGATGAAGACTGTTGTTTGTCAAGCTGGTGTTTTGCTATAGTTGGCTGTTCTGGCTCGGACCGATCGATAAATGTAAGGTCATTTTGGAGAGCCTGGGGTCGACTATGGTGGATGCTATGCTTTGATCGGCTGTTCAACTTTTCCGACCCAACGACTGGCGTGCTTTTTGACCGACTGTCTCACTCACGACCAACCCGCATTCCGCTACCGACTTGCAGTGCTCCGACTGAGCGCTCGACCCGTGATCAAGTGCGGCCCGATTCCCGATTCCCACATTGAAGTACGAGGACGAAAGCGATCAGTTAGTGAAGAACGTTCAAGCGATACCCGACCCTCGATGAAGATCTCGTGATTAGCGCAACCCCAAGCCGAGCTCAAGATCAGCGGGTGTTTGTTGAAACCCCAAGATGCGCCGATTGCTGCTACTGTGTGATAAGAAACCATTTGCGGGCTTTCAGCAAGTCTTTGGGGAAAGACCACCACGGTGAACTTGGACATCGTCTGCAACGACAACGGAATACGCATACTCGCGATTACATCAGAGAAAAAGGATGCATGGTGACTCGGCTTTGAAGCCAGCTCTTTGCGTTTGTTTTCTTTGCTTGTGGTTGTGTGTTTGCGTCGTCGTTTGCGAACACAATGATGCGCTCAAGCGGCAGAACTCCCCTCTTTGCCTTGTGGTGATTCGAATCGACTGGACTAGCCTCTTCACGACTGCGACCGGACCGAACAACCGATGATAAGAACGTCTGCCCAACAGCGACTGCCACGACTGCCAATTCATACTTCTGCTCTGGCGACCCTGACGTTGGAGCATTCCCCACTTTCCCCTCTCTCTAGGGAGTGGGAGGTGGTGCGGGATGCTTTTATAGGTGACCGCCGTCTTATCCCCTCCTTTCCCTCCGAAAGGGGAGGGATAAGGGAATAGGCAATTAGAAAGACCTATTGCTCCCCACTTGGTTCTTTTGGTTTTGTTTTCGGTTCTCTGTTGCTGCTTTGCTTTGTCACATTGTTTCCCCTTGCATATATGTCTTGATGCTGCGCCGCATCAAGGGGCGAACCGCCTAGACTCCCCTCGCTTTGGCTTCTTGCTCGGAACAAGGGAGACACACACACCAACGGTTTAAGGTGGAAAGAGTTGGATAATTGACGTGCGTTAAGGAGGTCGTGCTCGCCTCTATTATAAACTTAGCAAGGGAACTTGATTGGGCCCATTGCGCAGATATACATCAGAACAGAGATCTGAGACGCTTATTCCATTTCAGAGAGGCTCTGCTGCGGGCTTTGCAAGCTGAGCTACTGACCGCGGCTAGAAGGAGGGATGATGGATGCATCACTGCTCTGCCAAAACTTTTCGTCGTTGGTCGGAGGCTTGTTGAGACTAGTCGTCATCTAGGAGAGGTTATTGAAGATACTGACGTTGATCACTTTTTCCGACTTTCTTCGTCGCTCGCCTTTGCAGGGATTGATGTTGCACTGAAAGCATACATTTGCATACCTCATCTGTATTTCTACTCATTGAAAGTCGAACTGCATCAAATCAGCATCACTCGTACTCCGTCGCACTGGTTCGAGTTTGCATATCTCCAAGAATGCGCTCAACCAAACATCATCCCGCACAAGTTAAGACTGAAATCATTCATCCTCCTCATCCCTGTAGTTGGCCATCGGATCCTCACTTAGTCCAGCCCGACCTTGTCTGTTGACCAACCTGTAAGCTTCCAACTGTTCTTCTGTTACATCTAGGTCGCCTCTATCCGGGTCGACCTTTGGGTTTCGGTAGACTTTGGAGTTGATGATTTCAGCCTCTTTGGCCCAATCTGGTAGAGCATCGAAGCGTTTTTGTCTTTCAGCTTGCAGCTGGGAAGCGAGAGCGGGATCGTTTTTCGCACGTTCCGCTAAAATCGCTCTATCCAGTTTGTCTTTGTCGAGACGGGAGGAGACGGCTCCGGAGCCTAGGTGTTTTCGGGAGATGAAGCATGTAGGGGGGGAACGCGATTTTGAGCGACGGTTGTGAGGTTTGCAAGAAGGATGTTTGTGATGTCGACCATGGTGGCGAGAGTTGGAGGAGGATGAGTCCGAGTCGGAATTTGAGTAGGAGAGGCGAGAGGATGTGCAATGGGATCGAGAGCGGGTACGTTTGTTTCTCGACTCTTTTTCGTTTTCATCCTTCTCAGCCAGCTTCTCTTCTTTCTTCGAAATGGAAGGGACGGTAGAACTGGCTTGTGCAGCAGCGATTCCAGCGTCGCCAGTACAGTAACTGTTGCAAACACAACTTCTACAACACCCATAACCCCATTCGCCTCGTTCGATATCATACCAACTTCCCCAAACCTGCTTGTGATTATTCTCTGTTTTGTCTTCTTGCCATTTACTCTTCACCACCCCCCTCGTTGCAAGTGCGTTTACTAGTTTACCTTGTTGGTTGTACTCGACATAGACCTCGGTCTGCCCCTTGAGCAGTTCCTCCGGTGGCGCATCGAAATGTTGCTCACCCCCGTACTTGTCCAGTATACTGCCTCTCATATCCTGTTTCAATTGATCTCTTCTCTGTTTAAATTCTCTATACTGTCTTTCATTCGCTGTTGGGTTCGCTTGCAAATTAACATCCGTTCCCCCTACTGCCGCCCTCGTCTCGGCCTGCCACGAGAAGAGTTGAAGATTGGCTAGAGAACCAGCTTGGGAACCTTGAGCACGAGCAAAGTTGTCCCCCGCATACTCAGCATCTTCCGGCCTGATATTCGGGTTGGGAGCCTCCCGCATGGTTCTCGTTTTCGGATCGTAATATGCAGAGTTGACATCGAGATTGTAGAGATACTTAGCTCTGTCTTCTCGGATGCGTAGGTTGCGGATTGTCATGCGGTTGTCAACTTTTTGACCGACAGCATCTGCTTTATCGGCGTATTTGTCTTCGTTGGAGGAATCCGATTCGTCCGAGCTGAAATCAAGAGCATCTCTGTTGCCGTTGTTGTGGTTATGGGTGGATTTGCTTGGTTTCTGGGCTAGTTTTTGGGCGTGTTTGAGGTCGGAGGATGTTTGATGATCGATTTGCTCTTCTTTGAGGCGTCGACGTTCTTGTTCGATTGCTTCGAATTCTTCAATGACTTTCTTGTGCTCCGAGGGGTCGTATCCGTTCCATCGATCACGTTTTGCTGCGTAGTCTAACCCTTGAGGTTCGGAGAGGATATGATCGCCTGCTAGAGTCTTGCCGAGTTTTTTGGCACCCTTTTTGCGCGGCCGTTCGAGACAGTCTCGAGTTTTATGGGTCAGCGAACCACAATTTTCGCATGCTCCCTTTCGGAACTTGTTCGGAGCGGGAAGGGAGGTAGAGGAGGAGGAGGAGGAGCCGCGGTTGTACCAATCGTTGATGGATGCCTTGTGTGCGTTGGGGTCGACAGGCTTCTTTTGGTGCTTTAGGGATTTTGAGCCGGTATCCATATACCAGGGTGCCTGAGCCATGTAAGAAGGAACATGGGGATTGATGATGTTTCCATCTTCGTCGAGTTCGGCGGGTGCTCGACCTGCTTTTCGGTCTTCCTCGAGGTCTTTTAGCCGCCGGAACTCTGTGCGGGATAGCTTTCCGGGCGGTGCGGAGGAGGATGAAGGGGTGGACGACATGGCGGAAAAGTGGTATGTGGGTGATGGTAGTGCAAGATCTAAGGGAACCTTGGCCAGGCTGAGTCGGAGAAAGTTAAGCGTTCGACTCCACCTGGGCTGAATTTTCGAGCAACTTTGTTAGAAAACAGGGTCTAACATTGAGCAAAAATGCGGGTGCAATCTCCGTCTTCCGAAAAAAAAAATGTCATTGAAATGTCATGGAAACTGCTCCTCTTTGCCATGTCGATGCTACACTTCACACTTCCATCTCCATTCTCTTCCTTCTTCGCTCGCTGTCGACCTTTTACCCTCGTTCACAAGCAGCTCACGCACAGCAGCTCACGCACAGCAGCTCACGCACAGCAGCTCACGCACAGCAGCTCACGCACAGCAGCTCACGCACAGCAGCTCAGCATCAGTCGTCGCCAACGACTGGAACCAACGACTGGAACCAACGACTGGAACCAACGGCATTCATTCAGCACGCACTCATGACCAGCCTCTAACCCTCCTTGCGACATTGCGACATCATGCCGCCACCACCGTCTTCGAATCGGGACCCACCTTCGTCGTCGAGCAGTAGCAGGCCCGCCGACGTGCCAGGGGGGATTCGTATAGCTGGCGCTGCAAGTCGTGCTGCTTCTGCTTCTGCATTAGCTGGCCCAACACCTTCCCCCCGCGACACGCCGGGAAAGGAGAGCAATAAGCCACCGGTGAAGCTGGATAGAGAACCGCATACGGCGTATGCCCATCGACTGCCGCCGAAAACTGCACCCGCACCGGCCCAAGGTGAGGTGGGGAAGGAACCGGTTGTACAGAGGAACAGCTCGAGTGTCAAGGATACCGTTAGGGCTGGACATCAGCGCCCACAAGCTCCACAGCATCCAAGTAGTGCTGGCACCAGCACGGGTAGTGCTCAACCACCAGCACCTGCTCCAGCAACAGCAACAGCAACAGCAACAGCAACAGCAACAGCAACAGCAACAGCAGTTGGGGATGATGATGAGGAAGAAGAAGGAGCAATCGATGACAACAGTAGCGCACAGCCAGCGCAGCAGGCTGGAGGAGCATCTGCATTCGGCTCTGGATTCAATCCACCGCCACCAAAAACTCCACTGCATCCATCGCGAACTCCTTCTGCCGCAAGCAATGATCGCCATCGTCGTAGAGACCAATACCAATCTTACCAACCGAGGTCAGCTTCACCGCCAAAATCGCAACCACCACCACCACCACCACCAGCGCCATCGTCTTCTGCAGCTGCATCATACTATCCTCGCAGTCCTTCTCCTCCTCGCAGCAGTCGAGATTCGTACCCAGCTCAAGATTCACGTTATTCTCGTGACGACCATCGCGCAGGCGGAGGGGCAAATGGAAATCTGCCATCTCGCACCAACCATCCGAGGGATCACGAGCGCTCACGTGGAAGAGATCGAGCTGAAGATGGATGGCATGCCGAACCAAATCGAGGCTGGAGTAGTAGCGATTGGCGCAGCGGTGATCGAGATAGAGGTTGGGATCGCTCCGACCCCAGAAGTGACCGGGAAAGGCAATGGCACAGAGACCATCGTGATCGGCACTCGTACAACCGGAATGGCTGGGAAAGAGAAGCTTCTCCACCATCCACTACAACTCGACCTGAACAAAGGTATGCTGGATGGTCACCCACTCCACCACACACCAAATCTTCCACCAGCCACCAATCCACCGCCGACCCCGCCGCTCCCCATTCGAATGGCAATGCTGATCAACGCCCACCTTCTAGAATGGGTCGTACTGAACCCCCTCCCCCTCTCATCGCTGAGCAAGGTGGTGGTGGTGGGGTGAAAAGACCTCGCTCGCCCTCTGGAGCAAGAGGAAACTCTCCACCAGCAGGACTACTTAAACGGAAACCGAACTTTTCTGCCATTGTTCCTCCAACCCTGCTCTCCCCTGGAAAGGAAATGGAGAAACCGATTGAGGATAAGGATAATGTTGCGCCTGGTGCACCTCTCCCCCATCCTCCTGCTGCTAGTAGTACTATGCAGTCCCCCGTACTGCCTTTGAGGATGGGATCAGAGTTGGCGGGTACTACCTCCACCCTATCCACGACAGCAGTGCAATCGGCGGATTCGAACTATCAACTTATGTGCGAAGCACTAGATCATGTTGATTGTCCTTCTGTTCGACTTTCTTGTCTACCACGCAAACCCTCCTCCACCTCTACCTCTTCCGATGAGAAGATTCTGAGTGGACGAGAGAGAAGGAAGAACCGCCCGGCACCGATCCCACTCAACCAACGCAAGTTCATTGGATGCTCCTCACTCGACGACTATGAAATATCCATCAAACTCGGCCAAGGAACCTTCGGCCAAGTTCTCAAAGGACGACAAATCCTCACTGGCACTCAAGTCGCACTTAAAAAGGTTACCATCCATGACGCGAAAGACGGACTGCCCATTACCGCTCTTCGCGAGATCAAGCTTCTTAAGAAACTCAAGCATCCAAGTATAGTGCCGGTTATCGATATGGCTTACCGTCCGAGTGGAGAGAGAGGGAAATTAGGTGATGTCTATATGGTCGAACCGTATATGGATCACGATTTGAACGGGATGTTGGAAAACCCCTCGATTAGGTTGGAACATAGTCAGATTAAGCTCTACATGAAGCAACTTCTCGAAGGGACTCTGTATTTGCATAAGAATCGGATTCTCCATCGGGATATGAAAGCGGCGAATCTGCTGATTAATAACAGTGGTCAGTTGCAAATTGCCGATTTTGGTTTGGCTCGACCCTATCGAGATCCCGGGAAGAGTTGGACGGGGAAAGGGTGGCAGGGTGGGATGCAAAAGTATACCAATATGGTGGTTACGAGGTGGTATAGACCTCCGGAGTTGTTGGCTGGGGAGAAAAAGTATGGTCCTCCGATTGATATGTGGGGTATAGGCTGTATCTTGGCAGAGATGATTATGGGGAAACCGCTCTTTAAGGGGACTAGCGAGATAAACCAGTTGCAGCTTATAGCCGAGCTGTGTGGCAGTCCGAACGAATCCTCTTTTCCAGGCTGGCGTAGCTTGCCAGGTGTGAAAGATGCTGATCCGACAGGGAGGCCGGATCCGCATCCGGAGGTGAAAGGACAACACGATTTTGGAGAGTATCCGAGAAAGGTCAAGGAGATGTTTAGGAACGTTTATGATGCTGGACCTGGATGTGCGGATTTGATTGATAAGTTGTTGGTACTCGATCCGAAGAAGAGATTGACTGCGCAAGGAGCGTTGGAGCATGAATGGTTCTGGACGAAACCTTGGCCAGCTGATAAGGCGACCTTGCCCAAGTACGAACATAGTAAGGAGATTGATAGGGTTAGGAGGGAGTGGAAGCCCGCCCCTCAGCCTCAACAGCAGGTGCAACAGGTGCAGCAACAGGTGCAGCAACAGGTGCAGCAACAGATGCCGCAACAGATGCCGGTGCAGATGGGCGGGGCGAGGCCGATACAAGGAGTGGGTGGAGTGGGCATGGGGATGCAAACTAGACCACCGGCTTTTGGAAGAGCCTATCCAAATGGTGCTGGTGGTGTGGGGGATGGATGGGATGCGCAACAGCAACAGCAGAGACCAGGGACGGGTGGTTCAGCTGTACCCTACCCCACACCTCCTCAGGGTCAGGGTAGAGCTTATCCTACCGGTCCAGCGAACCCTTCTTACGGCGCAAGTGGGGGTTTAGGTGGTACTGGTCGCCTTGCATACCCAAACCAACCCCAAGCAGGAGGCGGTGGTGGAGGGGGAAGATTCGCTCATCCAAACCAACACCAGCACCAACAAGCGCGACATGGCTATTCGACCCATCAACAACACCAACAACAAGGCCAAGGACAGAGAATGCACCCTGCCAGCACTTTACCTGCTCGTCCACCTATACCTAACCCCGGAGCGGGTGCTCCAAGTGGGCCCAGAGGTCAGAATAATGGCGGTGGAGGCAATCCTTACACCTCCTTCTAGCTCAAGCTCACAGCCAGTAAATGTCATGCCAATTTATATCATCCGCACCAAGGTATCGACTGCGAGCAGACGAGAAACGTTGGGCACCAGTGTCCTTCTCTCGAGTGTTGTTGGCTTGGCTAGTGCTCTCGGATGTCTTTTCAAGAACAAAAGACAGGGGTGAGAGTGCAACTTGCCAAGATGCTACTGCCAGGAACAATTTAACGATTGCAATGCAAACAGTGATAGAAACCAAGCCTCATGAAAGCACACTCTCAGCAAGAAATGCAGGAAATGAATGTATAAACCAAACCGAACTACATGTGTACATAAATAAAAAAAAAAAGGAGCAGATGAAAGAATGGGCTTTAGAAACTACCGCCAAATGTTCCCTCCTCCTCCTCTTCCTCCTCTTCCTCGTCCTTGTTCCCACCAACACTGTCAGCCGCTTTGTATGCTCTCAAAAAAGCATTGTCGCTGGAAGTGCTTCTTTCACTCTCCTCGCTAGGGGGGAAAGGTGAAAGTGGGAGCGAGATATGTGTTTCACCTTGCTCTCTGTCTTTTTCTTCTTGAATTGGGTTGGGAGTAGTCGGCGTTTTAGGAGAGATGGGACCCCTTGTTAAACAGGAAGAACTTCTTCCTCTTGCTCCCTCTTCCACCGATTCTTGCTCGTCATCTTTAACATTTAAACAGGTCGGTGAAAGTGGAGAAAGGATCTGAGATTCTTGTACCACTTGTCCTCGCAATTGCTGTCTAAACTTTTGTCTACGTTGGTTGGATTCTTTTCCCATCCAAACTCCTCTTGAGGTGGGGGTGGTTGAGGGTAGGCATTCAAGTTCTTCTTGGACCTCCTGTTGTTTTGAATTTTGACATGCAAGTGTAGCTTCATAGCGAGAAGGTGTGAGTCCTAGTTCCACCATTTCGTTTACCTGCAACATGTTGACACCAACACCCTTGGTGTTGGACGAGGCTGTGGAATGGTGACAGTAAAACCCCTGAATGGGAAGTGCGTGGGAAGAGATGAGCGAGTCGAGGACTAGTTGGCGACCTTTAGTTGGACGTCGCGTTACCTCCGTGGATGATTTTGGATATGTGGGGTTTGGCTCAGGAGTGGTTTGAGTGGCGAAGGGGAAAGAAGAAGGTCGATTGCAGCCGGTTAGGAGCGAAGAAAAAGGTGTGTGTTTGACGATGGTCGAGAAGAGCCCTAAACCATTTGCTTGCCCTTGGTCCTCGGTTGGTTTGGGTAAAGTCTCAGTGCTACTCGGAGAGGTGGGACGAGGATGGAAGATCTTTACAGCAGCAACGATCTTTTTCACGGGAGCACTACTCGCCTTGATCGCTACAACATCACCTTCTTCTTCTTCTTCGACCCGTTTGATCGCCTGCATACTGGCCAATCCCCCCACAGAATGTTGCATCGTAGCATGATTGTTACTAGGATGATAGCCAGCAGAATAAGGATGAGTAGGCAAAGGATCCGGATTTCGATATTGCCTCTCTGAATATGTATCACTTCTCACCTTGCCACCCGAGGTCAACAACTGCTTACTCGACTCCTTTCTATCCAATCTGGTGGAATTTCGATTGTTGCCAATCTTTGCTTTCTTGGTACCTATCTTTCTTCTCTCGCCTGACCCATCCAAATGCAGCCTAGCATTGGGAGAAGTTAAGGAAGCCAACATAGTCGCCAACTTTACCTGGCTCGCGGGAAACAACAAGAATGGCGCAAAAAGATTCAACGAGTTAACGAGATAAAGCAAGGTGAAGGAACATGAGAAAACCATGTTGACTCGAGCGGCTTGCATAGAAGCTTTTTGGGCGTCGTAGGGGTAATCTTTGCTGAAGATTATGCACAGATATATCTGCACCAATGTTTCAACACAAACAAAAACCTGAGCTTAGCTTAGAGAAGGCAAAAGAAGGAGGCGCAAAGGTAATCGGGCGGAACTTACAGAATATACGCCAAAAGCGAAACACTGTAGCGTTAAAGCCAAATGGTCAATAATGCAGTTGAAGAGGAAGCGACAGACAGCGACGTATCCTTCGTTCGAAGCTAAGTCCTCATGAAGTGTGTCGATCACCCAAGGTGTTGGTTGCGAGTCAAGGCGAATGCGTGGACCCAAATGTAACTCTTCATCTTCTTCGATAGAGTGTGATGATGAATGCGCATAGCTAGTGCAATGCGTTCTGTCGAGAATGGCTTGATTTGAATCCTCGCGAAACTGCTCAAGGGTAGGTGGAAAGCTTGTTTGAGATGCCTCTCGTACAACTGTATGCTGCTGAACGCTGCCTCTTGTCCTAGTTGCTATTCCGTACTCTGTAATGGAAGACATGGAAGATTTCGCTCGCAACATCGGTATTGATGCATGAGCAATCACTTCTCGGGTGTCATGACCGATAGAATCAGAAGCCGAAAATCGCCAAGTTGAGCTGGTTGGCGTCCGAGCAGGCGGCAAAGGAAGAGGTCCCTTCGGTGCTGGAGTAGGAGGAGGAGTTCTAACTGCCATTCTGAGGGGTAAGCTAAACCGATTTGGTTGAGCTAGGAAAGTATTAGGTTGCCAAGCAGGTGCACTGTATGGAACTGCAGCTGAAGGCCATGTTGTGACAACATTATTCCCAACTTGCGAAGATAGCGCATGCCCACGACCTTGTGGCGGCTCATGACGAAGTTGCACCAGCTCTCCAGCAACTTCCTTGGTCAGCGTCACAAAGATCAGCAGGTATGCCAGCGAAAGGAGAATTCCGCCAATAGATACAAGTCCATGTGCACCTAATAACCATACTCTTTGATCCATTGCTTCCTTGTAGGCCACCCTTGCGATCTGAATTGCTGCTGAATTGATTGTCCCCTCGACAGTGCTGATAGAGTTGAACAGCGAAGGTAGTGTAAAGAGATCATTGTAGGCCAAAGTTCGGTAATAATTGATCTTGCTGGCAGAAGCAGCGATACTGATGAGGCAGACGAGACCAACAAGTATAGTCGTAGCATAGACGCTGATGACAGTGTTGTTCCAGATCCAGGGTGGTATGTTGGGTAGCAGAATGGCAATGTAGCCAAGGGCAGCAAAGTAGGCGGTTGAGAAAATGGCCGCTTGCATCGCTGCGTCGATCATGAATGGTTCGATGAGCGGTGGTGAGTCGGATGCATCGCGTGTCACGTATCCTTCGATGACACGGACGAAGAAAAGTAGAACGTAACCGCTGGTGAGGACGAGATGACAGTTGACGCATGAGGCGGTGATGAAGGAGCCCATTCGTGTTTCGCTCTCTTCACCCCTGTCTGTGTTTGAAGCGTCGGTCGTGGCGGTGGCCTTTTCGGCAGCAGAGGTGGCGTTGGCAATGCTCGATCTGAAGGGTTTCCAGAAGCGAGCCTTTCTGTTGGGATTCGAATTGCTCTTTCGACGACGCCAAACCTTGTACGGCCGCTGTTCGAGCTTAAACAGCCACAAAGGCACTGGACTCTTTTGCGATCTGTAAATACGCATCGCCATGGCGATAAACAGAAAGATGATGACGTTGCTGACGCTGGTGACCCAGGAGAGATGCCAGTATCCTTCTGGGTGGATTTTGAGCGCTAGGGAGTCCATCAAGGTCATGACTTGTTGTGCTGTCGCATTGTCAGCCAAAGGAAAGTCAGGAAGCTCCCACATGTGTGATAGGTGAGGCGATGCGAAGATGTTTGGCATGTTTGAGAGATGGATGGATGCGAGACGGACAACGGCAGAATAGAGTGTAGTCGGGAGTCGATGATGTTGTAGAGACCGTGATATGGAGGAAGAAGGGAAGGAGAGAGGGAAAGGAGGAGAGGGGGAGAGGAGTGATGGTGCTGGAGGAGCGATAACCGGATCCTCCTCTTCCGCGACCTAGGTCTCTATATAGAGATCAGAGAGCTTCTTGCTTTCGGGAGGTGCAGCTGATGATTTGCGTCGATACGAGTGAGGCGGAGAGATTGCAGCTTCGACCTCCTCGCTTGCTGCCTTGGGCAGAGGGTTTGGTAAGTTTTCATCGTCAGAAGCATGAAAAGCCATTCTTTGTAGTCTTGTACACATGCCTTGCAGCACCGCCACCGGGGAGGACAGACTATTTTCGAGGTTTGCCATGGCCCTTCCAAAGTGTGATAGATCGTAAGGTCCTGCAAACAGGGCTTGCCTTGGGCTGCGGCAGCGGCAATCATTGCAAAGTTCACATGCCTTTCGCCGTCGTCGTGAGAAGATAGGCTCTTGATTATTGTCTCTTGACGATGACCTGCATGCATCCATGGACGAAGAAGACTTTTCGGGTTGAAAGCTTTGTTGACTTTCCCAAGCTTCCGCGACATGCGGTCTGGGTTATGCCCGTAGCGTCGTTTTCGTGACAACGCTGAGGTCCAAGCACGGACGGAAGAGACCTACCGACATGCAAAGATATGAAACATGTGGTGCATGTGGAAGGGGTCCGATCGCCCATAATATCAGCGTAACCCAGCGTCGATCTTTGGCAAAGCGCATGACCACACCAACTGTGATCGACATGAAGGACTTGATCAAGCATGGGCAAAAGATGAAGATGCGTTATCAAACGTGGTGATGATTTCTTGAGCTACGATCGACGTCGTCAAAGATGAGAATCGCTGTGCCGAATAGGTCGGGATGCTTTTAAACTTGCAATCGTCGTCGTGGTCACGGACCTCTTCCCGAAGTTTTGGCTCCGGTCTGCAACATGGACGAAGGCCAAAGCGAGATCTTGCAAAGGAATGGGAAAGATGCTATCGGCTCAAGCAGCAAATAACATGCTAGTCGGCTTGGCAATCGAAGCGCCCCGATCATTGCTTTGACCGGCGATCGTAGCTTGCAAAGCATCTGATTGACGCCCATAGCGGGTGATTGTCGTCCTGCACCAGCCACCTGATACCTCATGCATGACGGAAGAGTGGGAGCAACTGAGCGACAATTGCAACCGGGCGCAAGGATGCCATTTTAGCCCTTCGACAGCACTGGCAAGCCTCCAGGATGGCTACTACGGTAACAGGTCATCGGTAAGGGCTTTACCTGTGTCCCTTTTGTTTCGACAAACAAACACAATGACTATATAGCATGCTGAAATGCATGCTTAGTGTCCACATGAGCCGTCTCCCCCTACAGCCAGGTGGCGATTTGCTAGTTCGTTAGCCGTCAGACCTTCAACACTCGCCGACAAGACCGACTCTGAAACGGGCTCGAGGTAAGGGCTTGGGCGCTGCCTGTTGGTCTTACACGAGCCTCCTCTCCCCACCGGAAGCATGTTAGAGGGATACCGACTCGCGTTAGACCGGTGGTCGGGTAAAAGGGGCCGGCATACTAACTAACAGACATCCGAGGAGGAAGGAGGTTTACCTGTCATTGTTTCCCGTCATGCTCTGCACCATAGTGTGGATATATAAGGCTGTGTAGATAAAACAAATCCATGTGGGAATCAATCGCCCTCAACAAGGCAAGTAACTGCACCGATGCATCCAATGCAGAGCTCGACCGTTTGTTTGACACAGCAGCCATGGGATTGCGCAACTACGAAGAGTCGGCGCAGCTCAAGGAGCGAGAGGTCGATAATGTGACGCTAGTCACTTGCTTTACAACCCACAATCAAGGCGGCTATCAACAGCGCCACCTACGACCTACCCAGAGCCAGAATCAGTCAAACGCCGTGACAGGGAAGCAGGTCACCTGCTGGAACTGCGAGATTCGGTCACAGGAGATAAGAAACCCAGGGCAACGTCCATACGCAAGCCGAGGTCAGGCACTTCCAAGACCACTGCCGCACCCAAATTGGCATACGACCTCATGTATAATCATCTCTGACGAGTATGGGTTGGATTGTGGTTACGTTGAGAAGCGACTTGGCTCCACTCCGGATGATCTCGTTGACTGTGAGATGTTTGGAGCTCGCTTCGACAACATAACGCCGACTGTAGGCGCCGAGTTGGATTCCTGTAGCGAGCTTTTCAAGAGGTGCGTTCTCTCACACTGCGATTCAAGTTGATTGGGTTTGGTTCAATTGCACAGGAGATGCATAGACAGAGGCGAAAGACTGCACCAGGCAAACAAGACGGATGCCGGGGGGGGGTTACTTGAGAAGTTGTTGCAGCTTTCCACTCTTCTGAGCGTCCAATAGGTCGGAGCAACCACCTAGGTGTTTCTGGTTGATAAAGATGTTCGGAACTGTACGCTGCGAGGTTTTTTCCATCAAGTAAGCCTGTACATCGATCCACAGCAGCAGAAAGGAGCGAGATTGTTAGTATGTGAGCGCAGAGCTGGAAGCAAGGAGCTCTTTCTCTCTCTCTCTCTCTCTTTCTCTTTCTACGTTGAATAGCGGTGGGAGCTGACAGGGTGCCCAAGTGACAAGTTGTTCGGATGAAAAAGGGTTGGATACATACCTGAATATCACTCCCTTCAGAACCCATTTGGTCCAATTCCAACACACCAACCTGACTCTTGTCGAGACCTAATTGCTTATCGATCAGTGATTTGGCCTGGGAGCAATAAGGACAGTAACTCTTGCTGAAAACAGCGACAAGGTGTTCCGAGATGAACTTTTCAGCTGCTTGTTTAGCTGCCATTTTCCTAGATTCTTCTAGCGTAGGCCAGTTGGAAGGACTGGATGAAAGAGCTGAGATTAGAGCGCCTATTTTGTCGGTTGATGGACACTGTCGAGTGTCAAGGGATATTGATCATGTCGTGGAAGGGAGTCAAGGAAGGAATAGAGAGAGGAAGCGCTTAAGATTTGTGCAAGTGGGATGGATGACGTAATAATGTGGAGGCTGGAATACGACACTGATAAAGTGCCGGAATGTGTGCAGAGCGTTGATCAAAAACACCGAGCAGGCAGAGTTTTACGGCCGATTGAATTAGGCCAATACTTTGCCACCGACACTAACACCCAATCAATCTCAATCTCAGCCGACCAAGTCCAAGTAGTCGATGTTTTCAGCACAAACAGCATAGCCATTTCTCTCAATCCACAAAAGAACAATCGATTCCAAAACATAAATTGCACCGAGATCCAGAAAAGATCCAGAAAAGACAAGAACAATGATAGAAGAGAAACAAACTAAAGAAACCGTCTGTGTGTGTATGTGTGTGTGTGATATATGATAGCAAAGGTATAATCTCAACCGTGTATATGTATTTAGGAAACAGTGCATCCGCTATTGAACCACCAACTCTGCCTCAACTGTTCGATCCAATGCACCACCAAGCAGAGCCTCAATCTTCGACTTCTGATGGGAAGCAATTTGGCCTTCTCATGTTCGTCAATTGGCATAACTAGAGCCATCCAGTAACCTAGCCTCTCAACTTGGTCAGCGGAAGGCATCGGGCCGTAGGTGTGGTTGAGACGGGAGAGAAGCCAAGGAGCCGAACCTGAACGAAGGGTTTCGATGAAGGAAGTGCAGATTGCGGTGAGTTCTTCGATCGATGGTTCCGCAGGTACTGGTTTGAAAGGTAACATTCCTTCTTCTTCTTGCTCCTGCTCCTGCTCTTCAGGGGCAGTGTTGCTGTTATTGGTGGCAGTGTCAGCGGCAGGAGTGTTCGCATCAGGATCCTCAGGGTGCCAGTCGTCCTGGTGCTGAGGAGCAGAAGGGTCGGATTGGTAGATAGAAAGAACATCCCTTTCGGCACGCAACATCTCGGGTCGTGTCAACGAAGCTTGCTGCTCTTCAGCCTCATTGCTACCGCTAGGCACGGTGCGAACGGGAGCAGAGGAAGAACAAGACATGGGCTGAGAAGGAGGAGGCTCAACTGCTTTAGCAGCTTTCTTCTTGTCCAGCTCTGCACGGCGCATGAGCACTGAACGTTCGAGCTCTGCCTCTTCTTCGAGCGAAATGTCGTCAACTCGCTCGACGCGGCCCACGGTGTATCCATCAAGCGATCCCTTCTCCAACAAACGGAAGCGGTACGATCCAACGGTCTCGAGCATGCTTCGTCCATCGGCGAGCATCTGCACCGACTTGATCTCGAGCATGGTTCCGTACTCTTCGGTGCCGCCGTTGTTTCTCCAAGGCAGCACCATGCCGAATCGTGGGTTGCCGCTCTCGAGACAACGACGAACCATAAGACGGTATCGAGGCTCGAAGATGTGCAAGATGGTGGGCATGCCAGGGAAGGCAAGAGTGCAAACAAAGATTGGTGTCGACAAACGAGCTTCCCGCTCTTCCTGCTGGATCGCGGCTTTGCGTTGCTCGTAGAGACGCTTGAAGCCATAGTGATGGGGTGCTGTCTCTGGATCATCATCAATCATGTAGCCAGCACGTCGAGAAGCATTGTCAACATGCTTTGCAGCATCGCCTCCTGAACCCATGGCAATCGAAATGCCTGCGTAGGTATTGGGGGCAACATGCTTGGCCTCCTGTGTCGAGTCCGAGTGCATTCCATCCTCATCCGAGAAGGTAGCTGTATCCGAAGTGAGAATCTTGAGCAGTGCAGTGTTGGGTCGGTGATCCTGGAAAAAGGAGAAGTTGGGCATGTCGGCACGGCACAGGGGACACCTGTCAGCGTGGTCGAGACTGCGGGCGAAGCACGACTTGCAGAAGGTGTGACCACATGGGGTGGTGAGAGGATCGTAGAGAAGCAAGTAGCAGAGCTGACATTCGAGCACCTCAGCCAGCTCAGAGTGAAGCGTGGCTACGGTCTGGATAAGAGGCTCGCCATTGACGCCAACTCTAGAAGAGAGCGCAAGACTGTGCTTGGCTTCAATGTTGCGGTTGCGAGCGATGGCGTCGTCTGCATCAGCATCGGACTCGACTTTGCTGGCGTTGCTGTTACTTGCAAGCGCTTGCTGAGCACGACGTCGACGGACGGCGTCAACCAAAGCTTCAGAAGCATGCTCGCCATGCAAACCATGACTGACAGCCGAATCGACATGACATCCAACTGCCTCTTCGACCGAATGCGAAGGATCTCGTTTAGCGACTTTGCCTTTGGTGTGAGCTGCATTGCCTTTCCTGAAGGATGCTGCGGCGCTCAAAGTGCTGTCATCACTGCCTCGGCCGCGGCGTCGTTTCAGTCGAGCTTTGTCACGTCGGCGAATTGCAGCAGCAGAGAGGGGAGGGCGAGAGAAGGCTCCGCCAACATGATCAGGCCAAAGTCGATCGTCCTCCTCTTCGGTGTGCTCTTCGTCAGTGCCGGCGTGAAGGGTCCAGCATTCTTTGTCTTGGTCGCGGTCCACCTGAATGTGCATAGAGTGAGTACGGCCATGAGGGGTGGACCTTTGATGTGCCGTGTCAGTGCTAGGATCGTCGTCGCTGTCATCGAAGAAAGTGCCGTCAGCAGGAATGTGTTGGTCGTCGGATTCGTAAGCAGCACGAACTCCACCAACAGTACCACTTTCCAAGTCCGACTCGTTTCTGCCAAAAATGCCCATGCCAGCTTGCGACATTCCTGATGGGTGATACCTGCGGGAAGAGGCAGCAGCGGAGGAAGGGGCAGTGGCTGCGAGACGGCGAGAGGTAGGTCGAGATTGCAAAGAACGACGACTGGGCACTGCGCCGCGTGCTCGGGCCGAGTAAGCCGACTGATCGTTGGTATCGCGTGCTGCGCCGGGGCGAGAGTATTGTGAGCTCGAGCTGCTGCTGGAAGAGGGTCGGCTTGAGCCAGCTGCACCACGACGTTGCCGAGGAGGGCGGGGCAGTGGGGAGGAAGCATAGTGCATCAAGATGGCAACGGCTTTGCTGAGTGTAACGTCAGGGCGAAGCAAATTGCAGGTAGCGAGGGAAGGTAGCCGAGTGGCAGCCATCTGTTGTTGGCCAGCTGCGGTTGCTGAGTTGGAGTCAACGCCGTGTGGTGGAAGGGCGAAGAGATGAGCCTTGGATCGTGTCTGAGGGCCAATGACGGTGAGTCGAAGTGGGTGATCAGCGACGCCCATGACGAAGCCATCGGCTGGGGGTGCTCCGGGACCGACGTCTTCCGAACCGACGGGGAGTCTCTCGGTGTAGGTAGGGATAAGGCCGTACCTAGGCTGGTGACCAGCCCATGCACCAATGCCGCGACCAATGGCAGAGCGTGGGCAGCCATGGGCGGGGCAAGCTACTGTCATGGGACTGAGAGGAAGTCGTGGAGGAAGATGGCTGAGACAGGGAAGGGGCTTGACCTGTTCCTCAGGCGGGATCGACTTGGGCAAAAGACGATCCTTGATACATTGAAGACAAGAAGAATGGCCGCATGGAAGAGTGACAGGATCGTGTAGAGGGCGTTGACAAACATGACAAGTGGCAAGGGTCAACAACACGGTAGCAAGTTCAGGAGCACGTCGACGTTGTGGCGCAGTGGGCAGACGCATTTGTTGTGGTTGCCGTTGTTGTTGTGCACTTGGAGATCGAGATGCGATCGACTTGTGCTGTTGTTGTGCTTGTTGTTGTGGCTGAAGTTGTCGAGTAGCTGATTCTGTTGTATTAGGTTGTGAGGATGGCATGTCGGTGTATTGCGAGACTTGTGTCCTTTCGAGTTCTGCGGAGGAGTGAGGCATGGTTGTTTCCGAGCGTTGTGATGATTGTCGAGGAGCGGCCATGTGGTAGTCGTGAGAGGCAGGAGCAGTTGGTGAAACTGGACTATGATGACGACTGCGAATGGAGGAGCTAGCGTGGGCTTGACCACAAGGGCTGGAACTGCCGCTGCTAGTGCAGGCGTGTTGCAAGTGTTGTGTTGATGCTGGGCTCATTGTGGTTGCAACATGCTCGTGGTTACAAGGCGAGTGGCCGGTATGTGAGGAAATGAGGGGCTGAAGAAGGCGACGAGCGCCAACGTATTGAGATTCTGTTGTGTATCAACGAGTGTTGAGACGTTGCAAGTTGTATCTGAGTTGCTGATGTGGTGAAGGAAGAAGAGCGACGACTGTTGCCAATTCAAGAGGGCTGCTGGTGGTGATGCTGATAGCTGGCTTGCGTGGGACGTCTAGATGGAAAGCAGCGACTGTAGGATAAGCTGACTGGTGGTAGAGGAGGGTTGAGAACAAGCCTAGCGCTTCGCTGCACCAAATTGTTGGTAGATGTGGTGTGGGATGGTGCTTCTCGTTAGAGGATGCCCTGTTGGTGGCAAAGATCGTGCGATATCAGTGGCCGAGTATGGTGAGGGGCGGGAGAGAGAAGCGTAGTTGGTAAGCTGGCAAGGTCGAGGCTGCTTAGCCAAGAGATGCCGCTGTGGTGATGCGAGCAGCCTATCGTATCGTACGACTGTATCCTATCCTATCCTATCCTATCCTATCGGCTCAGCTCCGCTCAGCTCCGCTCAGCTCGGCTCAGCTCGGCTCGGCTCTCCTCTCCTCTCAAGTTGCTTTTGCGCGCTGCTGCTGTTGGCGGTGGAGTGGGAAAAGAGTCTAGACTGACAGTCTCTCTGCGAGTGAGGAGTGGGCAGCAGAGCAGCAGGTGTTAGAGAATAGAACAGTGTCGTAAGCGAGCGGCGCAAAAAGGTAATCACAATCACCCTCTGTAAGTTTCGAGATGGAGAGGCGGAGGAAGCAATACAATTTCGCTGCAATACAATTTCGCTGCAATACAATTTCGCTGCAATACAATTTCGCTGCAATACAATTTCGCTGCAATACAATTTCGCTGCGACTCTCTGTAAACCGTCGGCGTATCCGAAACCCAAAAAACCCTCTGGTGGGAAAGAGGCGGTCGGATATAGTCGAGAGCGTGGATGGGGTGGGGACAGTCCTGATGGTCAGCTCAACTCTGACTGAGAGAGAGGGAGAGTTGAATGGCGGCAGAAGGCGAGGCCGAATCCTCTCGGAATTGCCGCCAGTGAGATGCCGACTGTGAGAGAGTAACGGGCGGCGCCGAGATGAGATTGCGTATGTAATCAATTTCAAAAAAACGCCAAGAGCAACTGCTCCCAATTTGGAGACAGTATTTGAATGAGCAGAGCTGTCCTTGGTCTTGCTCGTGTTTCGCCCACCGCCGATTTGCCGGTCAGAGAAGGTCAGCATCCGAGACATCCGACTCGAAACAAGTCGTAATTGCCAGGAAGGAAAAAAAGAAAAAAGAAAAAAGAAAAAAGAAAAAAGAAAAAAGAAAAAAGAAAAAAGAAAAAAGAAAAGAAAAAAGCAGGCTTTGAAAGCCAAGCTGCGCGCGCCATTTCTCTTTGCCAGTGTTTGCTGCCCGTCAAGCCTGGACATTGGCTCAGCGTGCATCATGTTTGCTTTGGTCTCCAGCGGCTGCCGTCTGAACATCTGTCTGCTTGCAACTCTGTGCCTGAATGCCACCTCGTCTCACTTGCCCTAACTTCTGTAACATGGCATCAACTTAACAATCAGTTCATCCACATTCATCGACACTTTTGCTGCCGGCGAACACAGCTCCGACTCCCGATAAAGTAAGAAAGGAAAGTCGCTAGCAGCTGACACTCGAGCACAACGATGAACAAGCAACCTTTCTCTGACACAGCAGTGATGGACTAGGATGGAGGAAATTGCAGCAAAGTACCAAGCAGGCAAGCTCTACTTGCAACGGCCTCTCCACCAGATGCTCCCGGCCAGCGTTGTGCTCGATCTGGTCCCAGGATTGCGATCCTTTCGACTGGTCTTGTGCCTTTTTGCAATTGCAGCCATCCTTCTGCTCCGGTTATCGTCCATCTTGCCCTCACGCAAGAGCCGAGGAGCTCGGCGTTCACGTGAGCAAGCAAAGACCTCTGTTCAGCACAGCGTGGCAGTCTTTCTCGGATCAGGCGGACACACTGCTGAGCTGCTGCAACTCCTATCGGCACTTCCGACCGATCGATATCCACAGCGCATCTACCTTGTCTCTTCTGGCGATCGATTCAGTGTGGATAAAGCCAAGGATCTGGAGCGTCGCCTCTGCTCAACTTCACCGGACAAGCGGCAAGATGGGCCAAGCTCAGCGAAAGTGATACAAATCCCTCGCGCAAGAAGAGTAGGCCAAAGCTTGCTCACCACGCCCTTGACCCTCGCCAGAAGCGTTGCATTCTGCGCCGACCATCTCGCCCTCCGACCACTGCTCAGACCTTTCCCATCCTCCCAAAAGGGCCGCCCAGCAAAGCCAATTCTTGCGGATCTCATCCTTATGAATGGACCAGCGACTTGCGTGCCTATCGTCGTCGCTGTCTATCTCTTGAGAGTAAGTCTGCCCAAAAAAAGAGAGAGAGAAAAAGAAAAAGAAAAAGAAAAAGAAAAAAGAAAAAGAAAAGGAAAAAGAAAAAGAAAAGGAAAAAGAAAAAGAAAAAGAAAAAAGAAAAAGAAAAAGAAAAAAGAAAAAGAAAAAGAAAAAGAAAAAGAAAAAGAAAAGGAAAAAGAAAAGGAAAAAGAAAAAGAAAAAGAAAAAGAAAAGCTCAGTCGATCCTAACACCGTTCTCTCCATCACCGCTCACACTCTGGCAGATACTGGGCCTACGCTCGCCCAAGCTCATCTATGTCGAATCCTTCGCTAGAGTCAAGAGCTCCTCACTGACAGCAAAGTTGATACGACCCTTTGTCGATCGCTTCCTCTTGCAATGGCCTCGAGATCCATCCGAGGCCCAGCCAGAGATCAAAACCAAGGCTACAAGTAACACTATCTTCTCCGGTTGGCTCGTATGACCTAGCTCGCTCATCGATACGAGAAACCAGCATCCACGCGCAATACCATCGCTCAGACATCATATCCTTGGGTGACAATATAGACTTCTATTGTAACTGCACACGACATTTGCCAGTGTCTATCCTTGTGATGCGATCATCAGAACCAAGTCGCGCCTCTCTCATGTCGAAGCACCTGAATTGCCCGAGTTACCGCCCCACTGTCGCTTGTTCTGCGAGTTGGTCGAGTTGATCGAGCTCAACTCGCTCGGTTGTCCTTTTGATCGGCGTTGTCTATGTTGCTGCTGTTGTCCTTGCGCTTGACGATTCCTTCCATCTTCTTTGCCACGTCCATCTCGACCGTTGCCGTTGCCGTTGCCGTTGCCGTTGCCGTTGCCGTTGGCGTTGGCGTTGGCGTTTCCTTTTCTTGCCTCGTTGTTCTTCTGCGAATCCGAGTCGACGTTTTTTGTCGCCTTCTCCGAGCTCCGACCTGATCCTTGATTTCGAGGTGCTGGTCGACGATCTTGGTCACGACTACGTTCCCTATCACGTTCCTCCTCCCCATCACGGCCCTTGTCGCAATTGCGCTCGTCTCTCCTAACTCTCCTGTCACTCTTATCTCTCTCCCGCGTATCGGCATCGCGTCGTCGATCAGATCCTGGAGCCCCATCACGATCACGTCGGTCGCTACTCCATCTTAAATCGTCTCCATGTCTTGAGGCTCCTCGACTACTGTCGCCTCCACCAGGACGCCAGCTATCACCTACTCGTCGATCTCGGGGCGCGTCTTCCGACCAGTTGCTCCTCGGCACTGCTGTACCTTTCTCACCCTCGTCCCCATCCCTTTTCTGTCGCTTAGAATCAGCAGAACCAGCGCCGTTCGCATTCCCTCTGCTGTTCGAGTCAGCCTGGCATGTCTGTTTCGAGTCGCCCTTGCCTCTGCCTTTAGCGTTGTCCGATGCAGGATTGTTGCCTCTCTTGCGCTTTCCTCCCTGGTCGCCTTGTCTTTGCTGCCCGCCATTCGAGCCTTGGTTGCCCTCTTGCCTTGCTGACTGACCATCATCCTTTTGACCAGGCTCCGTCTTGCGCTGAGCAGAACCTTTGATGCTGAGACCTTGGGCCTCCCTCTCGGCCTCTGAACAGTCGCCCTTCTTCTTTCCGCCTTGCTCCCCCTGTCTCCTACCCTCGCTTCCACATCCACCTTGCTCGCGCTGTTGCTCACTTGCAGCAGCCGCGTTCTTTGCCTTTTCAGCATCTCGAGCCTGCTTGCCTTTCCTTTTCTTCTTGTTCTTCTTCTTGCCCTGCTGATTGGCTCCGCCTGGAGCGGCTTTGGAGTCGGAAGATGCGTTCTTCTTGTTCTTCTTGCATCCTTGGCTGGAAGGACTGCGAGACTCGCTGGCGACGGTAGGCTTTGTCCAACTACTTTCGCCAGTGCGCTCGTTGTAGTAGTATACCTCGCCATTGCCGGAGCGCGATTCGATGGTTCTCCAGCCGGGGGCGAGGTCGTCTCTGTGGTCTTTTGTGCGATTGTCCCGGGCGTCACCAGGTGGATCCTTGTTGTCTGTTGTTGAGGTGCAAGTGGCCGCATCCTCATGCTTTCCAGATTCCTTGTCCTCGACAGTTGCTTCTTGGGGCTTGTCCTCGGTCGCTTCCTCAGCTGCAGCAGCGGACTCGTCGACAGCAGGTGCCCATGTATCCTCTTGAGCCGCTTCTGCCTCGAATTCTGCTTTCTTTGCCCGTGTCGCTGCTTCTGACACGACTTCTGCCAGCGTCGCCTCTTCGTCCAACATTAGGCTCACCTCATCCTCTCCATAGTCGATGGCTTCTTCATCGTCCAACATTGCTCCCGTCGGTTCGGATTGGTGTACAAGTCTAGGCGCGTGCTATCTCCACTCCCTCTTCCAGGCCGGTCGTGTCTTTTCCGTCTATGCTTTGCTGTGTCAAAGATGATCAGAGCCTACCTTGGTGATCTGCTGGTGTGGTGCGGCGAATGGCTTGGTGTCGTTGAAGAAAGGACCGACATGACAATGCAAGGATTTCGAAAGACGACCATCTCTCACCAAGTCTCCAATCCAGACGGATCAGCGACAGCAGTAAACTGTTTTTCTTCCTGAATTTTGGGTTGAATTTTGGGTTGATTTTTTGGGTTGATTTTCCCCCCCTTTTATTTCTTCTTTTTCACTTTTTGTGGTAAACGGTCGCTTTACTATGATCGGATGTCGGAATTCGGATGTTGGAATTCGGAATTCGGAATTCGGAATTCGGAAGTGACAAGTCTGTCGCTGCTGTCAAACAGACAAGCGAGAATGGTCGTGCGCTTTGCCAACACCATCTGCCATTCCTGCTTTCTTGCTTTCCCACTCGACGTCAGAGCCCTTTTCGCCCTCCCACGTCCTTCTAAGGAGATCACTTTGCAACTCGCACCAATCATAGGAGCCTCAGGGCCTCGGTGTAACTCGGTGTAACTCGGTGTAACTCGGTGTAACTCGACACCCTCACTAGATAGACGTCATGGCGAGCGGATATCATCAGCAAGAGATAACCCCCGGTGGCTGCAGCCACGCGGTCTTGCTCCACCTCCACTACCATAGCCCCGCACCATCCAAAGTACAACAGTCATATCAACATCGAGGTCGTCTACGCACACAACTCGTCACTGCACGAGACGATCTTCTTTCCATTTACGACGTCTACGAACGACCCTCTGCCAGTGCGAACCCCAGCAATGGCCACTCCTCCCCAGATTCCACATCACACAGACTGGTCCTCATCCGCAAGCACTCCCTCTTCGGTACAGTCACCGGCCTACAACGCATTCAAACTCTCTCCACCAGTAAAGACTCTCGTGATCGTCTCCTCGTTTCCTTCACCGACGCTAAACTCGCCCTGCTGGAATGGAACCATACCACCGACGACCTCGAAACTGTCTCAATCCACACCTACGAACGTGCTCCCCAACTCCTCAACGGTATCCCACACCTTTTCCAACCCAATCTCAACATCGACCCTCTCTCGCGATGTGCTGCCTTGTTGCTCCCGCACGATGCGCTGGCCATATTGCCCTTCTACCGCGATGCGGCAGAGTTCGAGTTCGATCATGGTCTCCATCTCGATCTCAATCTCGACTTTGCAGGCGAGGATAAAGCAGCGATGCAAGCAGCGGTGCAGATCGAGTCTTTGCCGTACTCCCCTTCCTTCGTACTGACAATGCGGGAGGTCGATCCGAAGATTAGAAATCTCAAAGACTTTTGCTTTTTGCCCGGATTCCAGAAACCAACGGTAGCCCTACTCTTCGCTCATTCGCCGACTTGCACTGGCTTGTTGGCCGAACGGAAGGATAACTTTTCCGTCTATTTGTTCACCTTGGATCTAGCAGCGAGTTTGGATGGCGCCATGCTAGGCTCGGCATCCTATTCATTTGACGATGCCACATTGCGATCCATGCATCCTGTCCTCACGACTAGTTCCTCGCTGCCGTATGACTGCTTGTACATGCTACCCTGTCCTCAAACACTAGGTGGAGTATTGGTCGTGTGTATGTCCTCCATCTTGCACGTCGATCAGAGTGGAAGGGTGGTAGCTACCGCGCTTAATGGTTGGTTTAACTTGGTTTCCGCTATCCAGCCTGAATCCTTGCTGGATTTGCCAGAGATCGCTGATTTGCAAGGCTCGCAGTTGGTATTTACCGCAGAGACGGAGGGTGTGTTGACACTCGTCCATGGAGATGTCTATACGTTTACCTGCCAGATGGACGGTCGAAACATTCAAGGTTTCCGATTGGAGCGGATGCAACAGTCTTTCGCCCGAACAGAAGAGTTGGTGCCTGCGACTGGTTCACCTGTCTCGTGTCTCGCTTTCTCACCTCATGATTCGCAACTTTCGAATGGTGCAGGCTATCTGTTCGCAGCATCAATGGCGGGCGATTCGACCCTATACAACCTCGTACCCGTTAACAAGCCCCTTTCCGACCAAGAAGCCGCTGCACAAGCCTCAAAACCTGAACCCGCGGCAAACGATATGGATCTTGACCTGGATGACGATCTCTACGGCAGCTCCGACGCTGTCAATAGCGCTAATGTACAGATGAGGGGTGGCAACAAGGACAAGACAGTTCTCACCCTTCGAAAGGTCGACGAGATTCGCTCCCATGGTGGACTGCACAGTATAGCAAGAAGAAAGCTGACAGCGGATGAATCGAGCCGTGGGAAGCGATACGGGTTGGTCGGTGCTTGTGGATCCGGTAATCAGGCTGGCATTGTTTATTTGGATCCGAGATACACTCCACAAGACCGCACTAAGTTAGTTGCCGAGGGCGGGGAGGAGAGGCAGCAGAGCTTTTCGAATGTCTTTGTTGTCCAAAAGATTGCAGAGGGCGTGAGAATGATTGCGACCAATTATGAACGGGACTCGTCGATTGCGTTTACCGCTCCAGCGGATGTTTATGCTCCGACTTCGAGGCAAGGGCAAGCTACCTGGTCGAATGTAGTAGAGTTCGGAGGTGCGACGCTGTGCGCAGGGGCTTTGCTAGGTGGGAACCAAGTAGCACGTATCACTGCGAACAGTGTTCAGGTGCTGTCTGCTGATTCGCTCCAGCTTCTCGACGAGGTCGCAGTCGATGCGATCCAACACGCGAGCATCGACGCAGAACAGTACCTAGTCCTCCACACCACTAGCGGCGAAACGCTGGTCTACAACTACCATCTCACACAGCGCAAGTTCGAACCTCTCACCCTACCCCTTGCGCTCAACAGCGCTTCTCTGCTCTCCGCCAACGTCTTTAGAGACAGCTACGGTCACATGCAGAGCGCTCTACAACCGAACTTTGCATCTACATTCGCCGGCACCGTAGTGTCTGCAAACCATAAAGAGCCTACGTCCAAAGCCACCTCCGCATCACGCCCAGACTCTTCACTCCCGAACGACGACGAAGAAGTAGACTACGACGAAGATGTAGACTACGACGAAGATCTTCCAGACCCAGCCACCGCCACAGCCCCAACTGCCAGCTACGTAACAGTAGCATCCGCCCCAGCATACCTCTTCATTCTGACGCACGACTCCATCATGCGGATCTTTGCTCTCCCAAACCTTACCCTCGTATGGCAAAACACCTCCCTTTCCGCCCAACCGCAGCGATTACGGTTGGAAAGAACCCCCCACACCGAGCTCGCCCGGGAACAAGTTGCCGAGCTTACCTCTGCGAGGTTGTGTCACGTGGGAGATACGTTGAGTGTCGTTTCGCTTACGAGTGATGATTTTTTGACGGTTTATAAGGGTGCTTGGGGTGCCGAGGGAGGTTTGATGTTTAATAAGGTACTGGTGGAGGTGCTGAATGCACCTGTGGGTGGTGTTTGGGGTGGGATGGTTCAGTTGAGGCCTTGCTATGTTCCAATCAGAGAGGCGGAGGAAGGGGTGGGGGAGAATGCGATAGTGGTATTGGGAGGGGGCAGGGAGGTTCAAGCGAGTATATTGTGTTGGACTGAAGCTGGGGGATATAGACTACTCGATTGGGATGATGGGGATCTCACATCTCTCTTCCCCATCCGTACTTCCGAAGGGAAATGGAGTGGTGAGTATGCATACTGCACTCGATCAGGCTCTCTTTATCTTGGACGACATCCCCGCGGCCTATATAGCAGTACTTCCTGGATCTCGAGCGTAGTACGAACAGGTCGACAATACACACACATCACAACTCATCCTGCAACCTCCACAGTGATCGCTTCCTCGGTCAACCCCCACCCTTTTATCCTATTCGATGATGAAGGAGAAGCAATCCCTTCCGCCTCCTCGGTCATCTCAAACCTCACCAACTCGCATCCCACCTTTAACAACCGCGGCTCTATCGAACTGTTTATCGCCGAAGACGCCTGCACCGCCATCGATGGTTACGAATTCGATCAATCCGAAACGGTAACCTCGCTCACGACCGTTACTCTCGATTCGCCCTCCTCCGCCACTGGTCGCAAACAGTTCATTGCTGTAGGAACGACTACTTACCATGGAGAAGATCGCACTTGCAAAGGATCAGTCTACTTGTTCGAGATCATCCAAGTTGTTTCCTCTCGGCGTTTTCAAGTTGGTAGAGATCTTCGACTCAAACTGATCTGTCGAGATGGATCGAATGCTCCAGTGACAGCATTGGCTGAGTTGCATGGATTTCTACTAAGCACCAGTGGGCAAAAGTTGTATGTGAGGGCATTGGAGAAGGAAGAGTGGTTGATTTCGGTGGCGTTTTTGGATTGTCCTTTCTACATCACAAGTATAAGGGTGGTGAAGAACTTTGTCCTCTTGTCTGATGCAAAGAAGGGTTTGTGGTTTTTGGCTTTCCAGGAAGATCCGTATCGTTTTGTCGATCTTGGCAGTGCATTGGATGGACATTGTGCAAATTTGGGTGAGTTTTTGGTATATAATGATAAGCTTTCCCTTGTTTCCACTAGTGGTGTTGCATTGGGAGGCTTTAGTGGCTTTGGCCAAGATTCCGGGGTGATTAGGTTGTACGAGTATAATCCTTCTTCTCCTACATCGTTGGGAGGGCAAAGGTTATTGTTAAGGACAGAGTATTCTACTCCTTCTTCTACTACTTGCTCTCTTTCTGCACCAGGTAGATGGTTGAGTGATTCCGAGTTGAGAGGAAGAGAACAACTCAGGAATAAACTCTTACTTTCCAAGTCGAATGGTTCATTGGACAGTCTAGCAAGCGTAGAAGAAAAAGTTGCCAAGAGGTTGCATCTTTTACAAGGTCAGTTGGTAAGGAGTGTTTTACACACCGCTGCACTCAATCCAAGAGCTTTTCGACAGGTCAGGAACGACTTTGTTTCCCGTCCACTCTACAAAGGTGTTTTGGACGCAAGATTACTAGATGCCTTTAAAGGGTTAAGTAGACCCAAGATGGGAGAGGCGGTTAGGACGTTAGCAGGTTTGTTTGATGCATTGGATGTCGTCAAGTCCGACCAAGCTAAGCGGAAGAGAGGAGAAGATTTAGGCAACAAGGTCCGCCTGAAGACACAAGATGGGGATGAAGAGACTGCGCAAGAAGCGCAAGAGAATACTGAGGAGACTGAGCAGCAGGAGGCTGAGCAGCAGGAGAAAGAGGAAGAGGAGGAGCAGGAAGATTTCGAGAAGCAAGAACAGCTGCGGTTGCAATCGGAGCACAAGAGAGTGCAGTTGGTATTGAAGGATTTGCTTAGATTGCGAGTTGGCTTTGAGCAGGTATAGGCTTCATCATCATCATTGCAGAGTGTCTGTTGTCGAATACGATGACGGCGAGCATCATGATCTGTTAGTGTGTTTGTGAGTGCGTCAGTTTTGTTTGGTAAAGCGGGATGAGCTTCGACGCTGAAGCGAGTCTAGAGATGTTGACAAGATTGCTGCTCTCAGTTGACTCCTTGCTGCAACACAATACTCGTGCGGGGACAAGGAAGGGATGAAAGAGAGGCTCCTGCCTGAGACTGTCCGGAAAGCTACCAAGTGCGGCAGACAATCCATGGTCCAAGGCACACTAAGAATTCCACTCCATCGCTCAGTGTTACTCCTTCTCCATCGAGACAAGCTGGCGTTGGAACGAGGCAGAGACAGTATGTTGGGTAGCGCATGGGTTTTACAAGAGAATGGCATTTAGGATGTGTGCTATTGTGTGCGGGATTTTAGTGTTTCACCAAAGCGTTCGGTGGCTAAGACACCTTTTTCCACTTCTCCCTTTCCCCCGAGGAGGTGAGAAAGAAGCTTATCAATGATACATGAATGCTACAACTGAAAGCGCACCAGAAAGATATGCTTTATGTTGGCATACTTTAGGCCTTGTTGGCCTGGAGTTGAGCAACTGCAGGGTTGACCTTCTTTCCGTCCTTGTTGAAGCGAACACGAGGAGGAGGCAAACGGTTACGACGACCCTCACGAGACCTCACACGAACAATGTGAGCGTGAATGGCGCACGAAACACAGTATACCACCTTGATGTACAACTTGGGAAGAGCGTACTCTGCCAAATTCCAACAATCAAGTACAGGAAAGATAATGTCACGTTAGTAAAGGCAAAGAAGGAAAGCGAGATAAAGGGGGGGGGATGCTTACCCTGGTAGACCGAGGCTTCAGAAAGATCACGGATGGCAGCGGCTTCGACAATGTTACGAACGGTGAATCGCTTGATAGCCTTGTCCTTGGGGACAGCGCGCGAGCAGTTGGAGCATCGCACGAAAGTTACGTGGCCTCGGCCGGACTTGTTGCGGCTATGATCACACAAAGTAGAAGTAGAGGTTGGGGAGCGTGTGAGCAGATTTGCACGCGCCGAGAGGAAAGCGTGGAGCGGAGAACAAGCAGGAAGCAGCACGACAACAACTGTAGTGATGCAATCAACGTCGGAGCAGAGACAAAGCCGCGGATATGCAGCCAAGGCAGAGACAAGTGGGAGTTGACAGTTTGTTGGAGGTAAGGTGAGGTAGAGTCGCGGGTTGCCAATGAATGGCTTGGTGTTGATTGAGTTGTAGGGGTTCGAAGTCGGAGCGTGCTGATTGTGTCGTGTGAGGGATAGGACGTGATGGGGTGCGCCTGGACTGGTCACGAGATGGATAGCACTTGTCGGCCAAGATACGCGGCGGCTGAACAGACAAGGTGAGAACAGGGACGGAGAGAGAACGAGACTTGGCATGACCGTTGCGGTCAACGAAGCTGCATCTCAGCTCTGCAATGCCGTCGAGACAAGCTTCCGACATCAATAGCGCAGAGTCGGACTCTGTTCGCTTCTGCCGTGGCATTACATCATCGAGTCCGGCGCCTTGCCTGTACCTTGGGCCTTCACTATTCTTTCATTTCGCTTTCCACTCATCTCTCGTCTGTAGTTCTCCATTGCAATCTGCTCCAGGCAGCGGGCAGTGGAACATGGGTGTAGGTCCTTTGGTTCCAGGGGTGATCGCAGATGGGTTAATGCGTCTTGAATCTAGATGGAATAGACACTGCAAGACCGCCGATCTTGTTACTGTGTCGTAGGTCTGCGGGCGTCGCGGATGATGAAGAGCGTCTTTCCGATGTGCTCTTCCGTGTCATCAGATCGAGAGCTGTCGTGGATGCTGAAAGCGGTTTGCTGTTTCGTGTCAGATATACGTGCTTTGCTGGTGCGACTTGGCTTCTGTTGACTGGCTTCTGTTGACTGGCGTGCTGTATGTATGGCTCTGACGTTGATTGCATGGTGCTGTTGTTGATGCGTGTTGCTGCTGCTGTGTTGTTGTGCATTGTGTAGGAGTGTCGAATAACTTACCCGCCGGATCGTCTCTTCTTAGTCATTTTGGATGGTCTTGATGATGAAGATCAAGAAGGTGGTGAGGAGCGCGATTGACAATCTTGACCCACTGCGCCTTCTCTCGGTCCCGCGTGCTGTCTGTCGGTCTCTCTGCCATTCTTCGTCGCTGGAGCTCAGACAGACACTGTTGTCCTGCTGCCTCGACAGCACAGTCTAACACCCACTTCGGCCGATGAAATACAGTCACGTGCCTGTTGTAGTTTTGGCTTTAAAGCATATACCGATGTTGCGCAAATGTAGATCTGACAGATCTGATCTTGGATCGATTTATGGATAATCGGGAGATAGGGCCGCAACAGCACGTGATAGAACCCGCGCTCGAAAACAGGGTCTCGCGTTGACCTGTTTGCGCACAAGGTTGTGATGGGTCTGTGCATCAGTGCTTTTGTGTGTTTTTCTGTGTAACAGTGCTCAGATCAGGATTCTCATCATTCGTGTAAAGGGTCTTGTTGTCATCCTCAATCTGATTCACCATCATCCATCTCATAGACATCCGCAACTTCCAACTTCCCTCTAGCTTTGCACTGGTCAGTGACAACCGCGCACTTCATCTCCCGCTTTGCTGCGCAAAACGCTTATCCGACACAGTAGCCATCAGACCTCACCTGGATCGACACGCGCTTTCTTCCGTGTGGACTTCATCTCGTCGCATTTGGTTCGCAGATCAACACATCAACACTTCAACCAGTTCATCCCAAGACCGCAACCTTTCATTAGAACACCATCTTGCAAGAGGTATCTTTGCAGCCATCAGAGTATTAGTAACGCGCACATCCTGTTGCAGCATCCAAGGCTACGTCGCCTGCGTACAGCACCACTCCCAACATGGCCTCACCAACAAAGAGAGCCCCATCCAGGCGAGCAGCTCTAACAAGTCGACCAACCATCATCAACGACGAAAACGTCTCTCCCTACCGCGAATCCTCGCTTTCTCTGCAACCCTCCGAACCACCCTCCTCACCTCTAATCTCGAATACTTTCCTCTACAACTTACCCGATCCAACACTTGGCTTTCCAGCTGCCTCAAGCAGCATTCTTCCGAGTCCATTCAAGCGTTCGGCTATCGCTTCGCTCAATAAACCGCTTCCACGAGAGCAGACACAAGAGCTTCCAAAATCAGCTCCTGCTCCATCTTTCAGCACGGACGTCGCAAAACTTATGCAAGCAAACCTAAACGCTCCTGGTGGTCTGCCTACTCCGCCTAGCTCATCGGAAGCTCTAACCACCACTCCCGCCGGTCCGGGGAAGCATACTCTTGCAGCGCTGCCACGCGAACCTGTTTCTCCTTCGCCATCGCGTATCCGTAATGCTATCCTTTCGCCAGCCAGAGCTTCTCCGGCGAAAGTTTTACGGGATGGCCCTGCTACGCCAAGCAACCGTCGCTTGCTTTCCAGCAATAATCAAGATACGCATGAGGACGAAGATGATGTATTCAAAGGATCGTCCACTGATCGCACTCCCACGAGACTAAATGCTCTTTCTGAAGTCGAATCAGAAGAAGAAGAAGAAGAGGAGGAGGAGGAGGAGGAAGAGATCCAGTTGGTTGGGATTAGACGTGGTGGACCAGACGCAACCTTCATCCGCGAGATTAAGGAGAATGGGTGGGATCAACCCCTGCCTCCCTCGCCGATTAAGTTTACGTACCTCCAGCCCGATCCTCCGCGAACTAGACGGCAGTCGAGTGTGGGGTCTAGGCCACGATCGAAGACTCCTTCGGTATCTGCTCCTTCTCGTGCTTCTTCGATGGTGGTGGAGGAAGATGGGGAGGGGGTGTCGGATGAATCTATCAAAAGCTCCACTTCTCAACTCACCAGTCTCAGCAGAATAAGTAGGAGCAGAAGAGGAGGGAGAGTGTCGGTTGCTAGAAGTTCAGCTCAACCTCCAGTAGTGGCTGATTTGACAAGAGATCATCCTTCGCTGCCGGATTCGCCAGGAGATGATCCGTTGCTGTTGACTGGTCCAGATACTTTCATCGTCTACCATGAGGGGACACCCAGCGCAAAGCAGCACGCCCGTGTTGCAAGGGCTAAAGGGGATGCCAGTATGTCGCTTACCCATTCTACTCCTCTTCCGACTGCGGCGGCGGGGCAGAGAAGGGATAGTAATGGTTCGGATACCTCTTCGGGCGGTCAGAGATCTTTGTATGCCCATATGTCCGGTCGTACAGCAGCTGCTGCTGAGGGCCAAGTTTCATTCGATGACGCAGAAGAGGAGGAAGGTGCAACAGCATCTCCCTTTTTGCCTTTTGACGATGAAGGCTTTGCCTCCGAGTCTGATGATGAAGCGGGGCCACTTGTCGCACAAGATGCCACAGCCGTGCAAGAGGAGGGGGTACTGCGGGAGATTGCAAGTATGAGCGACATCTCACCAAGCTTTGCTGACGAGTCGGCATTGCGCAAAGAGCAGGTCGAGGTGAAGGCTTCGATACGGATGGTGAACGAGAAGGTGCTAGCTGAAGGTCCGGTTCAGAGTATGGACGCCAGCGTGGGAGAGCAGAGCCTTGATGCTAGCGCCACAGTGGATAGCGAAGCTGAAGATCAGGACGAGGAGGACGAGGCGACAACTCACAACACCAGCGTGGTCGCCAGTATGGACGCAAACCCTGACCACACAGACGAAAGCGAGGACCATGAATCCGAAGAGGCTGAAGGACAGCAAGTCGCAGCGGACGTCTCGCTCGCCGGCCAAACCCTCGATAGCGGCCAAACTCTCGATAGCGAACCCAACGAGACCGCAGACTTCAACGACTCGGCCCGCGCTGATACGACACGCGATGTAGCAGAAAACGCGGTGAATGTCTCTCAATCGAACGAGGTTAGCGAGGAGGAGGAGGAGGAGGAGGGACCCGAAGCCTCGCATGCAGCGGACGAGTCACAGATGCATGCTTCTGCTTCTGCTTCCCTGGACGCGGACCAAAGCATGGACAGCTCCATGACCAGCCACGCTAGCACTCACGCAGATGAGTCAGGAGACGTAGATGTCTCGCACCAAGTGGCAGACGAGTCCATGGCGAGTTCGACCCTCAGCAACCCGGGCGAAGAACTTGACGAGTCCCGCCAAGAAGCAGCAGAGACATCAGTCATTGTAGACGAGTCAATGGCAAGCTCAGACCACAGCGAAGCATCCGACCAAGGTGTGGACGAGTCGCTACAAGTCGACGCGTCGCAGCAAATCCATCCTTCCCTCCGATCAGAAGCGGCAGGAGAGAGCTCCATGGCCAGCACAGATCTGTCTGAAGCAGAGGCCTCTTTCGACAGCTCAGACCTGGGAAAAGATAACGAGGGAGCTGCTGAGGAATCTCAAGTAGCTCATGACGTCTCTGTCGTCGACGATTCTCTCATTTTTGACGAATCGCACGTTGCTGACCAATCCGCCAGCCATCAAGACCCCATTGACCAGCATGATGAACAGCAAACCGTTTCCTTTGCGGATGCCGATTCACCCGTCCGCACTTCACTCCAGTTCGTCGAAGCCATTCGTGCCTTCCCCGCCATTCACGGTGATCCTATCATCTCACCTCCTCACCCGGTCGTCCTCATCGATGCTCTTCCTCGTGAACCTCAAGCTAGCTTCGCCGCTGGGGAAGAATCTGAAGATGTCGAGATCGAATTCTCCACTAGCAATGTCTCTGTGGAGAGTTTGGGCATGCGGCATTCTGAATCTGTTTCGTCTGAGCTCTCTGCTCTGTCTTCCATCGCGGATCTGGGTGAAGGGGAGGATGAGGAGGAGATGCGAAAGAAGTATGAAAGCAAGGGTGGTAGTAGAAATACGCTGGTGGATAGGTCGAGGAGGTTATCTTTGAGTACTGATTCCGAACCAGATCTTTCCCGAAAAGAGGAGGGGAAGAGTGACGGCGAGTGGGAAGATGTAGAAACGGGCAGAGGTACCAAGACAAACCGTTCCAGCACTATCGCCACACCCGCTGCTGAAGAGGAGAGTGACGAGGAAGAGGAAGAGGAAGCGGATGATCTCTCCTCGTCTTCCAATTCCGCTGTCGAACAGGGTCGCTCTGAAGCCGAAGATCATGATAATCATGACGAACAGGAAGAAGAGAGCGACAACGAAGAAGAGGGCAGCGAGGAGGAAAAAGACGAATCTTCGCAACTGGACGAAGAAGAGCCAAATTCAGCATCACTTCAAGAAGCTGTGATTATTTCTCCTTCTACTTCTCCCTCTGCTCATTGCAACTCCGAATCAGACGAAGAGGAGGAGGAAGGTTACGTAGTAGAAGCAGTAGTCCGTGACTCTCGCGATCGCTTTTCAACAACCCACAGTGTATTCGACGAAACCGATTCAGCTCTGATCCATACTCTTTCCCTTCGTCAACCTCATCATCCTTCCACCTCTCAGCTTGACGTTACCGGAGATGCATCCCACTCGAGGAGTCGGGTGATGAAGCTCAACCAACCAACCTCTACTCCTATTGTCGAGATCTCTTCATTGGACCCCAGGGCTGCGGCGAGGGCAACGGCTATATTGAAGTTGTTCCATAAATATGTTGATGAAGGATATATTGCGGGAGGGGGGGAGATGGGGGAGGTGACGGAGGGTAGGATGAGGAGGGTTGTTGATGCTATACGTGATGCCGATCGACGGAGGCAAGAGGAGGAGGAGGAAGAGGAGGAGGAGGAAGAGGGGGAGGGAGGTAGGGATCTAACGACGTTACTTATGGATGCAGAATTATCGCTTGCTAGGGAGGATGAGAGGGCCGAATCCGGATCTCTTATTGGAGGGAGTATCGGGGTGAGGTCGCCAGCTACACCTTTCTTACCGGGTGGGTTTAGAGGTACACCAGTGCAAACCTCAGCAAGCGTCAGTGGAAGGATGCTGGGCAAGAGAAAAGAGCCTCATGCTCTTCCCGTCGGTACTCGGGATCGTAGCACACGCTCGCGCCGCCGATCTTCTAGCATTGCTGAAATCTCGATTGGAACATTGGACCCTCGCTCCTGGGATACGAGCGATTGGGCGAGGTTAGAAAAGTACTTTACTTGTTCCATCAAAACCTCGGCTCAAATGGGAGAGCATAGTGCTTCGCGTACGGATAAAGCTCGTCGATATGTCGACGCGCTCCTCTCGACCAACTTAGAAGGAGCTGCTTCTGCGTTGCTTAGCGAGCTGCACATCCCTTCTTCTCTTCGCATACACGAGTGGTCTGTGGAGAAGTTGGAGTATAGGTTGCAAGCACTTCAGCGTAAATACTTGCGCAAGGTCGAAGCTAAGTACCCTGATGCCTTCCAATCGCATCACTTGGAGGAGAGGAGGGAAGGGGGGGAAGAGACTCTTCCAAGTGGCGATCTAGACTGGAGTCTCACAGCAAACATAACCGCCGCCACTGCTCCTCCTCCGCAGGGAGCAAAAGGGAGGGTCAGTTTTGGAACACCCTTTCGCATGGGCATGCACTCGACTCCCGCTGTTGGCTTGCTCAAACGTGCCACACAGAATGCTGCACAGGCTTCTTGCCGGCAGCAAGCGGAAAGGTTGTATCCTGAATTACCCGTTTCACCTTCACCTGCAACCCCGAGTCAGGGCGATGATGGAGTGATTAGAAAAGCAGGTCGACTGATTTCGAGGCTGAGTGGAAGTTTTGCTGGCTTGGTATCAAGTCCGCGCCCATCGCAGGAGGAACAAAGAGGCGATAAGGGGAAGGGGAAGGGGAAGGGGAAGAGAAAAGCGACAGAGGCAGAACTCATTGCTGCTTCACCGTCGGTCTCAACGAGGAGACGCATGGTAGAGGAAGCGGATGTATCAGCTTCTACGAACGCTAGTCTTAGCTCTGGTCGAGATTCGTTTGTTGATTCGCTGTTGGGTGGTTCGGTGACCAATGCGACTTCGATCGAGCCTGACACTACCGCTTGCCCTCCTCCGACCAAGCAGTCAAGGCTTCCTATCGCCACTTCTACGGGCGCACAACCAGCAGAAGAGAGAAGAACGGTAGTTGCGCCGAGGGTGATCGTCGATCTACCGCAACGCGGACCGCAACCCAGAGGGCAACGCATTGCAGGACAAAAGGGTTTCACCTCCTCCCTAAACCTAGCTGGTGGATCATCAGGAGTCTCTCACACACCACTTTCTTTGCTTTCCCCCAACACGCACCGTGCAGCAGCGAAAAAGGTGGATGAATTAAGACAAAGTAGGAGGGAGAGAGGTTGGCTCAGTCCTCGCAAACAAAGGCTACAGCAGCCTACTAGAACTAGGTCGATCGCGGCCGGACAGACTACGAGGACCACTTGGAACGGCGGAAAGGAAAGCGGTCGAAGGGGGACAAGAGAGGAGCAGGTGGAGCGAGCTGATAGCAGTGGAAGTGGGAGAGAGGCAAGTAGAGGGGATGGAAGCACGTCTTGCTCCTCATTAGCAGATGTGATTAGTTGCAGAGCTGCAGTTGAAGCTGTTCAACAGAGACGTCCGGGTCAATTGTCTCGTCGATAGATGCAAGCATTACATTCTTTGTTGATACACTGCAATCACAGACTGATTTGGTGACCATGTGTCTCTATGAGTGGTTCTGATTGATTATGCCTCGTTCTTCTTCTCCTCTTGCTCCTGTTGTGAGCGGGGAAGCTTAGTAGCAACGTATACAAAGTAATGAAACATCTCCCCTAACGTTCTTGTTTCCACTTTCCACCCCTCGATCGCCTCGAGATACTTTCTCCTGAAATGCGGCTGGCCGAAAGTAATATAAACCATGCTGCCACCTTGTTTCAAAAGCCTATCCACCCCTTCTAACATCTTGCTCACATCTTGCACCACTTTTTCCCCCGGGCTCCACGGTGAGGAACCCTTTCCTTCAGCCATAAGTGCATCCATTGTACCTTTATCCAACGCTATATCAAAGCTCCCTTCGCCTCCAAGCAGAGATAGGTTTTGAGGGCGGGTAAGTTCTGTAATGTCGACCGTGAGCCACTTTTGTTCTGGGTATCGACAAGACATGCGAGAGATTAGGGTTGAGGAATAATCGATGTTCACGATGCAAGTATAGCCAGCATCGTGCATTGAAGGGGATAGAGTACTATTGCCGCAGCCGAGCATTAGGATCCGGGATGATCGGTCAGGTATCAGCTCCTCCAATAGCGGTTCAAGGTCCGAGTAAGTTTTAAACCAATCGAAATGAGGTTCGCTTTGACTGGAATATCGTTCTTCCCAATAGGATTTTTGGGAGAATTGTTCGTTGCTTTTTGCTGTCAATGACATTGTCTCTCGCTTTTGGGCGGGCTTGTTGGGTCAGAGATGCTATCAAAGTCGGTCGAGTGTTGCAGAAGTGAGCAAGATGGTCGAGTAAGTCGATGACGAGTAGCAGATGGAATAGGTCGAGATGATGGTGAGAAAGGGTCCAAGTTTGCATCACGTGATTTCATCGAAAAGGCGTGCCTGTCTGGACTGGACTCAGCCATCGCATTGCTCTCTCTCCGCTCTGCTCTTCACTGCCATCTCCTTCTCCAAAGCCAGGTACACGATAACCTGGTTAGTCGATTCTTTGCCCTCCCTGTGCCCCTGTTACGGCCGGCTGGGAGCCTGCTTGTCGAGCTTCGAGGACCTCACGGCTCTTTGCCTGCAATCCACGCAGTTTATCTGCACATTATTTTTAGTCAATTTTCAGTCTCTCGTGCGGTTGAGTCTGGACGGGAGAAAAGAAAACCTGCCTTTCTGTGGCGGAACTTGCGAGTTTTGTTGCTTGCTGTTTCTCATCAACAGGTCAGACACTTTGCTATCTGCTTCTACAACGCACACACACAGGTCTGTTTGACACACAGGTCTGTTGGATTGCAAGCTCGTAATCATCGTCGGCTGGCGAGGTTGTTTTGTATTTCAAAGAGCCCAGCAAAGCATATTGGATTGGGCGGCGTTTAAGCGTTCATGTAAGAACTGGCCTCGATAGTCTCTGGCAACTCAGGAACGGCCACCTCGAACCTGCTCTGAATCTGCTTCAACACCTCTGCATCCTCATCGCTGCTAACAAACATGATGGCCAAACCCTTGGTACCAAAACGACCAGCCCTACCAACTCTGTGCAAGTAGCTATCAGCATCGCTAGGAGTGTCGTACGAGATGGAAACGTTGACACGCTCGACATCGATACCACGACCAAAGATGTCAGTGGCGACGAGAATACGCTTCTCGAAGTTCTTGAACTGTTGGTAGCGCTTGATACGTTCCTCTTGTCCAAGACCACCGTGGATGCAGATGGAAGGGAAGTTGCATTCGCGCAGAAGCTTGTCCAGTTCGTTAGCGCGCGAAATGGATTTGACAAAGATGATCACTTGGTTGAATTCGAGCGAGTCGAGCAGATCGTTGAGTTTGCGGTTCTTGGCCGATTCTTCGAGGCGGACGTAGTGCTGTTGAAGACCGTGCAGGGTCAGCTTGGTTTCGTCGTCGACGTAGATTTCGAGGGGCTGCACCAGTGAAAACAAGCAAGGCAAGGATGTAGAGAAGGTGTGTGAGCGTGATCAAGTCGTATGTTGGGGTCGATTGACAAGCAAGGATTCCAGAGTGGACTCACGTTCTGCATGAACTTCTTGCAAGTGGGACGAACTTCTTTGGCAAGGGTAGCAGAGAACATCATCACCTGCTTGTGGTGAGGAGTGGCCCTGAAGATGTCCTGAACGTCCCTGCGCATATCGACCTGCTCCAGGATCTTGTCACATTCGTCAATGACAAAGTGCTTGACGCCAGAGACCTTCAAGCTCTTGTCACGAACGAGAGCGTTCATACGACCAGGGGTACCGACAAGGATGTGAGGGCACTTGGACTTGTCCTTGAGCATCGCCTGGTTCTCGGCAACCGGGGTACCACCGTAGATGACGCCGGTGCGGACATCGGGCATGTACTTGGTGAAACGGTGGTACTCGTTGCGGATCTGGTAGGCGAGCTCTCGGGTGTGGCAGAGAACAAGGACGGAAACTTCACCGTCAACAGGCTCGATCTGTTGAAGGGTAGCAAGGACAAAGACGGCCGTCTTACCCATACCGGATTTGGCCTGGCAGACGACGTCCATGCCGAGAATGGACTGAGGGATGCATTCCTGCTGGACTATGTGCTCGGAAGGGAAAAGTGTGGCCAATCGAAAGTGGCAAGGGGAGGGGGGGTTGATTATGGAGGACAGCGGTTGAGGGGTTGAGGGGTTGAGGGGGTGTGTAATTGTGTGAGTGAGTGAAACATGTTGCTTGCTGTACTTTGGGATGAATGCAAAGGCGGAGACTCACCTTCGGAGGGGTGCTCGAAACCGAGATCGGAGATGGCACGAAGAAGCTCGGGCTTGAGGAGGAAATCACGGAAACCTGTAGAGTGGATACCGACGTAGGATCCCTGTTTTGCGCCAAGAGGCGGGTATCGGCAGCAAAGGTGCGAATGACACGAGCGCGTTGACGTGCGTGGACAGGAGATCGTTTCGTAGCGGTAGTTGCAGTGCGTTGAAGAATGGGGATGTCGTTAAAGTTGAGCGAGGCTATCCTTGTGGATCATCGATTGGGACGCCAAGTGGAGAAAAAGATGATGCTTGCCTTTTTGTCTTTGTCGGCATCCGCAGTGGCAGCAGCGGCAGCGTTGGTAGTGGAAGAAGGGGCGACGGCGACCTCCTCCTCGTAGTCGATAAGACTATGTCACCGATGGATGAAGGGGAAAGAAGAGGCATCGCGGCGATGGACAGCCAAGAGGTGGTCGGATAGCGGACAAGGTTAGTTATGCATTGATTCATTGAAGGTCAATTGCAGTTGCGAATTGCTGGCTTGGCTGAGAGAAATTGGCGCGTGTAGAGGGCCGAGAAGAGGAACACTCACTCTTCGTTGTCGATGGCAGACATGATGGCTGTAGTACTGGTTGTTGCTTGTTGCTTGTTGGTAGGTGGTGGTATATGCACGAGAGACGAGAATAAACAAGAGACTGAAACCTGTGTGGAGAAAGAAACGAGTGCGCGGGTAATGAGAAAAGGTGACGACGGTGGTGGTAATGGTGGTGGTGGTAATGGTGGTGGTGGTGGTGGTGGTGAGGAGGATGATCGATGTTAGAAATGGATGGACTGAGCCAAGAGGGAAGAAACGCGCTTCGAACTGTCAAAAGCGCACTTTGTTTTCTTCCGGACGCGTCCTGCGCACCAAGTTATCCAACACACTGCTCAATTGCCTGCGCTTTTACACCGCCATTTCACGCCGAGTGATCGCGTCGGTCAAGCGCATTTTGAACTCGATCTCGGCTGTTCTCGTACGAGAGACTTGCCGGCTCGCCTCCTGTTGAAAGTGCAAAATGGAGGCGAAAATCAAGGCGGCGAAAATCATGGCGGCGAAAATCAAGGCGGCGAAAATCAAGCGAGAAAAAGGGCAGCCCCCGATTAGACCACATCGGCTTGAGAACTTGGACGATGCCCGCCCTCGGCTTCTTGGGCGGAAAGCCAAGAGGACAAGCTTGAGCCGCCATCCGGTTTGATTTCCGGACTATTAGCCGAAGGCCAGCATTCTTGTTGGAAGCCTCCTTTACTCCAGCTCAGCTTCTGCCTTTGCCGGCAATGAAGGAGGAGAAAAGCAAGGTCCGGAAAGCCATCGTTTTGAGGTCACCTGACTGACTGAGCAAGAGTGCGAATTACTTGAAAAGAGCAACTCCATCTTGCTCCTTCACCACCATCACCGCACATGCCTCCCTCAAGCAAAACTCCCGATCCTCGTACGCTCACAATGGCAAGGACACTTCACGAACGATACCTTCAGGAAAAGACGGTCGCCATCGTCGGCTGCCCCTTCTCGGGCGGGCAAAGGCGTAAGGGTGTCGACACAGGCCCTGTCTCGCTCGTCTCGGCTGGTATCTGCAAGCAGCTCGAATCGCTTGGTTGGAAGGTCGACTTTGAGGGACACCACTCGTTCGACCACCACAACGAGCTGCTCGAACACGATAGCGACATTGGCAACATGAAGCTTCCCCGCACTGTTTCGGCTGTCACAAACGAGGTTGCCGAGACCGTCGAGCGGCACGCTAAGCAGGGCAAGCTCCCCTTGACTCTCGGCGGTGACCACAGTCTGGCACTCGGCACGGTGACCGGCTCATTGCGCGCTCATCCTGAGGCAGCACTCATCTGGATCGATGCTCACGCCGATATCAACACGCCCGAGACCACTGAATCGGGAAATCTGCACGGCTGCCCTGTCTCGTTCTTGCTCGGGCTGCAAGGAACGGATGTGGAGCCCTTCAACTCGTGGGTCCCCAAGAAGCCTCTCTTGCGTCCTGACAGCTTGGTGTACATCGGCTTGCGAGACATTGATGCCGGCGAGCGCAAGATCCTCAAGGAGCACAACATCAAGGCCTTCAGCATGCACCACATCGACAAGTATGGCATCGGCAAGGTCGTCGAAATGGCCCTCGATCACCTCAACGGCGCACCAGGCAAGCGTGAGCGTCCGATCCACCTCTCGTTCGATGTCGATGCCCTTGACCCCAGTGTCGCGCCCAGCACAGGTACACCCGTTCGAGGTGGCTTGACTTTCCGTGAAGGTCACTACATCTGCGAAGCTCTCTACGAGACGGGTTGTATGGTTGCGCTCGACTTGATGGAAGTCAACCCTTCTTTGCTCCAAGACGGCGATGCACAGCAGACGATCGCAGTTGGATGCTCGCTCATCCGTGCTGCAATGGGCGAGACTCTTCTTTAGGCATCTATGCAGCTCTTTGTCTTATCTTTGTCGTGTGCATCTGTAATATAGACAAGCTACGATCATCTTTCAACGCAACCAGCATAGCCTTGACTCAAGCCTGGCCTCGCATTCATTTCACACTGCTACCGTCTCTTGCGCTCGCAACGCTCGCAACGCTCGCAACGCTCTTCGACAGGAGTATGGATGAGTGCGGCATAGACGATGATAATGATGATGATCATGATGATTTGCGATCTGAGCAAAGTCGAGCCAAAGTCTCCATCCCTTTTCTGAGAAAAGTGACAAAAGCAGGAGCAGACTTAGTCAGAGAGTCTGAGCTCAGACACTTTGCCTTGCTTGCAAGCCATCACCTGTTATAATAAAGGAGACACTCGGCGACGATGATCGGGAGATATCAGCCAAAGTACGGTGTTCAAGCTAAAGAGCAAAACACTATACTATATTGACATGCTAGAAGTGAATGTGGCGCGAGCCTCGAGCTCCCTGCTAGACTTATATACAAACGTCTGGCACATGCCCGACTGTGGGCGTATCCTACCTAATGACAGTGTGTAGCAACGAGTGGGACATGGTTGCATCACGTGATCATTCATGAAGGCGTGCGCATCTGGGCTGGACTCAAAACAATCGAATTTTTTTTGCTCTGCTCTATGAAGAGCAGAGCAGAGACACTCTTCACCAAGACTCTCTGTTTTGTCACTCCTCTCTTAGCTACCATCATCTCCATCATCACCAAGCCAGGTGCACTATTAGCTGCCTGGTTTGTTTTTCTTGGGTCCTGTGGTATCTTGGCCAGAGCCCCTTGCTCCTGATCCTGCCTAGTGACACCATGGCCCAGCCTTGGACCATCTCCTTCTGACAACTGTACTTTTTGCCACCTGGTGTTATGATGGCTAACAAGGAATGACACTGCCACTCCTGCAGACATTCCAAACCACTCTCTTCTTTTGTTCACCAGTGCTTTCCTGACCAGGTCACTGCTTTGTGCCTTGACTGCTGAACTGGGAGGCCTCAAATGGCACACACCCCCTCCTGGGCACCTTCTCAGCCACCCTTGCAGTACCCAGACACCTCCTCATTCTTGGGGTTCCCAGCCCCAACTCCTCTCCCTTCCTTTGCAGTGTTGCACCCCCCATTCCCATGGACCTGGCACCAAATCCTATCATAGCACAATCTGCCACCACCCCAGTTCTTGACCCTGTGCTCTTGGCCCCTCCTGTGCTGTTGGCAGACACCTCCCACAACTTCATGACCCACTCCAATTTTTCTGCTGGTATTGGTGAGCTTTGTCAGTTCCTACAGGATGAGATTGTCTCAGCCATCCACATGGTCATGAGTGCTCTCCCAACATCACAACTGGCCCCCACACTCTGAGCCCCTTCCACAGATGACCCTGCTGCACTGTTGGCCCCCCCTCCTGTCCAACACCTACCAGTCCCTCCCACATGCATCGGTGAGTACTGTCAGCGGTCGCGCACCTGAAACCTGAGATCAGTAGTAGTATCAGTACTATCACCGATTCTGTCGAGTTATGCGACAGCACTAATGGTATTTCGATTCTTAGTGAAATATGCAACAGAGCCTTCTCTGTCACCTTTCTCATTAGAATCTGTAGTTGTATTATCATTATGACAGATTTCAACTAACTGCTGTGGACACTCCATCCAGAGGTAGCTCGGCATGATCAAACTATAATATGACTCTAAGTGAGCTTGATATTGACACCAATGGTCTGGTGTGAGTATGGATTGTTGATGCCAACATGAGTGTCCAGTGTGTCGACTAACACTTGAAGTGATCCCCAGGCTGCAGTGGACATCTGCCTTCAGTTCTATGGTTATCTGGACCACTGGTTGCTATGAACCACCTTCGGACATCAGGAAACAGTGATACAACACATGCACTTTGATGAGGAGCAATCTGTTGATTACTACTATGTGTCAGGGGTCTCGCGCCTGAAACCCAGGTCGGTCTGTCGAGATACTCGGTGACTATCAAACTGTGCGACAGCTATTGTCTTGGTATCGGTGACTATCAAGTTGTGCAGTGACAGCAGGTGGCGTTTGTTGTATATACTATTGTAGGTTTCGGCTGACCTCTGTGGACACTCCGTTCAGGGGTAGCTCGGCACGATCAATATCAATGTTATGATGACACCAAGGTCTGGTGTGAGTGTTGATGATGATGAGGTTGATGGTGTTGGTGATGAGATTGGTGATGTCAATGATAATGAGGTTGATGGTGTTGGTGATGAGATTGGTGATGTCAATGATAATGAGGTTGATGGTGTTGGTGATAAGGTTGGTGGCGTCAACACGAGTGTCCAGTGTGTTGACTTGATGCTTGAAGTGATCCCCGGACCACAGTGGACTACTGCCTTCAGTTCTATCTTGATCCGGACTGCTAACCTGCTATGGGCGCCTTCGGACGTCAGGTAGTGGTGATACAACACACACACTACGATGAGGAGCAACCTTTGATGGATTGCTGCTATGCTGACTGAAACTAATATATACTTATGCTGAAGTGATAACTAGTTATGGTGAGTAGAGTGGATGAGGATCCACTCGACCTATTGATGATGAGAAAGCATGGTTATATACCTCTTCTCAGCATCGCCAGTGATGCTGCTCCTGCTCTCTCTCCAGAGAGTACCTTCTTCATCGAGTACTGCTCAGGGGCCTCTCCTGCTTGGCACCCCTGTGCCTCTTGAGCTGTGTCGACACCTTCGACACTGCTCCTCCTCCTCATGACCTGATGTCAACCCTTCGACACTGCTCCTCCTCCTCATGACCTGGTGTCGACTCCTTCGACACTGCTCCTCCTCCTTTGATCAGTGACAGTTCCTTTGGCTCTTGTCTCTCGAGCCCCTGAGTGGTAACCATCTGCATGCTCCTTGAGCTTGGTCCTCTTCGTGGCTGTGCCTGCTCCTTGAGCTTGGTCCTCCTCGTGGCTGTGCTTGGCCCTCCTTCGCATGTGAGTCCATAGGAGTCCATGGTCTCCATGGAGACTGCACTACGCTCTCTACTGATCTCGACTAGATCTTCGATACCTGTGCTCCTTCCATATGAACCCATGACCCTCCTGCTTCTTGAGCATCCAGGCCCATGACAGGTTTCAGGCGCGAGACCCCTGACATCCTGCTCCTCTTGAGGGGCCTTTGTCCCCTGTTAGGCATTGCCTTGCCCTACTGGCACCAACCCCTTCGATACTGTGCTCCTACCGTTTGCTCAGCATAAGGGTTATGCAACACTGCCCTCTTGCCTACATGCTCTCCTTCTGTCTGATGTGTGATGCCCCCTTTTGGCACAGCTCCCTCTCAACTTAATTGTGTGAATTCCCTTTGAACCTTGTGACCATACCCCCTGGTCATGTGGTCATGTTGGCACAGTTCCATCTCAACTTGTTTGGATCGGCCAACTAGTTGAAGCATGCTGATCTGACTGACTCTGACATTGGCACAGCTCCAAATACTTGTTTGGATTGGCTGACTAGTTGAAGCATGCTGATCCGGCTGACTCCGACATCGGCACAGCTCTGAATACTTGTTTGGATTGGCCAACTAGTTGAGGCATGCTGATCTGGCTGACTCCGATGTTGGCACAGCTCCGAGTACTTGTTCAGATCAGCCGACTAGTTGAAGCATGCTGATCTGGCTGACTCTGACTGATCCCATGAGATCGATCTGGATTCCCAGGGTTCGATCGATCTCGTAATTCATGTGTGCTGCCAACTGTCAGGGGTCTCGCGCCTGAAACCCAGGTCGGTCTGTCGAGATACTCGGTGACTATCAAACTGTGCGACAGCTATTGTCTCGGTATCGGTGACTATCAAGTTGTGCAGTGACAACAGGTGGTGTTCGTTGTATATACTATCGTAGGTTTCGGCTGACCTCTGTGGACACTCCGTTCAGGGGTAGCTTGGCACGATCAATATCAATGTTATGATGACACCAAGGTCTGGTGTGAGTGTTGTTGATGATGAGGTTGATGGTGTTGGTAATGAGATTGGTGATGTCGATGATAATGAGGTTGATGGTGTTGGTGATAAGGTTGGTGGCATCAACACGAGTGTCCAGTGTGTTGACTTGATGCTTGAAGTGATCCCCGGACCGCAGTGGACTACTGCCTTCGGTTCTATCTTGATCCGGACTGCTAACCTGCTATGGGTGCCTTCGGATGTCAGGTAGTGGTGATACAACACACACACTACGATGAGGAGCAACCTTTGATGGATTGCTGCTATGCTGACTGAAACTAATATATACTTATGCTGAAGTGATAACTAGTTATGGTGAGTAGAGTGGATGAGGATCCACTCGACCTATGATGATGAGAAAGCATGGTTATATACCTCTTCACAACATCGCCAGCGATGCTGCTCCTGCTCTCTCTCCAGAGAGTACTGTCATGGGCCTGGATGCTCAAGAAGCAGGAGGGTCATGGGTTCATATGGAAGGAGCACAGGTATCGAAGACCTAGTCGACACCAGTAGAGAGCATGGTCGTAGTGCAGTCTCCATGGAGACCATGGACTCCTATGGACTCACATGCAAAGGAGGGCCAAGCACGGCCACGAAGAGGACCAAGCTCAAGGAGCATGCAGATGGTTACCACTCAGGGGCTCGAGAGACAAGAGCCAAAGGAACTGTCACTGATCAAAGGAGGGGGAGCAGTGTCGAAGGAGTCGACACCAGGTCATGAGGAAGAGGAGCAGTGTCGACAAGAGGCACAGGGGTGCCAAGCAGGAGAGGCCCCTGAGCAGTACTCGATGAAGAAGGTACTCTCTGGAGAGAGAGCAGGAGCAGCATCGCTGGCAATGCTGTGAAGAGGTATATAACCATGCTTTCTCATCATCATAGGTCGAGTGGATCCCCATCCACTCTACTCACCATACAACTAGTCAATACTTTAGAAACACAAGTACTCATTAGTTACAGTCAGCATAGCAGCAATCTATCAAGGTTGCTCCTCATCGTAGTGTGTGTGTTGTATCACC